TACTTACAGTTTCACTAATTGAAGCAGTTCGTACAGTTTTCAATTTAAAATTTCGCGGAATTGAAAGGGATTCCAAGAATAGATCTGAATCACACACTGTCTAATATCTGATAACGGTTATAATCTGTAATTTGTTGTCGTGTAAATTTGGTTGAAGGAATTCGTAGTATAATTGAATGACTAAATTTGAGCAATGCGAAAAGTGTTGTCATTCTCCTGATGTAAATGTATTTTAGTCGGACAACAATGCGGGTCATATGATCAACTTAGTCACTACCAATAACATGAAAAACAAATGGTCAAAGTTGACAACAAGCTCAATATATTCGGTTGGTGCCATATTATAACAATTGAACATCGTTCCAACACAATTCAGAAAAGATTCGCTTGTTTAAAATTTATGTCTCTCATAATTTGATTCACAAGTGATTGTTTGATTGCAATCATAAGTCAACACATAAATCGTTATAATATTTTCATTTCAATCCGTACTTCCTATTCAACTTTCATTATATTCATCAATATGGCACTACAATTAATCTACAAATAATTTTCGTCAGTTGTGTGCAATATTTGTTATTGACAAAATTTAATCAAATTATAACATTAAAAACTAAAGATACTTTTTTGTGTTTTATCTAGCTGATGGCTCTTGATTTTATTCGGATTTTACGTTTCTAACATTAGAATGATTTTAACGAATTCTTAGCTAGATTCTAATTGACACTAACTCGAGGCAAATGGAAATATATATCTACCAAATGTCGATGCTGCTCGTGTTATATAGTTATACAGATATTCATATCGAACCCCTTTTTGATTCTAGATTTGAGGCTCATCTAGACTCTAGAGTAATTTCTATACCCACTGAATATATCTAAGTTTATATATTAGAAGAAAAAAACGTCTTTACAATACGTTTTTTTACACGTCCGTATAATAAATTTTCTTCCCAGTAAAATTTTAACGCAAAATTATTTGGTTCATATCTTTTTTATCGATATTATTCCGATGAAAGTTGTTTCAACTTTGCCCCACCCACAACCTGAATCACTCGTAATATTTTAATCGTAAATTTTTTATTGATTATATTTTTATTCACATCTATATATGCTAGAGTAAATAGTATATACGCAAATACATGATCTATTTTCTTATATGCACCATGATCCACATCGTACCATTTTGTACACAGTAAAGTATTTCCCATAATATATTGTGAAATTCAGCCATATTCAATTGACATAAAAATACTGTTTTTTGTTGTTGTTTCAATCATATCTCGTTTTGTATAAGTATATAAATTACACACAAGAAAGTTGGATATTATCTCTATATGGAAATGTAATAAGTCTAAGGGTGGAGACTGGAGAATGGCTGTCGTGTTTGGGATGGGGCTTCTGTGACCGTATTAAACACTTTGAAAAAATCAAAAAGAATATCAAATACGCAGCCTCTCTTTCATTGCCGAAATGTTGCGTTGATGTGTTTATTTTATAGATATTGTAAACGAATGTGTTCTTCTGAACTGTGGGAACTTGTTCCTCCGAATTAGTTTTAAGCCATAAAACTCGGTTAGCTGTGAACTTGCATTCGTTCACTGTCAGTGTATCTACAATATAAAAAAAAATGCCCAAAGTTTTTTCTCAAAACTGCTATTATGTGGGATTTATTACCTCATAGCTGTTTTCCTGATCACATTGACTTTCTTCAAGTATGGCGTCAATAGTCTTAGTAGCTTATGGCAATTTTAGTGGTCGTCCGGAACTGCGCTCAGACTTGAATTTCTTCTATTTCTGAGTAGGGAGGCGTGATCTTGCAATGAGCAAATTTCTTCATTCAAAAATATCATTAATTGCATTGAATCATTTGTAAACACTGCGTTCTTTCTACATTTTGGTGAGTTCAATGGCACACGTATAAACCAGCCAAGTGAATATAAAGTCTGATAAGTGATCATATGTTTAGTCAAATATTTTTGAAGTGTGATTACAAATTTATTCTATGAATATTCATTTGGTTATTGAACAAGCGTAGATGTTTATTTACTCTTTTTAAAATGAAACCAAGATGAAATTTAAACTTCCGTCTGAATCCAATACCTTGCAGAGGTCGATCTGGTTTTCACTTTACACCAGTGGAAACATTTAACTGTTTTTTGGAAGCATGTCTTGTTTTGCTTTATACGGGTACTGTAGTAGGGTATTTCTATCGCAACGCCGACATGAGTGAGGAGTTACCATGGGTTCGCTGGATTCATAGCACTTATTTAATTCATTCAATGACATCAAACACTATAATGTAAGATTACAATTTTATATCCCACACTCTATGAAACTATAAGTAAAAGCCTTTGAGTAATATAATTGCGAGTTGAAAATAAACAAATCAACCTATACCTATATGCAGTGATTTTCAAACGGTGTTCCGCGGAACACTGGTGCTCCGCGAGAGACCTCCAGGTGTTCCGCGAAAAATTGTATTTTCGAAGTATTATGACGTCATGCGAATAATATAAATAGAGTCGATTTGAAAACGGCGAGTCAGAATTTTGGAAAGTCGGTATAGAAAACTCGTAACCAGATAAAAATTGACAGGCCATATTCCCTTTTAATAGACTTTATCTCGGCGTGTATTTTTAGTGATCCATTCCATTCTTGACCAAATAATGTTTCAAAAATGTGAACATTATACTCGACCATGAATGGAGTCATCATCGGAGTTGATTACATTCGTTGCATTTCGAAGCTTTTCTTGAAGTAATAATTAGGGCGTGGCATTATCAAAATCGTCAAGTGAAGTGTTTAATTTGCAAATTCCGTAAATGAAGTTGTGAATTTGTGGGTAACGATTTTAGCTATAATGGTAATGGTCGCGGTATTGTTTTGTTGGAAAAGAAAACGTTAAAACTCGAGGTGATTAATTCTAATCAGCACAAAAGAAATTGGGCAAAAAATTGTTTACGATTTTTTTGGCATCAGGTCGTGCATGTAAGATATCGTTAAAGAAGTGCTCTTCATCGTCATCTCGCCTAATGACCACATAGAAATGCCTTTATTTCAGCTTTTAAATCAACATTCAGGATTCACGCAATCACAGATTTATCTAATTGATTTATCCCGGAAATAACACTGACACCAGTGTGGTGCATAAGAAACTCAATTATCGTCTTAACAAATGTGTGCATCCCGTTGTCGATAATGATAATATTATTCGCTAAACTGGGACGTTTAATTTGCAAACGGCGATAAGTTAGATCGAAGCCACCGCGAAAGATAAAAATCAGAATAAAATTAAGTTGGAATTTAAAATCGCCCCTTAATGTCATTAACATCTGTCGCCGATGTGAACGCATATAGTTATACCAAAATATGAAACTTCGATCTCCGCCGATCAGCAAGAATTAATACTTGCGCACAAGAACAAAGGCGGTAATATGAAAACGTTCAGGGGGGCAAAAAAGTAGCGATTATGACGAAATTAAACAGTAAAAATCGCTTTGCTACCAATTTTCAATGTTTCTAATAATTTCCAAATCGACCTCCGACCTTCTGGACTCCTGGTGCGTATAAAAAAAAACGCGAGAAATTGAGAGCCATTGAGAAAGAGCTGCGTGTTTGTCTCTCCTCGATATTAGAATAAAATATTTGAAACTCATCGAAACAGACCCAAATATCACACTAAAATATCATTTCTGTTTCTAGCTACCATAATCATAGTATTCATAAGCGAACTCGCAAAAACATATATTCGTACCGTGCTTTAGCTCTTGTAGCTCTGAATCGGAATGTGTCACGTCTTTTCCTAAAGTTGACAAGCTATATTATTGATTTCGTTATTTTATTTTCATGCCGAAATGATCGACGTCGGTTAATTGCATAACATAGTTTATTTCCAAAAATTTCGCTTGGTGTTCCGCCACAATTTCAAATTAAAAAAAGTGTTCCGCGGTACAAAAAAGGTTGAAAATCACTGCCTATATGCAAAGATCAAAGTCACTCAATAAATTTGTAATATTGAAACCGTAAATAGAAACGGGAAGAAATAAAACAAAATGGCGCGTAAAAAAGTAGGCGATAACATCATCTTATATTATGATATAGATATATGAAATGAAAAGGTATTATTGGATGGCACTAAATTAGGTTGGAATGCTGAATGAACAATATCTTAACGTTGTGCAGTGTTCAGCATTTAAATATTTGACAAACAACTTTTTGATTTTGTATTTACTAAGTTTGAAATCAAACTTTTTCAATTATTAAACTATTTTCTCTGTTTTAAGCCCATTTTTAAATTGGATGTCATCGAAATGATAAATAAAATTATCCTTCCACTTTTATTACAAACGGGTCTAGTATTCTGGAAAATAGTAAAAATATAAGTCTAATCATTGGATCCGTTGTTGATTGGATAATATAGCTATTATTAATATTTAAAAAAAGGAAATTAGGGTAAGGGTAAAATGGCATATTTTTTCAAATTCAGGCAACTCATTTGTTTACCCATTTTTAACTTCCTTAACGGAAAATAAGTGGAAAAAGTATAATTAGCCCGAATAAAAATGCAACAAATTTCAGATTTAAAATTTTTTGAACTGATTAAATTCTGGAAAACTCGTATAAATTGAAAACAATTTTTAAAATGGATGACAGGTAAGTGACCGTCGCGGTTTGTATTGATTTTGAAGCCCTATGCTCCAGACTACTCCAGGTTATAGGTAACCCGGCCTCGCCTTCGCCCCACCAATGGTGTAATATATTGTATAAGCAATGTTGGGAATTGTCATTCAAGATATCTCCTAACCTAACGTATACCAATGGGCGTTTATACTGGTTTTTGTTCAACCGAAGCCGTGAAAACCTTTCATAAAAAATTCGTTTCGTCTTGTGCAAAATTTCACTCGTAAGGCAGAGAAAAACTCGAGTTCACTTTTCAACCATCTTGAATAAACTCTATAGCCCTGCACGCATTATAAATTATATTATACAATATATCCAATTTCAATTTATTCAAACATGAAATAATAACTCAGAATGAAATTTTATAACATAAAATTGAATTCATCGCATCCATTCAGACAACGTCGGGTTTCTTTGTCTCATTTCCTCAGTGAAAATATATTATTTTTGATAATGATGAGATGATACTACTTACAATTGCAGAATGAACTTCTAGTTTCCACACTGTGTAGAATCTGTAGATCCCGAATAAAAATCAATGAAAGCCTCCGTCTATTATAGTAATAAATAATAATTCAATCTCAGGACATTTCTTCTACGATTCATTTGACATTAGTATCATTCCGTACCCAATCAAGACTTAAATAAACAAACTTTGAAAGTAAGTTCAGGGCAATTTACTTTCTATTGTGCTTTCGTCGAACGCGCGTTTTGTCAATTTTTCGGTAACACAGACAGTTTAGTTATCTTTGATTATAGATAGTACCATAATATGATTTAATACCATTAACTTGGGAATAATTTTGGACCATGTAATATACCTTATATTATTTATAATTATGTTAATATACCTTTTATGAAATAGGAAAACTAATAATATGAACCATATAACTGCCAGCTCAATTCCTGCTTGAAGAACCCATAACTTGTTGCTTTCCATATCTAAAAATCAAAATTATTAAACATGTGAGCTGAAAAGGGAGAATTAAACTTCTATAAATTACGTATTTGAATATATTAAGCTTGAACTCTGTGATTTAAATATTCGCTTTACACACTTAGAGATTCTAACTTTGCTATGAAACATATTTTATGATATTGATCCCACAGGTACAATTAGTATTGCTATATATTGCATGTTAGCTTGACCAAATCAGATCTCTGAAATGTACCCTGTGTACATGAACATTTGAATCATTATAGGAGCAATATTTTTCCTTTAATAATTTATTATGGTTGGATTTATGCGAGACGCGTCAACCGCCACCATGTTTAATATTACTCCCCATAAACTTGACCAATCATTTTTGAGAAATTTTTGAATTGTGTCGAACACGCTCCATTTCACGAAATTTTGATTGCACTATCGTTCGCGAAGTACAGGACTGATAGTGTGGCGCGGGATCGGCTGAAGTAAACGCTTTGCGGGCGGCTTTCTTGAAGTCGGTGCGTCTAGTTATTAATTACGGCTTTGAATAATTTTCAATTTTTCAACGTAATGGAAATAAAGACGAAAATCAGTTGTCTTGCAATGAAATGGCGAAAATGCCCACCACGCAACAGTGCAAAGGTGTCGCAAAAATATGCGCCCCACGCTCGCATAGAAGATACAATACAATCCAAAGTGCTGATTCTATTTCATCGTCATACTCATGACGATACAAAACGAACAGCTGAAATTGTTCGCAGATTTCCCTCGAAAACGAAACACCTCGTTGACGGTCAAAAGTGGCAATTGTTTAGAATTATTTTAAAATTAGCTGAAAAAGTATTCCAATGCAGTACTTTGATATTCGAATATTCCATTGCTTCGGACAACCTTGACTGACACTAATGTTCGAATGCAATCAATAACATAACTAGCTGCCACACTTATTGCACCGAGGTTCCAGTAAACCACAAGAACTTTCAAATAGCACAATATAAAGACATCAGCAACACTTCCAATGAGACTAAAATTCAATAATACATATAACTACACTTTGAAGTCATGGTACTTGGTCAAAAACAGGAATTTATAAACTCCAATCACAATTAACAGGTAATATTTAATATATTGACACTAAGCAGTAAGTATATAGCACATATAAAAATATTAGAAATGATTAAAAGAAATACACTGCATAATAAAACATTTCTATTACAGTGGATCAATTAAAGAAACTATTCAGATGCATATCACATATTCAAAATAGCATATATTTTGAAGTTCTTACATGCCATTGTTAATATCATTTTTACTAAGTTGTCCTCAATTGAATCGAGTAATTCTAAAAACTTTTGGGGATGATTTGAACTTCTAATCACATAAAATGTCATAAAGCAGATTAGCAAGATGTTGTATTTCATATATTTCAGTATTATGGAAAAATATCTTTTTATAACAGTAGTTTTAATCACAAAAAGGTTGGGTTCTAAGATAATTAGATTTCAGATATACAGCAATGATACCAGTGATATTTTCATATCTTTCTGTAATAATTAATCTAACAATCTAAAATATTGGCACACTAAAAATAGTCCAAAAATTACTCATATTATCAGAATTGATATGATTCAATAATATCACAATCTTTTTATGAAATCACAAAAAGATTGGGGGTTCGAAGGTAATTAGATTTCATATATAGCATAATATTCGATCAATATGTCAAATTTAGAGCAAATCTAGTCCAAAAATTAATCATGTTGTCAGAATTGAGATGATTTAATATTATTGATGATCTTTCGATTATCAAATCATTTAATTTACTAAAAATAATAAACAAAACAAATAAGGCAAAGTAAAAGTAAATTATGTTAAAGTCAACTAAGTTACTGCATAGCCTATTTTAGTGCTGCACATCCACCCCACAGTTAGTTATTTCTACATTCCAGCTCTCAAGCTAGCTTTTGATTTTTCCAATCTCTCTTCATCAATTTCAATATTAGAGCCAGATATTACCAAGCCCTGATTCTCTGCCACAACTTGTTCAATCTCCTCATCCTGGGCAAAGGACAATTTTAGATGCTTTCTAAGAAAACACAATATAAGTCTCATATTGACATCATTTGCTTTTTTGGGATCAGCAGGTCCTCTGAATCTTATCATCTTTGCTAGCCATTCCGAACTTAACAAAAAGGCAAAATCACATTGAGTGTGGTGAACAGTACCACACAAAGTTACCAATTTACGTTCAGCTTCTGTATTAGTTACATCACAGTCAAGTTTTCGAATACTTCGATAAAAAGCAGAGGTGTGTCAATATTAGCCTTATAAACTTCAGGTCCCAAGGAATACATCCATACATCTAGAGGGATTCCAGCTTTGAAGCGGAGATCTTTCACCAGTGAAGTTATACTTGTAGCACCACCAAATGAGTGACCAATGACAGCTGCTTTGTCAATATCAATTTTATCTTTGAATACAGTCAAATCAAAATCTGATAAGATGTTGGACAAAGTACCAGCGTTCAATAACTCTATACTATCCATCAGTTTGGAAATTTCTTTCGCTCGCTCATGGACTTGCTTGTTTCGTAGTTCTCTCTCTTCTGTTGTTGCAGGTTGGACACGCTTGTATGGTAACCAAACTTTATCGTACTTCTCATCTCCAGAGTTTGTTTTTTCAAGATAGAAAGTATTTGAGGCAGATTCATCACGATGCTCAATAGCTGCTACAAAGAAACCATGAGAAGCTATTACATATGCAGTGTAGCTATAGACAGTTCTGTTTGCACCAAGTCCATGAGAAAACACAACAACAGGCAGCCTTGGCTTTTTTTGAGATAGTGACAATGGACCTTGCCAATAAACTGGAACTCTAGCAGAACCAAACATCCATCTTAGTAAACCGCCAGCGAAACCAAACTTTTTTTTTTTTTTTTCAAACGCTCACAAATGTGTTAAATGTGATACAGTAATAATCATAAAATGGGGAAAAAAAATTTTACAATCATTATTATCCAAATTGTAATCCATAATATCCGACGTAGTTTCCATTTTTCAGTATTCCAATGTTCAATAATCCATATATAATCCAACTCAAATCCATATATGATCCGCAATATCAATTCAGTGCCAATTTATGTGTGTGGTACCCAACTTCAATCATTGCGTGAATTAATATGTCCTTTCTGCTTGTCTAAAGCCTTGCTTAGGGAGGTATCGTATACCACCCCATTAATAGATTGTAGCAAGCACGATACATGAAAAAAAAAAGTCTTTATGTGTGTGGTACCCAACCTACCATTGCGTAAAATAATATGTATTTTCTGCTTGTCTAAAGCCTTGGTTAGAGTTGTATCGTATAACGCTCTATTATATTGTAGCATGATACATGAGCTATTGCTGGACAGAAATTGGTCAGAATGGGATATCGTGAACGTTCTTTGGCGACAATTTAGTCGCTTGAGATCCTTGTTTATTTTGAGCTCTGCACAACGACCCCGATAAGAGAGAGGTGGCTGACGTATTGAGTTTGTTGACATACTCGTAGGCGCCATTACGGGTGACCGTCGCTATACTTTGGCAAGCTGTATTTCGTTATTGTGATGTCGCAGTGACGTAATTTTTGAATGACGTCATCAGGTGGGGGTCAGCGGTCAGGATTCATATATCCAAAAATTGTTACGCCACGCCCACTAGAAGTTATTCAGGTAAGAAAGTACATGAGACCCCATTTTTCTTGATTATCATAGGAATCTGCCATGTTTTGTATTTGAATCTTGTTATCTCTTTCTTTTTGTTTTTAGCCAAATTTTGCTTCATTTTGTTAAATTGAGTGAGAACTCTTTTTCCCATGTCTAACCTTTTTTTTAACTCTTTTAATTGGTTCATTTCGTTGTTGTACTCATTTTGAGCTTCTTTAGCCAATTTCACTGAGTAGCAAACACTGAACTCTTTGATCTTATTCTTTATTTCAATCCACCATTTTGTTTTATTCTCAAAAAAGAATTTCAATGTTTTCCAGTTTGCCCACCTGTGTTTCAGTTCAGTAATCAGAAATCAGTAATTTATTTCTTCACCAAGCTGAAAGTACGAATTATACATACACAAATAAAGGAAATATAAAAGACCGCATTCCAGGGTGAAAGGAGACGCCGAAAACCAATTCTGGTTATCGAGCGGCAGCACCCTCGGGGAAGTCTAACAAAAACGTGATAAATATAATTAAATCGAACAAAATATATTACTTAATAAATAAATAAAGAAACGCAATCGATGCGTCAAGGCGACCCGGTAAAAACCAAGCAATCGCCGTTTAAAAATAAGAAAACATTTTTAAATTTTCATTTTTAAATTGTTGATTGTCTGATGCATTATTTTTCCAGTAGCCTTTACCTCTTTCATCTTTTGTTTGGTTTATTTCTAACTGAATTGACCCGACCCGACCTTAGCTCTAGTTACCACCGCTGTGAAGAGTGAAGCTAGTAGAATTTGACCTTTGTGTGCGGCGAGGCGAAAAGGTTAAAATTCTTGGCAGAATTGTAGGCGTGTCATTATTTACAACTGAAAAAATGTAGACAGGTAAAATTAATATAACAAAAAAGGAAAGATATTTATCAAATGAGACTAAAATTACCATTTACAAAGCAAAAGCATTAATTGCTTGGTAAAATAGGCATAATAAATAGTTAGCAACTAATTTTTTATAAATATCCCGTGTTGATTATGCTTTATTCATCAAAATTAAGTAAAGCGAAAACGGGTTAAATTTTGCAATTTTCAAATATTAATAGAAATATCTTCCGCTCAAGAGGCACGCGATTTTATAATTTCATATCAAAGTAGAATATATAAAGTTTATCACACACACTGAACCTAAAACTACTCGAACTTAGAAAAGGGAGTACTCCCCTGTTGAAGATACCCCTTTTCATCAAAATTACGTAAAGCGAAAAAGGGTTAAATTTTGCAATTTTTAAATATTAATAGAAATATCTTTCGCTCAAGAGGCACGCGATTTTATAATTTCATATCAAAGTGGAATATTTAAAGTTTATCACACACATTGAACCTAAAACTACTCAAACTTAGAAAAGGGAGTACTCCCTTGTTGAAGATACCCCTATTCATCAAAATTACGTGAAACGTAAAAATGGTAAATTTTGCAATTTTCAAATATTAATAGAAATATCTTCCGCTCAAGAGGCACGCGACTTTATAATTTCATATCAAAGTGGAATATATTCAGTGTTTATTTTTAATCAAGAAGGTTATTATGATACTTGAAGACGAAAAATAAGCGAACATTTTGATGTCTGAGTCGTCTGGTGAACTCGTATTATTTTAATAAACACCTATAAACTCTATAAAATTCTGCTCTAAAATTTCTGTGGTGCCCCTCTTTGCTTGGTGCCCTAAGCACGTGCTTATATTGTTTAATGGTTAATCCGGCGCTGATGGCTGGAAAGGTGATTCAATTGTGACATGTCCTTTTTATTTTATAACTATTGAAAGTAGATCATCTAAATACTATGGTGTACTCGGTTTATATAAAATGAATTTTCAAATTTAAATTTTCTACTATAAAAAATGTAACTTTTATTTAATAAACAAATTGCAATTTGCATTGCGAGTACCTCGACTTTGACGGGCAAAATTTCCTGGGACGAAATGTGAATGATCAGATTTTGTTCCTCCCATTCTAACATACGATGGTCCGAGAGCTCTTGCTAATGTCAAGAGTTTTGTGTTGCTGTTAAAGGAAGTGACATCATCGAAATTAGCGATATAATACCGCAGAAAATACTGTAAATTTTATAGCATTCCATTATTAAAAAACCAAAGAGGACTACAACAATTTGTGTTCATAGATTCTTATGCCTGATAATTTAATGGATATAAAATGGATCTACCACAGATTGCAACACAAAGATATAACGCATCAGCATCATAGTGTGAACCAGAATAATTTCAGCATTTTTATCCAGACTGTGAAAGCTGATCAAGTTAATTTCCAAACACAGCACCTGGACTATGAACAGTAGTAAATGTTGGAGTAAATATTCGAGTCAATTAGTAAATTTCAACAAGAATTTAATTTAATAGACACTTAATAACATTGTCTAACCTAGCTCATTAAAGCTACTGACTTCATATATTTGATGATCCCGTATTTGAAAATTCCCACTCCTAGCGTAACAGAAGCAGATTTTTTATCGATATTGTAAATGGCTTCCGTACCGTTGATGGAGATGCGAATCTGTAATTCAGACATGAGTGAATGCCTTTATTATTTCGCTAGGACCTATTTATGTAAAATTGGAAAAAAAATCGGCAATTGTCATTTAATCAAATCACAAATCATTGATTCTCTGAAAGAATGAGATTACATCGTATCAAAATAATTACATTTTCCTATTTAATGATGACCTCCTCGCTTCCAACAAAATGTAAAATCAAATCTGTTACATCACCATTACCACCCACACTTTACCAAAGCATGCCAACCCATGGATGACAACCTAACGCTCAGCGCGCTACCCCCATTCTCATCGTTTTCCCGTGAGGTCCTGCAATTTTCCGAATTTGTCAGTGCAATAAACACAGTATATACAACAATGGATCATTAACAGGCTTCGCGCGAAATCGTTTAAATATGTTTAATTACGATATTTAACGTTAGCAAGCCTAGCCCAAAATGTAGCCTTGGCAAAGATTTTAGTTATAATCCCACTTTTTTCCAAACGTGATAACCAGCAGATTCAAAGCAATCACTAATCTCCGCAATAACTCCATTCTAAATCGTCAACACACTGTACAATACAGAGCAAGGTTCGTTCGCAAAACCCAAATAAAAAATAGCAATTTTGCAAATCTCAAAGCCATCGAGGTGCGTTTTATTCTCCAATTATTTCCGGCGTCGAACTCACTTTACTCAAGTCGTGTGATTTCTTGGCTCGATCGAATACAATACATTATAGGCTTGCACGTAATTGACAAAAATCAATTCCGTAATTACGGCAAAATCAATTACGTAATGACCCCGTAATTGCGATATTTTTCCACGCATTCAAACCTATCGTAACAACCAATTGAATCCACTTTTTTTCCGAATGGGACATTGAAGTTGGGTTTTCCTATTCTTGGCAGTACTACACGCCGGCGGCAGATGTTAAAGACAACTATCAAGGAGTGAATTCAAATTAATTTTATTCTGATTTTTATCTTTTGTGTTAGCTTTGGTTTTTCTTTATCACCTTCGCAAATTAACCGTCCCATTTTTATGCGATCAATTTTATTTTATCATTACCGACACTGGTATACGGATATTTATGGAAACGATAGTTTTTTAAAACCACCTGAGTACTGAATAAAAATTACGGGTTTTTAATTTATTAACCAACGACGTGCGTATTTTTTCATTTAATTATACTTGCGATTTCCTCGCGACGAAGACTTGTTTTTGCAGCGTTTTCCGCATTATCCGGCATTTCTGCCTTGTTAGCATTTTTATAATAATAATTATTGATGTCGACTAATCGACGATATTCCTATTACCATGCTTCATTTTACATTCAATCATTTCGCGGACTGAATGTTTGTAACATTATTTGCGATAAATTTAGATCAAATATTATTTATTTGCGTATAATTTAAATACCGAACTTATATGGCATGCCTTCTCCGAAAATACAAAGTTATATCGCAAAACAATGCATTTTGTGACATTTATTTTACACTCACAACATTTATTTGCTAACTCAAGTCGGCGATCCTATCGGCCAAGATTGACAAAAGTTTGGTCGAGTGCCGGTGGTATTCAAGTCGACGATAAATCAAAATAAGTTGCCGCATTTGGTAAGACAGTTAATCATATATGGCCGAAATATTGAGAGGAATTGTGAAAAACATCATGAGCAAGGCCAAGTCCGGACTGATATATAACGATAAAACCGTTAACAGAACATCAAGATTTTGTAATAGAAAATGGATCTCGCACAGAATAAACACACAGGCTCATATTTGATTATATATGATAGCAGTTAAATTTTCAACGGTCCGCGAGGAATCCGTCGTTTTGGTTCATTACGCAATCTCTCTTTTGTCGTCATATTGCTATTTGATAAGCGCGACATTAATTATAACGGCGAGGTATTGGCGCGAGTGATCAATCGCTCTTTTCGCTTATTTGGTTCCAATTCGTCGCGAAAGCTCTTCGTTAAATTTCACAAGATAGTCGTGTTGAAAGGTTATGGATATTTTCCTGTTTATACCCCAAGTCTGAAATGAAACAGCCAAAAACAATATGATATTCCATGTTCATATATCAAGTGTTGATATTAACAATAAAGAATGGTCAAGCATTGCTAATCCACACTTGGTGGGGAATTCCCACTATTCAAACGCGTGACTATAAAATAGAATAAAATAGAAACGGAACATATATACCATAAGTAACGGAAAACTGGAACAAGTAAATAATAAATAAAAGTAGAATGGATACAAATGTTTGATAGACAATGTTTGATAGATTGATCTCCTGCGTTCATTAGTCATTTCACCCGAAGAAGTTGAAACCGGGCGTGTTAGCGTCCATCTGTCTTAACACAATTCTTCCCCCTATCTACGGTTATTATGTACATTGTCCATGCCCATGCTAGATAAGATGCGAGAGAAGTTGAAACCAGGTGTGTCGGCGTCAATCGGTCTCAACGCAATTCTATCCCTTATCTACGGTTAAGTTGCGGAGAAGTTAAAACCAGGTGTGTCGGCGTCGAACGGCCCTACTCAGTTCTTCCCCCATTAACTACGTTAATAATTTACATTGGTCACGCCAGATAAGTTGATAATAGTTTAGTAAATGGCAACGCGTCATGCCTTCCTTCACCTACGAAACAAGAGAGAGAAAAACGGCTGCGAATACCGGAACTCTAACTTCTTCTACTTGTTGAGCTTTCATTTTCGCAATCGACTGCGTTGAAGAAAGCTCGTTTCAATGCAATAATTACTACTTTACGTAATTCGTAACTTCCCTTCCGTAACTCCAAATAATTACGTAATTCCGTAAATCCGTAAATTACGTGCAAGCCTATGACAATAACATCATGGCAATTTTCACTCACAAAATCACCAATTGTAGATCATTATTAGTACACGTCACTGACCGAATAATAGTCATTTTTTGACTGCAAACAAAAGTCTATGAATTGTATGCCATGGATAATGGTGATTAGAATTATTATTGACAATTGGTCCCATTATTGATGAGAAAGTACAAATAATTTGAAAAATAATATAGCTTGTCGTAATACTGGTTTAATTTTCGGGTACAAACAGGCTTTTTACGGGATATTGACAAGTTTGTCACACACTCACAGCCGTTCATTTTTATATTGCTTCCATACACCTATATATTGCTTTTATTTAGTCAGCTCTCGCTTGCAAATTTTCTGATATTGCTATTTTCAATGCAGCTTGTGATAACTGAATATCTTATGACTTTTATCTAATCACGATTTGGTGATAAATGTAACCTTAGCATATTGAAAATGTGATATAAATGTCTTTCTAAACGTTTATTAGACACGAAATGGACCTACAGATCCACCTACTGTGCTACTTCAGTGGTTAAAGATTGTATTCTAGATTTCTAGAATGATATTACTTTTATTTACTTTAAGAATTTTTTTTTTTTTTTTGTGCGATGACGTCGAAGTGCAGTTTAGTTGCTACTCTCGTAGTCTGTGTATCAGATCGAGGTTAAGCCATAACCTCATTCCGACTTTCCTTATTCTAGTTCTATTACGAGTTATGGGATTGTGTGTGTGTTAGCCAAGTGGATATATCTTGTGCCCAGGGTTTCTGCCCCTTTACACAACTTGGTGTAGAGTAGGTGAACAATATTAGTTACCTTCAGTATGTTCTCCCAGCTTTTTCTTTTATGTGGAGGGGGGTGTTTCGAAATTTAGGGGTGGTGAATATTTGTTATTAGCGATAAAACTATTTGTATCGTTAAAAAATTGATATGTATTTAAGAAACGATATACATGAGGGTTCCCACAAGTTGATTGACCGCGAGCCAAAATAAACAGCAGAATAAAATTGGAGGGCCAGAAAAGGGCGCGAAGACACGGCTGGGGTTCAGGGCGTGCTCAAGCGTCCTGAGAAAAATTTGAGAAAGCCTAATTTTAGATACAAATAGCATCGCAGTTTGTTATGTAATAAAAGTAATAATTATATATAATAGTTAGCTGATAGAATTATCGAAAAATAAATAACAAGCACGGCTTGCAACAAGTAATTTGCAACTGATAGTGACTAATGAAGTTATTTGCTCATCTGGCATTGTATGAATGGCTACTTATGGCTTGTTTTGTTACACAAAAAACATCCCAATGTATATATATATATATAAAATAAATGCCATAATTTAGTTTAGTTCAAAACGTGGCTCCAATTCATTACATTGTATTTCAAATTTTTTCAAGTGATTGTCTGTCGGTCTCAACCAAAGTTTTGATTTGCCATGGTTCATAATTGGGTTGTTAGAAAGACTGATGCTGGAAAATTAACTTTTATATCAGGAAAAATGACTTCCAAAACTTGCAGCATATATTCGCGCGAAAATTTCCCCCTCAACAAACGGGAGATTCTTTATAGCAATGTTGCGGGCTACAATATAACTGGCCAATAACGTAGATCCATTTTCATTTCACATTTTTTTGAACATGTTTGTTTGACTTTTGTATGAATTAAGCAATGAATTAAATTTTGAAATACGCGCGTCAACTGATCATAATGTTGTATTCCTTCAGAACTGAAATATTTTGTTGGCAATGAAGACAAATCGCTGAAGTTTGATTCTTTTCAATAGAAAAATAAAAACGCTGCCATTGATCTAAAAAACGTCTGTTTTCAGTGCCTAGATTTCGTTTTGTGACATCTTTAAGCCTTCTTAATATACGACTGATATTCAAAATACTGCTGTGTGTAATCCTAATACGGATACGTATACATAAGATATCGGTATACTTCAATTGCTACGAAATGAAGGTGCTTAAACTGTGATAATGAATTAATGATGTAACGATAGACGGTACCTAAAACTCAAAAGATACCACATGAAGTGTTAAACTATTTCACTCAAGTTCGGCGGGCCCGCAGACTGCGATTTGGATAAATATGCCATAGTTTATATATCCAAATACAATTATACTTGAGTTAGGAATTACCGTGTGGAATCACACATCAAAATTAGGAGGGGTGTTTGAAATTTTAGGGGGAGGGGGGGGGGGGGTGTTCATCCCCTATAGGGGGTGTAAGGAAATCACTTACCTCCATATTGGTACACGCACTTATGGAGCGCTTCTTGGTTCTATTTATATGTACAGCTCGGGTCAGTGGCGTATCATCCACCCCCGCAACCCCCGCGGTCGCGGGAGGACCCACAGCGCAAAGGGGCCTAAGCGGTTAGAATTTAGAAATTTAGGCCGCAAACCAAAAGCTACAGTGCAAAACAAGTAATGGACATCAGGGATTGATTCAGATATTTTATTTTGTGACAAAGAGTATGATATTGAATTCGGACTGTCAGCAGATACTGCTATTTCTAGAAATTCCGCTTGAATACTAAATGAGTATTCAACTACATATGTGTAAATGGTTTGTAGAATGACTTATGACCATATCAATGCGCAACATTTTTAAACATTTAATGGCATATTTTTGATTTGTTCTCTCTGTGTGTATACCGCTACTGTTTTAACAATGTTGGCCACATCTATGTATCAATTAGGCTACAGACCTGCTCACGCGTGGTTAGTGTTTTTCTTGATAATTGCTTTTATGAGTGTCCGCACACCGTATTTGCCGCCATGATTTTGCGTTTGTTTGTATATTTTAAATCATTTATCTTTTCCGCAATGCCCAATCTAGCAATCAGTGTAGTTTTTCGTGGCTTGGTTTTTCTTAAAGCTTTCATGGATTCATGAGTATGACTATCGTCGCAAATTTATTACATTCCACTCCCCACATTATCTTTGCACGAGGTTGTAGGTATTGGTCATTATCAATGTTTTTTTTGAAAGTACAACAGTCCGAAAGTTTAATACTATCGTGTATTTTGTTTTTCAAATTTGGCCCAAGCCTCATTTAACTGGGCTTGTGTTTTTGTGTGCGTGCTGGTGGGCAGGCACATGAGATGCTTCTCATGTTTCAAACTTTTTTATAGGTTTTGCTTGCCCTCTAGAATTCTCCATTTTTAATTTATGTTTGTTATGGAGTTTTCGAAATAAACTATCTATCTATCTTATAACGTTGATGTTAGTTCTGCGCAAATCGTTTTGTTACGTAACAATGCCAAGGAGTCGTCGATTTTCGGCGTCTTGTGGTTTAAATCGCACCGGCAAAATTACGAAGGCTGTCAGAACGAAGTAGAAAACAAAACTTCTCAGTGACGCACAGAAACGCAGAAGAGGAGCGGGGGGGGGGGGGGGGGGGGAGGGGGGGCACTAGAGTCGCTACGCAAAATACTCGAGGCGATAAAAAAAGGCCATTTACAGATAAATGGGGAAGCGATTCCAATAGGCTACCCTGGCTAATGTTTTGTGGTCGTTTTTGTTCGCTTTTGACTGATACGTTGGTCATATTATTAACCCACGACTTTCGCAAATTTATAAAACTGCCAAAATTAGCACCGCATGATGGGCTGAGATATACTAGCGTTTGATACATAATGAGAAACGAATCAAGATCAGGAGAATATGCGAGAAAATCGACGCAAATGATTGATTTCTGTCAAATTTTATAAAAAACGGACGGCTTAATCACATGGCGAGCCACGGCCTCTCGTCCGGTTACCAGTCCAGGTTGGGTGTGGAATTAGTTAGCCAGTTATTTGTTTTCAAAAGCGTGAACCACCCTACGGCGGTGAGCAATCTTCTCGCACATGATCCTCCGCATGGGATTCGAAGCTGCGATCCCACGAAGGGTAATTAGAGATGCGGTGGCGAGCGTATTCCTAACGCTCTGCACGATGCGCCACAACGCCGAGGCCGTATTTGATCATGGTTCTCTGATTTTATAAATTAGGTGGTTTTGGTTTTCATATCTAGGTTATTAAATATTAGTAGTTCTCAATGTTTAAATCTAAACTTTGGTAAAGGAAATGTTAAAGTAAATCAATTCATTTAAATAGATTAGAGTATAGATAATATCAACAATAATTTTGAAGTGGAGACGTTTTTCCATTACGAATAATTCATTATTCATTTAAAAAAAATAACATTTTTTCTACTTGTGTTATATTTACCAAAGCTATTGTATTATAAGCGATGAATAAACATCTAATATTTTGGGCTAAATTTCGAATATCGGTACTATTGAACTTTTTCTCCCCTTGGAATAAATATAATAGTATTTTGTCACTCAGAAAATTTACTGGGCAGTGGATTTTTTATACTTTGATGAGGTTTGATACAATGTATTTCTCTGGAATATTTCCTAATCGCTTTTTATATACCATACGTACGCTACTGATTTGGGTTTTTATTCGTCATAAAAGAAATAAAATAATTTTGAGACACACGAAATCAACATCATTTTATAGCATAACAATGTTTTATTTATCATACGGTGGACAAAAGTACATATATATCCTTTTGTGGTGTTATTTCGCATCCGGCATCACATTTTTTGCACTTGCTGTTCCTGAAAAAAAAAATATATATAGACTAGCATAAGCTATCTAAACGCTGTGTTTGAGTACCTTATTTAACAATACTTCAACAAATGTTGATGAAGAATAATTATCATCAATAATATATGTTATATTATTGAGATATAGATAGCGTTTGCAAACACTTCCGAAAATTTTAGAGAATTTTGGCGATTTACCCTTTGACTAAGGAATCGCTAGTGAAACTGCCAATGTGCTTGTTATTAAAGCTAAAACATTTATAACCTACTATAATATAACTTACCATCAAGAGCATTGAATCTAAACAGGTCGGCCGACTTTGTTGTTTTCTTGAAATGACTATTTAAATAAATATAAAATTATCGCTAGAGAGTTAAAAGTACTCAAACAAAATACCACTTTTACGTAAACTAGACGTTTTTTACAAAAAATGGAATTGTAGTCTATAATGAGCTAATTTCAGCAGAAATCAATTTTGCAATGGGGTACGGAATCGTAAATTCGTTTTCGATTGGTTTTTAACTGCTGATATGCTCATAATTGATGATTTGGAAATATTTTGGTGGTCAACGTAAGAAATTTATAAATAAGTTTTAAAGCAGAAAAAAAACGTTACCAAATATATATTGTATACGCCAGGATAACAATTAACCAGAGTACTGCAAAAGCTACAATAACTGAGAACTTCCATGTACTGCACACCCAGTGTTCTGAAAAAATTAAAAAAGTGTGTCTTTTTATACAGTATGAAGTATTTATCTATAGTAAATTTTATTGAATTAATTAGTTACCTTTAATTAATATGCATTTTTGTACTACATGTGATGTGATCTAAAGTAGCCCATACCGACATATTAAATAATATAAATCTTTAGCTTCGCACAAAACAAGAAGTTGCACTGATCGTACGTATAAATATGTAAAAATTCACGTAATATTCACCTGAATTGTTGATTGAAGGTCGACCAAATGATGGTAGAGCGGCACTTGGTTTATTGCTTTCAGATATTCTGTATGGAAAGTGTGTATCAAGTAATCCATTTTTTAATCAAAATATTACAATATATTTGATTTTATGGCGCTCCAGAAATGTATGTACCAATATGAGGGTAACTAATTTTGTTCGTCTACTTTACATCAAATTGTGTAAAGGGACTGAAGCCTATGGGTAGGGGATATATTCAATTGCCTAACACAGACAGTCCCCGAACTCGTAAAAGAACCAAAATCGGGAAAAACAGAATAAAACTATAGCCTAACCCCAAGCTGGTACACACACTACGGAATACCGACTTTATTATGGCGCACAAATATCACATACTTATTTAGCTTAACACTTTCAGTCGGGGTTACGCGAAACTAACTTTCCTTGCTTTTATTCCTTTGCGCAAAAGGATCCGTGTGCTTGTCATACAGAGATGCCTTAGCAAAAATAAAGATGACTACTCAAGAATCTTGAATCTGTTGAATACTTATTTATTTTAAATTGTGGATCGACCAAGCCTTTCACCAAAGATGCATTCCTTCGTATGTTTCTACAAAAGCTAATATTTCATTTCATATGTGCGTGAACAGTAAAGACAACATAGCTTAGAATAACATTGTGGTATTGAATAATGTTATTTAGGAAATCAGCCGGCGTTTTAATACAATAGGCTTGTAAGTAATATAATTCATATAACACGTTGCATAGCGGAGATTCATTTTAATATATCACTTACTTATTTTGTCCGAAATTTTTTTCAAATGTTGTAAAATTATGTTGCACAATTGTTTTTCTTTCTGGTCTGAGTTCTTCATCAAAACAAATAACTAAGAATGTAATAATAAAAATATAAATAGTCTTGATCTAAGTCAGAAGGGGTGGAGAATAGGGGTCTCAAATTTCTATATGCCAAGTGAGACCGTATCAACTAGCCGGCCCAACTTGAGGGTAGCTCTTTTATTTGCGGTTAAAAAATGGGTCCACTCCCCACCGCCAACCCTGGCGTCCGCACTTATCTATGCACATTAGTATTCACGATTTAATTATTTTATTGATTTTCTATAATGCTGTACAATTCTTGAAAACCAGTACGAAGTTTACAAACTGTGCTTGTATTACCTCTGAGATCTGCGTATCCTCTCACAGAATGAATTGAACTATTGGCAAAGCAATGATATCTTCCTTCGTCAAACGAGTGGGCGTTCGTTATCACAAGTCGAGACATTCCGTCATATTTGATCTGATGGATTCGTTGATCTAAATCGTCGCTGACAGTTTCATCATTTCGTTGCCAACCAACCATTGGAATTGGATATCCTGATGCTCTACAGTCAATCGTAATGCTTTCTTTTCTCTTAATAACTGGTCGTTCGTTGGAAACTCTCAAGCCCCATGGTGGAACTAAAAATTAAATAATTTTCACATACAATTTTAGCAAAATTGCTCAGAAACGCACGCCCAAAACAGAGGCAGGAATTAAGACTATTTGTAGATCAAATATTCACAGAGAAGCACATCACAGGAAATATACCCGAGAGTCAAATTTTGTTTTGCTATTCTCTCAGAAAATGGAGCATATATATACAAATTAATTAGTAAGTTAAACGTCAACACGCTCTGTTTTTATCGTCGATTCATCTACTATGTAACTTGTGAATATTAGAAACAACGTAATTTTTGCATGATACTCACTTTTCTCACAAATGGGATAAATAGACGGATCATCGCAATCATTTTGTGACCACCCTTCACTTCCCATAATTAAACAGTTTTTGGAGTTTTCACCTTTTCGTATCCAATACTTTAGTGTCGGGTCACTAAATAAATATACAAAAGTTTCAATGGTTTTTTTTATTCTTATTGAATTGATGTTTAAAAAAATATGATCTTAAATATATCTATCTTATGAGCGAAAGTTTGTCGAGAATACACATAATGAAGAAATTTAAACTAAAAAACCGCAGCTCGTGTCTCAGCTAGGCTACGTCAAGTTTGTTAATTGGAGGTCGAATATTATTGAAAAAATTTTCACGTTTTTCAATATTCAAACTCATAACACAGGTAAAAGCATAATAATTTTGCCAAAATATTTAGGAAGTATTCAATAGTTTACCACATACTGTATATGCTATCGAATATCTCTGTCATCTAATAAGCAATAGAAGCGGTCCTCCACGGAAAGAAAGCATTCTGCAAAAGTGGAAATACCTGGCACACTTTTCACGAATATCAAAGAACGCTCTATCGTTAAAAATGTCTACAATTCTACTTTGATTCTTTGTGCACATTTTCTGTGCGTCCCAATAGGCCATAGTTCGAACGCTTGTGTTTGTAGAGTTTGTATCTCCGAAAGAAAGTTCAGCGTAGTACGACGGTTGGAGTTTGTCAATTCCTGCATAATTACAACATAGAATAAGTGTTTACGTTATAATACTAAAATATACACTTTGCAATGGCAATTTAAAAGTTTTTATGTTCTACTAAAAAAAACACTAATAAGCATCTCAAATTATTAACATAAAATGAAAAATGAACACAGCATTGAAATTTAAATATATATTATGTACACAAAATCTTCTCGCACCAATAATATTAACTTACTAGTTTGACATATGAATCCAGGTTTATTGTAATAGAAATTTGGCTCACCAAACCACTTCAAATCAGAATACACAAATGCGACATGCACGTATTCTGCAACATAGACGTCAGTTGGTTCATTCTCAGCCCTTTAAAATTAAATAACACATTCATTATTATAAGGGGTCGGAAACACAAAAAGTAATAAAAAGTATTACCAATTAGTAAATCCGGCTTTAAGCTTTTCCCCGTTCATCCAATAGTATTCCTCGGTTTCTCTATTTTTAAATGCACCAATCCAGGACTTATCTGATGTACTGAAATACAAAATATGTTTGATTCTTTTACTGGTATATATATATTTTTCTCAGAATGTTTATTGCTTTCCAACATCGTTAGACTAACAGTATTTAGTCAGTTTAATAAAATAAAATACTCACAAAAACACACACGCACAGAGAGAGACAAAATCAATAAAATTCACTTGTTTTTCAAGAGTTCTTTTACTGCTTCATGTATCTCTTCATTATCTATAATCACCAATCTTGAGCCAGGCATTTTTACTCCACATACGTTAATAATTTCTTCACCGCCGATATATAAATCTTTTCCATCTTTATAATAGGTTAATTCATAGTCTCCGACGTACAATGTGTCAATTAATTTTCCTGCAACAATGTAAATAAAATATCATTGATAATTGTTCATCTATATTTTTCATAAGAATTTGTAACATTTCATACACCATACATTGACGTAACTAATTTATCCAGTTTATCAAAATGTATTCATTGTGTGTGGCCGTTATACCCATGTTGATTTAAAGAAACGAAACTTAGAAAAAAAAAACTTTTTTCAGATATCTTCACAGGAAATGTTTCATACTTTGTTACATATGTGCAGTACAGTAACTTACAGTTTCACTTTGAACTGATGTTGAATAATTTTATATATCAGAGAATTCCAAAATTTTAGCCACTCTAATTGATATTAAATCATTGAAGTATTTCTGTGCAGCTGTATTCATTTACAATCAACGATTTTATATTTACTTACCTTCATTCTGCGAAATAAAGAAAACAAATGCTACTCCTAAAATTCTCATTCTCTGAAATTCCATTTCTATAAAAAAAATCTGGAAAAAATAATTATTCGTTCATCAGTATTAAATAAAATGAAACATGTATATATCAGAAAACGATACTCGGTTATCACAGAATATTTTTGTAAAATAATTTAGCTAGTATGTGGATTCAAAAAATTCATTGGCAAATGTTCCCAAACCAAATTAGTGCACCGCATACTGAGGTCTTAAATTTCAATAGCGATTCATATATCTAATTTATACGGATAAGTTACCTTTTGCTTGAAACAAGACTAGAGAAGTTAATAATGGCGTTCGTTTAATGTTTTCAATGTTTTTAAAAACTTTTTCTATTGATTGTTGTTGACTTCTTCAACTGACTCCTTTCGATGACAAAAATTTTTCACATATTTAAAAAAAAAAATCCAAGGTATTTATTTAGAACGAAGATATATAAAGTGAAAATCGATTTTTTTCGAGTTGCAAATTTGGGAGAATCGTTTCTTTGTTGACAAACCAACGGTTATTTCACGCATTCGCGAGTAAGCTTTGAGCAAGGTCTTGTAAAAATGCCGAACAGAAGATTTTATATAGCGATTGGTGTTTTAGCGAACAAATATCGCTCAAGGCATTTTGAGAATCTCAAGTAAAAGAACAATTATTACATGTTTACATGTCGCTTTGACATGCTATTTCAGAGGAATTCTAAATATACATACTTTCGTTAGTCATCAAGTATCCACTTCCACCATAACAAATCTGGCCTGGAAAAAGTATACATCATACCTGAAATTATATTTGGTTTTATTAATCATATTTGCAAAAAGTAATAACAAGAACTGAACAGAGTCATGTTTCTTGCCGACCAATTGCACTTCAACTATACAAGTCTAAGATCATATTTAGCCAATTTACCTCACCCCACATCCTCGTGGATTCTACACGTTATATGTCAAGGACGAGCTAAAATTATAGCATTGCAGTCTAGAAAAATACCAACCTACCAATGAATATAGCCAGTTGTTTTGAATTTGATCGTGAATTGCGTTATGACGCTGTTTGGTGATTATGATTTGGTACAACGAATTGCAATGCTTTAAGCTTATTTATTTTGAAAAGTATACTATTTTGGAAGAATGTTTTTAAAGTTACAATGTGATCAAATTAGTCTAATTTTACAATTAATACAAGACAATCGCTACCCAGGGCTCGAATTGTGTCGCCAAACTCCGCCATAATCCTATTTGATGCAACTCATATTTCTGATTCATAACACGAAAGATATCAAATTTCGAAGTCATTCAAGAAAATTATTTCGTTGCCCCTTTCAATGGACTTTCACACAAAAACTTAGATGAATACTGCTGTCACTTTCAATCAATTTATATCACATGAAACAAAAAATTGATCAATATTATTCGAAATCTGATTTTAACATTCTCATTAAAAGTATTTGCTGAATAATCGTTCAATGTGACAACGATGTAAAATTACTTTGTCGAAAATAGAAGCGAGTGTTCGACTGTTTGAAGCAGTTCGTAAAGTTTCAATTTAAAAAGAATATGCGTGTCAAAAAAATGTAGTAACTGTGCGTGTGGCCGTTATACCAAGGTTGATTTAAAGAAACGAAACATAAAGAAAAGCCTTATTATTCAGATATCACCACGGGAAATATTTCATACTTTGTTACATATGTGCAGTACAGTTACTTACAGTTTCACTAATTGAAGCAGTTCGTACAGTTGCGGAATTGAAAGGGATTCCAAGAATAGATCTGAATCACACACTGTCTAATATCTGATAACGGTTATAATCTGTAATTCGTTGTCGTGTAAATTTGGTTGAAGGAATTCGAAGTATAATTGAATGACTAAATTTGAGCAATGCGAAAAGTGTTGTCATTATCCTGATGTAAATGTATTTTAGTCGGACAACAATGCGGGTCATATGATCAACTTAGTCACTACCAATAACATGGAAAACAAATGGCCAAAGTTGACAACAAGTTCAATATATTCGGTTGGTGCCATATTAATAACAATTGAACATCGTTCCAACACAATTCAGAAAAGATTCGCTTGTTTAAAATTTATGTCTCTCATAATTTGATTCACAAGTGATTGTTTGATTGCAATCATAAGTCAACACATAAATCGTTATAATATTTTCATTTCAATCCGTACTTCCTATTCAACTTTCATTATATTCATCGATATGGCACTACAATTAATCTACAATTAATTTTCGTCAGTTGTGTGCAATATTTGTTATTGACAAAATTTAATCAAATTATAACATTAAAAACTAAAGATACTTTTTTCGTGTAATATCTAGCTGATGGCTCTTGATTTTATTCGGATTTTACGTTTCTAACATTAGAATAATTTTAACGAATTCTTAGCTAGATTCTAATTGACACTAACTCGAGGCAAATGGAAAAATATATCTACCAAATGTCGATGCTGCTCGTGTTATATAGTTAAACAGATATTCATATCGAATCCCTTTTTGATTCTAAATTTGAGGCTCATCTAGACTCTAGAATAATTTCTATACCCACTGAATTAGAAGAAAAAAACGTCTTAACAATACGTTTTTTACACGTCCGTTTAATAAATTTTCTTCCCAGTAAAATTTTAACGCAAAATTATTTGGTTCATATCTTTTTTATCGATATTATTCCAATGAAAGTTGTTTTAACTTTGCCCCACCTACAGCCTGAATCACTCGTAATATTTTAATCGTAAATTTTTTATTTATCATATTTTTATTCACATCTATATATGCTGGAGTAAATAATATATACGCAAATACATGATCTATTTTCTTATATGCACCATTATCTACATCGTACCATTTTGTGCACAGTAAAGTATTTCCCATAATATATTGTGAAATTCAGCCATATTCAATTGACATAAAAATACTGTTTTTTGTTGTTGTTTCAATCATATCTCGTTTTGTATAAGTATATAAATTACACACAAGGAAGTTGGATATTATCTCTATATGGAAATGTAATAAGTCTAAGGGTGGAGAATGGCTGTCGTGTTTGGGATGGGGCTTCTGTGACCGTATTAAACACTTTGAAAAAATCAAAAAGAATGTCAAATACGCAACCTCTCTTTCATTACCAAAATGTTTCGTTGCTGTGTTTATTTTATAGATATTGTAAACGAATGTGTTCTTCTGAACTGTGGGAACTTGTTTCTCCGAATTAGTTTTGAGCCCTAAAACTCGGTTAGCTGTTAACTTGCATTGGTTCACTGTCAGAGTATCTACAATATAAAAAAAATCATGCCCAAAGTTTTTTCCAAAAACTGCTATTATGTGGGATTTATTACCTCATAGCTATTTTCTTGATCACATTAACTTTCTTCAAGTATGGCGTCAATAGTCTTAGTAGCTTATGGCAATTTTAGTGGTCGTCCGGAACTGCGCTCAGACTTGAATTTCTTCTATTTCTGAGTAAGGAGGCGTGATCTTGCAATGAGCAAATTTCTTCATTCAAAAATATCATTAATTGCATTGAATCATTTGTAAACACTGCGTTCTTTCTACATTTTGGTGAGTTCAATGGCACACGTATAAACCAGCCAAGTGAATATAAAGTCTGATAAGTGATCATATGCTTAGTCAAATATTTTTAAAGTGTGATTACAAATTTATTCCATGAATATTCGTTCGGTTATTGAACAAGCGTAGATGTTTACTTTTTTTTAAATGAAACCAAGATGAAATTTAAACTTCCGTCTGAATCCAATACCTTGCAGAGGTCGATCCGGTTTTCACTTTTCACCAGTGGAAACATTTACGGTAACTGTTTTTTGGAAGCATGTCTGGTTTTGCTTTATACGGGTACCATAGTAGAGTATTTCTATCGCAACCCCTGGCCCACTTAATGAGCTACATCCTATATCCCAGTTTGTAGCCACTACAAGGGGTTGCCAACATGAGTGAGGAGTTATCATGGTCCGCTTGATTCATAGCACTTATTTAATTCATTCAATGACTTCAGACACTATGAAGTAAGATTACAATTTTATATCCCACACTCTATGAAACTATAAATAAAAGCCTTTGAGTAATATAATTGCGAGTCGAAAATAATCAAATCAACCTATATATACCTATATGCAAAGATCAAAGTCACTCAATAAATTTGGAATATTGAAACTGTAAATAGAAACGGGAAGAAATAATACAAAATGGCGCGTAAAAAAGTAGGCGACATCATCATCTTATATTATGATATAGATATATGAAATGAAAAGGTATTATTGGGTGGCAGTAAATTAGGTTGGAATGCTGAATGAACAATTTCTTAACGTTGTGCAGTGTTCAGCATTTAAATATTTATTAAACAACTTTTTGATTTTGTATTTACTAAGTTTGAAATCAAACTTTTTCAATTATTATAATATTTTCTCTGTTCTAAGCCCATTTTTAAATTGAATGTCATCGATACGATAAATAAAATTATCCTTCCACTTTTATTACAAACGGGTCTAGTATTCTGGAATATAGTAAAAATATAAATCAAATCATTGGATCCGTTGTTGATTGGATAATATTGCTATTACTAATATTTAAAAAAGGGAAATTAGGGTAAGGGTAAAATGGCATATTTTTTCAAATTCAGGCAACTCATTTGTTCACCCATTCTTAAATTCCTTAACGGAAAATAAGTGGAAAAGGAATAATTAGCCCGAATAAAAATGCAACAAATTTCAGATTTAAAATTTTTTAAACTGATTAAATTCTGGAAAACTCGTATAAATTGAAAACAAATTTTAAAATGGATGACAGGTAAGTGAACGTCGCGGTTTGTATTGATTTTGAGACCCTATGCTCCAGACTACCAAGGTTATAGGTAACCCAGCCTCGCCTTCGCCCCACCAATGGTGTAATATATTGTATAGGCAATGTTGGGAATTGTCATTCAAGATATCTCCTAACCTAACGTATACCAATGGGCGTTTATACTGGTTTTTGTTCAACCGAAGCCGTGAAAACCTCTCGTAAAAAATTCGTTTCGTCTTGTGCAAAATTTCACTCGTAAAGCAGAGAAAAACTCGAGTTCAATTTTCAACCATCTTGAATAAACTCTATAGCCCTGCACGCAATATAAATTATATGCAATATATCCAATTTCAATTCATTCAAACATGAAATAATAACTCAGAATAAAATATTATAAAATAAAATTGAATTCATCGCATCCATTCAGACAACGTCGGGCTTCTTTTTCTCATTTCCTCAGTGAATATATATTATTTTTGATAATGATGAGATGATACTACTTACAATTGCAGAATGAACTTCTAGTTTCCACACTGTGTAGAATCTGTAGATCCCAAATAAAAATCAATGAAAGCCTCCGTCTATTATAGTAATAAATAAAAATTCAATCTCAGGACATTTCTTCTACGATTCATTTGACGTTAGTATCATTCCGTACCCAATCAAGACTTAAATAAACAAACTTTGAAAGTAAGTTCAGTGCAATTTACTTTCTATTGTGCTTTCGTCGAACGCGCGTTTTGTCAATTTTTCGGTAACACAGTCAGTTTAGTTATCTTTGATTATAGATAGTACCATAATATGATTTAATAACATTAACTTGGGAATAATTTTGGACCATGTAATATACCTTATATTATTTATAATTATGTTAATATACCTTTTATGAAATAGGAAAACTAATAATATGAACCATAAAACTGTCAGCTCAATTCCTGCTGGAAGAACCCATAACTTGTTGCATTCCATATCTAAAAATCAAAATTATTAAACATGTGAGCTGAAAAGGGAGAATTAAACTTCTATAAATTATGTATTTGAATATATTAAGTTTGAACTCTGTGATTTAAATACTCGCTTTTTACACTTAGAGATTCTAACTTTGCTATGAAACATATTTTATGATATGGATCCCACAGTATATTGCACGTTAGCTTGACCAAATCAGATCTCTGAAATGTACCCTGTGTACATGAACATTTGAATCATTATAGAAGCAATATTTTTTCTTCAATAGTTTACTATGGTTGGATTCATGCGAGACGCGTCAACCGCCACCATGTTTAATATTACTCCCCGTAAATTTGACCAATCATTTTTGAGATTGCATTTTGAGATTTGATTGCACTATCGTTCGCGAAGTACAGGACTGATAGTGTGGCGCGGGATCGACTGAAGTAAACGTTTCCCGGTTGCTTTCTTGAAGTCAGTGCGTTTGGTTATTAATTACGGCTTTATGCGCCTACGCTCGCATAGAAAATACAATACAATCCAAAGTGCTGATTCTATTTCATCGTCATACTCATGACGATACGAAATGAACAGCTGAAATCGTTCGCAGATTTCCTCGAAGATGAAACACCTCGTTGACGGCCAAAAGTGGCAATTGTTCAGAATTATTTTAAATTAGCTGAAAAAGTATTCCAATACAGTACTTTGATATTGGAATATTCCCTTCGCTTTGGACAACCATGACTGACACTAATGTTCGAAAGCAATCAATAACATAACTAGCTGCCACACCTATTGCACCGAGATTCCAGTAAACCACAAGAACTTCCAAATAGCACAATATAAAGCCATCAGCTACACTTCCAATGAGACTAAAATTCAATAATACATATAACCACAATTTGAAGTCCTGGTACTTGTTCAAAAACAGGAATTTATAAACTCAAATCACAATTAACAGGTAATATTTATCGGTAATATATTGACACTGAGCAGTAAATATATAGCACATACAAAAATATTAGAAATGATTAAAAGAATAACACTGCATAATAAAACATTCCTATTACAGTGAATCAATTAAAGAAACTATTCAGATGCATATCGCATATTCAAAATAGCATATATTTTGAAGTTCTTACATGCCATTGTTAATATCAGTTTTACTAAGTTGTCCTCAATTGAATCGAGTAGTTCTAAAAAATTTTGGGGATGATTTGAACTTCTAATCACATAAAATGTCATGAAGCAGATTAGCAAGATGTTATATTTCATATATTTCAGTATCATGGAAAAAAATCTTTTTATAACAGTAGTTTTATTCACAAAAAGGTTGGGTTCTAAGGTAATTAGATTTCATGTATAGCATATTATTCGATCAATATGTCAAATTTAGAGCAAATCTAGTCCAAAAATTAATCATTATATCAGAATTGAAATGATTTAATATTATTGATGATCTTTCGATTATCAAATCATTCAATTTACTAAAAATATTAAACAAAATAAAAAAGGCAAAGTAAAAGTAAATTATGATAAAGTCAATTAAGTTACTGCATAGCCTATTTTAGTGCTGCACATCCACCCCACAGTTAGTTATTTCTACATTCCAGCTCTCAAGCTAGCTTTTGATTTTTCCAATCTCTCTTCATCAATTTCAATATTAGAGCCAGATATTACCAAGCCCTGATTCTCTGCCACAACTTGTTCAATCTCCTCATCCTGGGCAAAGGACAGTTTTAGATGCTTTCTAAGAAAACACAATATAAGTCTCATATTGACATCATTTGCTTTTTTGGGATCAGCAGGTCCTCTGAATCTTATCATCTTTGCTAGCCATTCCGAACTTAACAAAAAGGCAAAATCACATTGAGTGTGGTGAACAGTACCACACAAAGTTACCAATTTACGTTCAGCTTCTGTATTAGTTACATCACAGTCAAGTTTTCGAATACTGGCTATATTAGCTTCCCACTGAAATGATTCAGAGTTGATAAAAAGCAGAGGTGTGTCAATATTAGCCTTATAAACTTCAGGTCCCAAGGGATACATCCATACATCTAGAGGGATTCCAGCTTTGAAGCGGAGATCTTTCACCAGTGAAGTTATACTTGTAGCACCACCAAATGAGTGACCAATGACAGCTGCTTTGTCAATATCAATTTTATCTTTGAATACAGTCAAATCAAAATCTGATAAGATGTTGGACAAAGTACCAGCGTTCAATAACTCTATACTATCCATCAGTTTGGAAATTTCTTTCGCTCGCTCATGGACTTGCTTGTTTCGTAGTTCTCTTTCTTCTGTTGTTGCAGGTTGGACACGCTTGTATGGTAACCAAACTTTATCGTACTTCTCATCTCCAGAGTTTGTTTTTTCAAGATAGAAAGTATTTGAGGCAGATTCATCACGATGCTCAATAGCTGCTACAAAGAAACCATGAGAAGCTATTTCATATGCAATGTAGCTATAGACAGTTCTGTTTGCACCAAGTCCATGAGAAAACAAAACAACAGGCAGCCTTGGCTTTTCTTGAGATAGTGACAATGGACCTTGCCAATAAACTGGAACTCTAGCAGAACCAAACATCCATCTTAGTAAACCGCCAGCGAAACCAAACTTGAGAAAGTTTGCAAATCCATAACCATATTCAGGAGAACTTAGCCATAATGGACAAATGCTTTCAGTCGGCTCAAATTTTTCTGTGGGATAATAGAATCTGCATAATGTACTGTCCAAGCCAGTTTTTGTCAAAATATCCAAGCAGGCAACATGATAGGGACCAGATGACTTTGGTAAATTCCAAGCCATTCCTCTGACGATAATGAAAATCCCTATATCCAGATATCTGCAAAAGATAGTTTTACAATTTAATGAAAAAAGAGCGCACATAGCCTATTATACATAGCCTATTATATTACACATAGCCTATTATACATTATCTAGAATATCTACTATTTCAGCATTTTGACATTTTAAGCTTACCCTCTCAGTTGTTGGGTATTTTATATTACTGTATTAAATCAATCATAAATAATTTTATTTCAGTGCTCTGACATAAATCAGAACAGCATAAAAGATAAATAGATAACCAAAATGCAGAGACAACTTAGGGAACATAAGAATAAGTTAAAAGTAAAAGAAAGTACCGGTACACGTCCAGTCGACAGAGAGCGAGAAACGACCTCGACTTGGTGAAAGCAGGATTTATATCAAGGGTGGGCAAGGATTTTGGACCAGGGGCCAAACATTTTGGCCATATAGACTGGCGGGCAAAGTTACATTTTATGAACAGAAATTTATTCACAGTGTTGCAAGAGCAAAACGACAAGCGCGTGTGGCGAAAGAAAGTGGTGTGAAAAGCACGCCGTCGAATAGAGTAAGCGGGAAAATGTAAAGTTTTGTTAAGGTCCCCATAATATGCACGACCCGACCCGAACGTAACGATTGACATTTCAGACCCGACCCGGCCCGAAAGTAAGAATTAATATTTCAAGCCCGACTCGACCTTAGCTCTCGTTACCCTACCGGTTAATTATGACGATCAGAATGGCCAATTTACTTCGGAAGCAACTCGGAACCGGTATACTTGTCTTCAAAGACAATTTAATGTACTATAAATGTAATTTGGCCAACATGAAACGATATAAGCATGTACGGCTAAGATTCTACTTCAAAACGCAAACTTCAAAATTTTTCTACCTCAAATATTAGTGAAAATAATAGGTATGTTCCAATAATTGTGTTGGAACTTTTCATAAGGCGCCGTGTTAAATTGCCGAGAACAATAGGCACAAGATGACGTCCATTGTCTGAGCGTTGCCTCGCTTATATTATATATACGCTTTGCCCTACCGTAATTCCCGTTTGACCCGTGTCACCCAAAGTGACAACAAGAGAGCTATGCTCAAATATATGGACACGTAGCGCCCCCTAAGGGCAATAATTCTGAAAAAAAAATTGTTGCATTGCAGAAAAAAAAGTAATAGCCTTCTGAAGAAAATTTTTATCTTCAACCACTGAAAATTTCAAAGCAATTAGTCCAGTAATCAAAGAGAAAAGCGAATTTTCAAAATTGTGTCAAAGAACAAGAACAACAAGAGAGCTACGCACAAATATATGGACACGTTAGACCAGAGCGAATCAGTCCCTACCGGTACCTTTGACGCTACCGGTACCCTCAAAAAAGTTCTGAATTTCCAGTAGCAAGAATTTTGCAGAATCAAAACGTACAGCCAGTCATGACACTGACTAAAATCCGTGTTCCCATGGATAAAAAATAATACAGCAAAATTTTAGACGAAATATCAAATTTCATAGAATTCACGCAAAATTTTGAAATAAATAAAAGTAATAGCCTTCTAGCAAAAAAATTAATCTTTAACCACTGAAAATTTCAAAGCAATTGGTCCAGTATTCGAAGAGAAAAGCGACTTTTTAAAAACGTGTCAAAGAACAAGAACAACAACAACAACATAATATTGAAACGATCGTTATGTCCACTACGTGTCCAACAACAACAACAACATAATATTGAAACGATCGCTATGTCCACTACGTGTCCAATAAACCACTTTGGTGTCATCTAGCCACAATTCCGGATGACATAGCGTAAAAAATACCTGTTGCCACATTTCAGATAAGTCCCGATCATGCAATATTTGGCCATTTCTGCCAGTAGCGAAAAATTGTGCGTTGAAAGAAAATTTTCAAAAGAAAGAATCTAATGCAGTAACACACAAAATAAGTTAAATATTCAAAATAATATTCGGAAAGCAAACATAACATTTTTGAATTTCCGATTTATAGTAAGTGAAAGTTACGATTATTGAAAACGGCCATATCCAATTCGCTGTAGCGAAAAATTGTGCATCAATAGAAAAGTTTCAATATAATTTCTGAACGTGGAATCTAATGCAGTAACACATGTAATTAGTTAAATTTCCAAAATATCATTAGGAAAGCCAACATAACATATTGAAATTTCCGATAATTACCTAGTCAGAGTTACGATTATAGAAAACGGTCATATCCAATTCCCTCTAGAGAAAAAATGTGCATTAAAGGAAGAGTTTAAATATGATTTCTGAACGTGGAATCTAATATAGTAACACGTAGAATTAGTTAAATTTCTAAAATAATATTCGGAAAGTCAACATAACAGATTGAAATTTCCGATAAATACTGTATGAAATTTACGATTATAAAAAAACGGCCATATCCAATTCGCTCTAGCGAAAAATTGTGCAATAAAGAAAAAGTTTCAATATGATTTCTGAACGTGGAATCTAATGCAGTAACACATAGAATTAGTGAAATATTCAAAATAATATTCGGAAAGCCAACATAACAGATTGAAATTTCCGATATTACTAAGTGAAAGTTACGAATATAGAAAACGGCCATATCCAATTCGCTCTAGCGAAAAATTGTGCAATAAAGAAAAAATTTCAAAATGATTTCTGAACGTGGAATTTAATGCAGTAGCACATAGAATTAGTGAAATATTCAAAATAATATTCGGAAAGCCAACATAACAGATTGAAATTTCCGATGTATACTAAGTAAAAGTTACGATTATAGAAAACGGCCCTATCCAATTCGCTCTAGCGAAAAATTGTGCAATAAAGAAAAAGTTTCAATATGATTTCTGAACGTGAAATCTAATGCAGTAACATATAGAATTAGTGAAATATTCAAAATAATATTCCGAAAGCCTACATACCAGATTGAAATATCCGATATTACTAAGTAAAAGTTACGAATATAGAAAACGGCCATATCCAATTCGCTTTAGCGAAAAATTGTGCAATAAAGAAAAAGTTTCAATATGATTTCGGAACGGAGAATCTAATGCAGTAGCACATAGAATTAGTTAAATATTCAAAATAATATTCGGAAAGCCTACATACCAGATTGAAATATCCGATATTACTAAGTTAAAGTTACGAATATAGAAAACGGCCGTATCCAATTCACTGTAGCGAAAAATTGTGCATCAGTAGAAAAGTTTCAATATGATTTCTGAACGTGGAATCTAATGTAGTAACACATAGAATTAGTTAAATTTCCAAAATATTATTAGGAAAGCCAACATAACAGATTGAAATTTCCGATAAATACCTAGTCAGAGTTACAATTATAAAAATAAAAAAATATCCAATTCGCTGTAGCGAAAAATTGTGCATCAAAGGAAAAGTTTCAACATGATTTCTGAACGGGGAATCTAATGTAGTATCTAATCTAACACATAGAATTAAATGAAAATTCTAAATAATATTTGAAAAGCCAAAAGAACTGAGAGAAATTTCCGATACATACTAAGTGAAAGTTACGATTATGGAAAACGGCCATATCCAATTCGCTCTAGCGAATAATTCTGCATTGAAAGAAAAATTTTAAAACCTAACAGGAAATCCAATGCAGTAAGACATAGAATAAATTGAATTTTCAAAATTATATTCGAACAGTCAACAAAACATATTGAAATTCCTGATAAATATAAAGCGGGAGTTACGATGTTATTAGGAGAATTAAAATTAAAAATGTTTCATGAAAGGAAAAGTTGAATCATGATACATGTGAAATCTTATGCGTTAACCAACAGAATAAATCAAATTTTTGAAACAACTTCAGGAAGGGTGTTATATCAGCTTTTTTAGATATACGTAATTGGAGTTACAATTGATGTACTTCCTACTTTAGCGTATTAGGCTGTTTTTCATGAAAATTTAAATACCCTCCTCTGGCTATATCATCGCTTGGATCATACGATATCTGATCTCCAATATTCAGATCATCGCACAAGGTTGTTGAATTGTCAGAATATATGTAAGTGATCCTCCAGTATCATTATTTTCATCCTGGTGTACAATAACACTGGTTAGATCGTATTTGACATTTTGATTTCGCGAATTGTCAAAAATGGATATTTCGGGATTGGGAAAAACTTTTTTTATGATTTTTCATTCCTTGTCTTGTTCCTCGAGCAAGACAAATTGTCAAAATATATGGTGTTGAATTGGTTTCGCATTCAGTTATTGATTTTTTGATACTCCTAAAGTATGCGCACCAAGATGTCGCACAATCTGAACCCTCACCTTGTACACAACCTGAGTCCAGGTTGTCCGCCATCTTGGTGCGCCTACTTCAGGAGGTTTGATTTCTGTTTGTATTCGGGGCATTTCCAGTTTTTCCATGCGTATGTGTCATCATTCAAATAAATTTGTAAACAAGCACTGTCGGCGATAGTTTCTGGCATTGGTAATATTAAAAGATTTTGTGAAACTATATTATTTTTCTATATGGGCACTCGTTACACTTGCGTATTGTCGATAGTTGCAGGATTATAATCTCCTCGTAAAGCGAACATATATTAAATAGCACTGTCTGAAATAGAAACTCGGCGGCGTCTTGTTCTTGTCCATAAGTCCACATATTGAAACTCTTCCCTTTATTCACAATTTTCCGTCCCTGGCAGAAATGGCCAAGTATTGCCTGATCGTGTCTTATTTGAAATGTGGCAACTAGTAATTTTTTCGCCATGACATCCGGACGTAAAGTTGAATTTTCAGGATAGAATAGGATTATTAGGATAGTATTTTTTGTGCTGAAATTCAAGATGACACCGGTCCCGCTTGTTTCGATGCCGGTCCGCAGAAATGTGACACAAAAACGGACAAGGCCCTAATAACACCTCTACAATCTAACAACACAAACCCTGCGACAATACCCACGTCAATATGTCGCAATGATGCAGCGTCAATTGGTGCGTCTGCACGAGGAAGTTCCACATCAGTCGGAATAAGATCTCTCTAAAAAAAAGATTCTAGCTAACAGCGTGACTGCTAGGTCGCAACTTAACGGTCGCTTTGGACGTACCTAAAGTGTTCATACACCTTCATAGTCACTTTGGTCGTACCTAGTCAGTTGAAACTTATACATAATCATAAAGTTATAGCACATCTTGTAATACAGTTTGTCTTACTTAACAAACATCAATGATGCAATTCTTAAATGATTGCGCACATATATCTAACTGAGAGTGAAATCAACGAAGTTTGCGTCGTTGTTTCCAGATTGGGAACAGTTAATGGCCAGTAAACAAATGCGGATCTCACATTAATAGCATCACCTTTGTTTTTGAAAATATTATAAACATAAATTTTCTAACGCGTATATATAATTTATTACACAAGTATGGTGGCCCATCGTTGTCACGCGTAAAATTAAAAAAAAATGGGAAAATAAAATGAAAATGCGAAAATAAAAAAATAGTTGTGAAAAAACATAAAAATAATTGAAAAAAAAAAAATTCAGACTTAATCCTACACGCACAAATGTGTTTCCTGGGTTTCTAACTCACTACTGATTTTCATGAGCAATATTCAATAAATTCAACATGAAAATGTTCTATAAATTCCCCATGCTACAAGTTCAACCACAAGCAATATATTTATAATAATGATAAGAGAATATAGAATTGAATAGGAAAATTTGTTTTTACGTGTAGAAGGTAATTTAATTGGAAAATGCTGCTTAACGGCTCAGTTGTCTGGACACGCGTGCGATGCCGGTACGGTACCGTCTGACCGTACCGGTACCCATGCAATCACTCATGAAAGAATGGGAGATACGGATAGAATATAGACTACTGAAACACTCTCTGCGCCTGCCCCATACCGTACAGCCGTAACGTACCGATCCAGACAAATGATAAATCGCCCGTGCTCAACCATTTATTTCAATCCATACCTCGACTCACTATATTCTACTAGGATCAAGGTATGGATTGGAAATGAAAATTTCCTAAAAATAAAAACGGGTGACAACCTTTTTATTTTCTTTCTATTCATTTTTTTTTTTAATATTTTTAATTTTTTTTTTTTCAATTAATTTTTTTTTCGTTTTTTTTTTCGTTTTTATTTTCAATTTTTTTTTTTTAATTTAATTAAATTTTTTTTATCATTTTTTTTTTCAATTATTTTTATGTTTTTTCACAACTATTTTTTTATTTACCGTTTTTTATTTTCAATTTTACGCGTGACAACGATGGGCCACCATACACAAGCTTACTTCGTTTGTATAAAAGCGGTCGTGCAAGTGTGCAAATTTACGGAGGATCAAATGTTCTGGGTGCAAACTGCAAATTCGCTCGCCTTCACTTTAGAGATGTACCGATGTATCGGTATCGATATCGGCCATTTTTTCGGTATCGGCCGTGTATCGGTATCGGTTAGATTAAGGCCGATATTTCCGATATATTTACCTTTTTGATATGGTCCAGAATGTTTTAAAAGATAAGTTGGAATACTACTTTTTAATTTATTTTTTGTCTGGAGAGATCGTGATCTATGAGCCATATACATGTCCCTACCCCCGCGAGAGAATAGGATTCACGTATTTTTAGCTATTTTCGCTGTCAAATTTTTATATTGACATGCTTAATATTACATAGTAATGATGAAGAAATATATCAACACGGCACATAACAAAAAGCAATTAGGCGCCCAGTTTTAAATCATACAGTGGAATTGGGGTCCTTATTAACGGCACATGGACTTTTGGCACGGGTATAAATTCTGACTGTTTGTCGTCAAGTACGAGTGTCATTTAGTCTGACGACATCGATAAACTAAATTCCGACACAATTATCCCTCTACGCAGATATTAATTTTTAACTACACAATTTCTTTATAGATATATTGACATGACCGCCTTGCCCCAGAGGGCCTAGAGTCCTAGACTGTCTCAAAATATATGATGGCAATTGTATAATAATATAAAATAGTAAAGTAAAAAAACATCCTCGACGGTTATATGTAGGCCTTCTTTTGGTCGGTGCTGATTGATATTCTTTCATGTTGACTTTGACTTATTGCGTCGACGATTACGATTAGCCACGAAATAAAATATTTGAAAAATGCTTTTAATTTGAACGTAGGACGGCGGCTCTAGATTGTGTGGGTGATATTCGATATTTTTTCAAACACGAATAACGATATTCGAAGGTCGCGATATTAACATTAAATTCAAATTGGACATCCCGGCTTATGAGTTTTCTAATTGAACACCGAGATTACTAGCGTTACTGTACAGTGCATCTTAATCAGTTAAAGCAAACACCAAACATTGATATATCTTTTTTTCGATCTGAAATAATGTGTACTATGATTCTATGAACAACGCTCAAAGACCATTGTTTTAACCCGTCTGCCCTACACGGCACACCTAATTAAGTAATATTTACATAGTATCGGTAATATCGGCCTTTCTGTAGTATCGGCATATCGGTATCGGCTATTTTAGCTGGTATCGGATCGGTATCGGCGACAAAAGTGGTATCGGTACATCTCTACTTCACTTATCAAAAATTTATCAAAAAGGCCAGTCACTGTTCTGCAGCTTTTTAATACTTTATCATTATTATTGTTCGTCGAAATAAAATTTCTCTCGCAAACCAATGACATGAAACAATCTCATGGACGTTTCTCCGACGCTGGTGGCTAATTTTAGGCTAGTCTCTCGCAACGTTTGCAGTATCAATTTTTGATTATTGCAACTAAACCAACGACTATGAACCAAACTAAAGGTCCTCGGAGGGCACGATGACAATCAAGTTATTTGATTAACAACTAATTTTTGAAAACACAGCTAAAAACTGACAAATACCACGCAAAACAACCAAAAAACAAGGAACGTTTACAACCACGCTTGAATATCAGTCTGAGCGAAAGAAGTCTTTGAGCGGCGGCATAAATTGCACTTGTTACGTCATTGCTGATTTGTAATTGTTTCGGTGCTCGTGTTCGAACCAAAGTGAATATAAATTATAGTCACTTTGGTTCGAACCGAACGGAGGTCCTTGTATTTTGACATCTCATGCCTCAGTGATTTCCGTTATAGACAACTTGGCCTGTAGATGATAGAAATTCTGACTTTAAAAAAGCAGGCTTGCGCTGAAGTTGCGTCGGGTAATTTATTTGAATGGAGCTTCAATACTTTTGTGAAAGGTCGCAACTTGGCAAGGTTATGTAGCCTAAGAATCTAAGATTAACTTTGATGAGTGAAACAAGACCAAATTCCACTAGATGATCATAGGAATGTCGTACTTTGCCCACCACAGGCAGCAGGGGAAATAGATTTATTTATCCAAACCCCAACCAGCTTTCCATAATCTGACCAAGTTTCCATTAAAAACGCCATCAACCCAGTGCTTTTGACTATGACAAACTTAACGCTGTAATGAAAAAGTGCATGTAAACCTTGTGTATTGTTTACAGTGCACAATTATTGCTGTTTGCAACTATTCTATTAATCACCAGCTTCCGAATCTTATTACTGTATTAGTTATAGTGAATGCCATATAGATTACATAGAGCATGTCATTTTGGGTAGACACTTTGAGATCTGCTCGGAAAACCGCTCTTTTGCAAGATGGTAGAAGGAAAGTTCATTACACATTTCCAGATGGCAATGAACTAGCTGAAGAATATGATGTCAAAACAAATGATTTAATTGTTAGAAAATGGCGCAAGAAGACTACACTAGGTGGACCAACAAAGTGGGATATGGAAATTGGCGAAGACCAGAACTATGCTTCTAACCTGGTAATGGGAGCGGAGCACATGGTAGAGTCTATGTCAAATCCTGTGCTTTGTCGACGGGATACGAAAAAGGCTTTTCAGTGGCGAATCCGAAATCTGCCTTACTCACTGGAGACATTCAGCGTGAAAGTCGAAGATAAAGACACGATTGTTGTTCGAACTTCAAACAAAAAATATTTTAAGAAGATTGACGTTCCTGATATGCAACGAGCGAAGATTCCTCTTAACCAATCTGATTTAACATTCGCACACGCAAACAACACACTTATCATCCAATACAAAAAACCGAAGCAAATACTAGACGACCATGAAACTATAGTAAGGGAAATAGAACAATTAAAAGTTTCTAAAGATGGAGATGTTGATTGCAAACAATCATAGTTCTATGATGTGTAGAAACCACCTTTTATAATTTTCAGGCAGTGGCGGAGTGACGCTAAAAATTCTTGCTCTTTGGCATGATTTCTGATAACGTGATTAACAACTCTAGTTGAGGCTTGCAATAAAATATTTATTTTGCTATAAAAGTTGTATGCAGTTCTTTACTATATATAACAAGAAGACAAGATATCATGATCCATGCGTAATCCTGCACCTATCTAGCAAGTTGCTTGACTTGTGCCAATCTAAACTTCCCTCTCATCTAACATGAATGATTATACAAAACTAATATTAGAGCCAAGGGTATCAAAATATATTTCTCTACATGTAATATTTAGAAACAGTGAAAAAAAAGTCACAATGAAGTACAGAAATATAAATAACATCTAGCTGAAGAGTTTGGTACCAAGTGTTTTTCCATGTGTTTCACCTATCTAGCAAGTTGCTTGACTTGTGCCAATCTAAACTTCCCTCTCATCTAACATGAATGATTATACAAAACTAATATTAGAGCCAAGGGTATCAAAATATATTTCTCTACATGTAATATTTAGAAACAGTGAAAAAAAAGTCACAATGAAGTACAGAAATATAAATAACATCTAGCTGAAGAGTTTGGTACCAAATGAGTTAACTAAGTGTTTTTCCATGTGATTGGAAAAAAATCATGACGATTAGCTGTTCGTGCTTCCGTTACCAGGAATTCAAATCCATACAGATCAGTCGTTTTTAACCGGGGTTTTGCCAGTTTCCATCCAAATCATAGAGTCTATATATTGTTTCAATAATATCATCAAATACCTAGGTTTGCCACTATTATTCAACTTACAACACTTACAGTTTACAATTCAGGCACTTGAACTATTTCGCAGGGGTCGTCGAGCCTCCTGAACCCCTGCATCAAAAAGGTTGAAAACCATTGATAATACATTGTGGAAATATACTGATACAAAGGAGCAGCAATATTTTCCAAATGTTCATCTGTAGCAAATTTCGAATAGCACTACATGATCAAATAAATCCTGTGAAATATCACCACACCCTACATTCTAGTCCATTTATTTTTCTCTTGTCTTCTATAAGCTTCAAGTTCTCTGTCTTTTTGAGCCCTCGCTTCATCGACTAATGGTTCAAGGAATTGGGTGTCCTTAGCAGGGTCCTCTGCTGTGGTTAAATTCCTTTTATCTTCTCCCTGTTGTGGGAAATGTCCACAGAATGCCATTCTCCACATATCTACAGGATTTCTATAATATTCATGAATATATCAACTGTTTGTTTTTCATACAGGTGGACCCTAATTTGGTTAGATGTCTAAAACTAGCTAAAATTTAATAAATGATTAAGGGGTTACCCAAAAAAGCAGAACTCGTAAATTTCCTAATATATTATACGAAAATGACGAAACTTTATTCAACACTTGAACTTCTGTTTGTGTATGATTGTATCGAAAAGGTTCAGTGTTCTAGGACTTCAGAACATGTTTAAATGGCCTGGCCTGCGTTCTGTTTGGGTCACTCTGTGTTATGATTTTCTGAAAATGGTTTAAAAAGCCTCTCACACCATTGTTATGCATAATAAGACATTTATTTAGAAGGACAACCGATTCATAGTAATGGAAGATAATTTGCTTGAGCTTTAAACATGAGTCAAAGGATCGATACATAGACCACCAATGCTAATAATGTAGTAAGGCCATCATAGCCCACAGACACATGAAGGAGAAATGCTTCACTCACTTTGATGAGAGACGGCCAATGTCTGAGCTTGGAACTGGTGGATTACCTATACCTTCAAAACTATCCATTCCAGCTGGCACATATAGTGGTCGTTGGGGGTCGATCAATGATTTAGTGCTGTGATGTATTGGATAATTATATACAATTCATACAAATATTGAATGTGAAAAAAACACATATAACAATATTGCACTATGATGTCCACATTAACCGTATTCTACTTCAAGTTCTCGAGTCTTAAAATCAACCTTTTTAATATTGCTGGGTTGCATTAACCAACATATTATGATCTGTTGTTTGGAGACCAAAGCTAGATGTAAACTGTAAACTATTTCTCATTATGTTCGTCATCTCAAAGTCAAAGCAAACGGTAATTATTCCCTTTGATATATGGTTCAGTGTAAATATGGACATCGCTTGACACATGAAATGGGTGAGAATTTTTGAATATATAGGAAATTTGTCAAGTGGTAAATAGAAGAAAAACCTACAAATCTATAACTCCTGCAAATACTATTAACAAAAGTAAGGGAAAATCTATGTGGCAAATGTCCTTTTATAAGAGACTACCATCTTTAAATATTGAAAATTTGGAAGCGATTGGTGTATTAGATATCAGCTAATACAAAAGTGGGTTTTCCCACTTATGTGATCCATTATTTAAAAGAGTATTTAATTCAACATAGGCATGACTTTAAAAGGCAATTCACTCAAACAAAAATACATTACTAAATGGCAAATCAAGATTACACAGCTGCTTACTTGAGGTCAGCATCAAACGTAGCATGGTTCATGACATGTCGAAGTCCTCGTACAGTTGTTTCCACTTTATTGCTCAGGAATAACAAAGTTGCACCATTTATGTGGGAGAGAAATCGCATGGTTTTCATAATAACCTGCAACAGGGAAACAAAGAAGTTCCTTTGCCAGAATATGTACTATTGTGAAACATTACAATTACTCATGTCAATCTGTTCTAAGCTGAGAGTAAGTATGTCAATGTTAACAAGTTTGTTCAAATTGAAATTACAAAACGTTGGATTAGACCAGGGGTGGGAAACCTTCGGCCCACAAGGAAAAATTGTGTGGCCCGCGAAACTACCGGTAGTTTTTAATTTAGGATAACTTGCGTGCAAGTAATTCCAATTCATTTGCATTGCAAAGTCTATACCTGAGCTTGTGCACGACATAAGATCAATAATCGGAATTTTTGTGCCTGCAACTACTAGAAGTTAAATTAGGGTGCAGCCCGCAGTTTCACCCAGTTATTTGTATCTGGCCCTCGTGAATTAAAGGTTGCACACTCCTTGGCGAACAGTGTTTCCCAACCTGACATCCGAAGCGATATGAATTGACAAGACAAAAGACTTAAATAAATATTGATGTTATAAAGATTTGTTTATTAGGGCAACTACAAAAATATCATTCGTTTCTTCTATTTTTAAATAGAAACGTGTCCCAGAACTTCTCTCCATAGCTATGGAGCCAGGAAAAATTCACAATCCACTCAAAATCGAGACACATTAAAACAAATTTGGCTCTCAACCCAAGGTTGTAAAAAATTTGACTCTGACTCACACATTATAAGGAAAGCAATAATCATTCCGCGGATAGTAGCAGCCCCAGAGCCCTGTTCAGTTTGAAAAAGCCTCAAAAACATCTTTATTATCAACGCTCACCTTTCTCTGTTCAGATTCCATATCTTGAAACAAATCATATTTGCTGCCGATAATGATTAGTGGAACAGGAAAAGGATCCATTACATGTGCATCCTGTATGAGGAAAAAACTTTATATTTAATCATTTTAGACTCGTGCATCATTTATATAAAAATTTCATACCGAGTTAAATATTTCTTTTCATCGGCCTGGCCTCATGCTTCGAAAAAGATTTCAGAAGCCACATAGGATGATGGATATGTGATAATATAGTTATGGGAAAAAAATTACCGACTATTCCATTGATATTCTTGGTAGTAACCGTTTTCAGAAAAACATTTTGGAATTAACACTTATATTTTGGTGTTTACAATATAAAGGTACCATCACAAAAATACCCAAGTAAACTTCAGGGTATGCAACTTGACATAAAAATAATGAATTGGTTAAAGTTTGTGAAGTTACAATGGATTATTTGGATTCATTTCTCTGTATAAAGCAGTAGTTCACAAACTGTCATGATCCATGGACCCCTTTCATAGATTCTTAACATTCTGTGGCTCTATGCTTTTCATTAAGTTAAGACTCAATTTCGTTTTCAACAGGTTTACATCAGTTATTTTATTGTCATGTTCAATAACAAAAGTAAATAAATAAATAAATGCATTGCAGTTGAATAAGTCGCTCAGTGGTTCCCAAGGGACCAAGGCCTCATTTGAAAAACTATGGTTAAAGACATACCTTATCTATAGATCATACTTAGCAATTATATAAGAAACACACTAACTGGTTTGCAGAAAAAGAGATCAAATTTTTCTATATTATAAACATCCATACCGGGTGATCTTTTCCACCAACTCTTCTCCATGATTTTTCATCAATTTTCTGTTGTAAGTTCGGATCGTTTCTACTTTCCTGCCTGATAACTAGCTTAATCCTTGTTCTTGCAGCTTCCAACAATGTCTCTGCTGTGTACCAAAGTTTTTTTGGATCTGACAAATCAAGTACCTGGCAAAAAAAATATATACAAATTTAAGCAGATGTATAAGAAGAATTTTTTAATTAATTCTCATGGTATAAAAGCACAAAATATGCGAAACAATTCTGTTTTTATTTCGAGCTCTGCTCAGGATATAATAGATAGTAGATTAGATATCACGTAATGCTACACCCAATCTATTATTTATGCTGAGTCACTTAGGATTGCACAATACAAGAACAAATGTTTAATTTCTAGCTCTGCTGTCCAGCAATAGCAGCATTGATTGATTTCATATTCATGCAAACAATACCTGGCTGATGGGATTATTGAAAGTAACAGATATGAAAAGTATTCGGTATTTTAAAAAAGTTAGCCTGTTAAATCTAAGATACGGTTTTTAAAACAAAACTTGAACAAAAACTACAATACCGTTATTATCCAAGAAAAAAACAGTTGAGAAATATCGGATACCAAACTCAGCTACAGAAAGCAAAATATAACTAGAAATTAGTGAATTGCAGCTGAAGTTTAAAACGGTATAGTACTACATTGGCATTATGTCATATTAAAAAACTTTGTTGACAGAATAAATATTTCTTATTAACTTGAGTTTTAATTTTGTCGGTTTTTTATCTTGATTCTATAGTTATATAGCGGAATTTTAAATCTGACTTAAGATGCTGTACACATTGCACTGTATCTATCAGCGCTGGGCAGAAGTTTCAAAACCGAGAGTCCGCAAGTCAAGTTGATTGAGTGGTGGGTTAAGTCTCACTGAGGGTTCGTGTCATTCTATTTTCACGACCAGGGTCGAGTCTTTAAAAAACAGTAACTCAAGTCGAGTGAATGACTCGTGCCTTTCCAACACTAGTATCTACACATGCCAAATAAAACTACAACTGTTTTAATTAATGTTTTTTGAAATAATTACTTTGATGCCTTTATTCTAATTATTATCTTTTAATTTTTCAGTTACTACCCTCTCTAACAGTAAGCGAATAATATGTCAGAGCAGAAGAAAGTAATAGTATTTGGAGCAAATGGGCAATGTGGCCTGAAGTTATTAAAACAAGGCCTCAATGAAGGTATGGGAAAGGGTCTAAAGAATTTTTTTTTAGAAGGTAGAGGGGAGTTACCCTATTTTGGGGTATATTGTGGACTATCTGGCAGAGGATGACAAACCGTGCCACGTTTTAATAACAGTATAAATAAATTTCAGGATTACGAGTGACAGCATTTGTACGAACACCAGAAAAAATACCAAAAGATATAAGAGAAAAACTTCACAAAGTTATTCAAGGTGATGCAATGGATCCAAAATCAGTTGAAGAAGCCATTGAAGGACATGACTACGTACTTTCTGCATTGGGAAATGTCTTAAAATGTAAGGATCTAATAATTTGGAATCAATTACTTCAGCATAACTGGACCTGATACTAACTTAAAACCTGATACTAACCATTTAAAATAAAGCAATAAGTAAAATAATGGCACCCACTCGGCACGGCCAAATTTATTCCTGGTCTAAACGATAATACTCAACTATACGTTCGAGAAACTAATCTTGAGGCTCAAAGATAATACAGAAGATGTTTTGACTATTGAATCCAGTTTACTTTATGTTTATGAAATGTACTAAGACTCAGTACATTTGTGCTACAAAATGTACTCAAACCCAGCTAAATTATTTAAACTAAATGGATAAACAAGTTTGTCTTTTAAAACTCAAAATCAAACATATTTTTATGAAAACAATTGAAAAATTGAGAAAACATCAAATATATGAGAATTTCAATATTTTCTATCTCATAGTTGGAACAATGTTATTAACGAATGGATCTAAAAACATTCTGGAAGGAATGAGAAGTCACGGAGTCAAGCATCTACAAGTGGTTAGTGGAGGTAAAGCAATAATTTCTATACTAAACCGCAATGTCATAAAGATTCGGAATAATTAATAATTATTAACAAGGAACGGAATCGGAACTCATCTATTTTCCTGACTATATTGACTTGCACTACTTTGATTTTAGCATCAATCAGTATATACTGACAATTACACCATACTTATATACAGTTTTTCCCAACCTTTAATGGCTCGTGGCCCCCTTCCACAGGCTTTGTGCACTCATGCCCCCCCCCCCCCTCTGTTTCGAATCACTGATATATATAAGCTTTATACATTTCTGTGGTGCTCATAACTTTATTCAGTAATGAGTGAGTGCCATTATCTGTCCAAGCGAATTCTTTCGGATTTATTACTCAGATAGTTACTAGCAAAATATTTTACCACTCCAGCACCATACATACCGGGAGAAGGAGGTTTGTTTGAGGCAATTGCCAGAAAAGTAACAATTGCGGCTAGAGATCACATTAGACAGCTCGAGAACTTAGATGCTTCTGATGACATTGACTGGGTTGCGATTTGCCCCTATTTCATAAAAGATAGCGACGCATTGGACCCAGACTACAAGGTATTATTATTAGGCTTTAAAAGATCTCTGCTTCGTGGTTTGTCAGTTGACATATATAACATTGTGCTCTTTGGTGGCTATGGTTACAACTACCGTTAACTGCATGAACACAATAAAATTATTTTGTGCATGTTTTATTAGTGGTCACTTAATCCACCTTCATATCACTAAATGACATACACCAAAAAAAATTATTGCAACTTGTTACTAGACTAGGTATTTTCCACAGTTAATTTGGAAAAAATTATTCAAATAGGCTCCAGAATCATAAGTAGCAAGTCAAATTGCCTATTTTTGAATTGAAAAATTGAGAGAAAACTTTTTTTTACACCAACAGCGGTTGCTTCTCAATTATGTCCAGCTGACTGTCAAAATGATTTGATTTGAATTTTCAGCCTTAAATCTCAAGACCACTCCATTCAGTGAATAATGTCTTGCGTCCAGAATGGTGAAGAATATATGATCAATATAAGAAAACGATTTGATGTATCTTATCTCCCATGTTTAATCATGAGCTTAGGTCAAGAGTCATTGATAAAGAAATTTTCGGGAGTGCATGTGATTGAAGGAGAACTATGATATTACCGTCCTTGTTTTTCAGTATGTGAAGCAAAAAGTTTCTGGGATGTCTACTGCAACAACAGCAGAGATAGCAGATTTTATGATAAAGATTGTACAAGATGAAACAAAAGCAAAAGACTTCAGACATTGCAAAATGATCATTCATCATTAAATCCCCTTTTTCAGCGTTTTTAGATTATCTAACCCTGTAATATTTCTCCATTTATATGTTTAAACATGACCCAGTGATCAGAACAACTTGAAGGTCTCCTTCATTTTGCAAACAGTTTTTTTTTATATGTTATTGTATTTGACGGATCATTTTGCAAAGAGTTGTCAGCTGTCAAAGGGGCAAGCTTATAGTCAAATTTAAAATATTGTCTGTCATCCCTGTTTGTAAATTAATTTAAAATGAAAAAGGTTACACTATAAGTGACTATAAGTTCTCAGTACTTAGTGAAAGAATAATAATGTATTTACTGCATATGTATTTATATATTACAGCCTTAAAACTTTATGAACATCCTGTATATTTTCTTAAATCACTCGTTTGAATAAGTATTGTCACAAAAGAACAGTATATAAACTTAATTTAATGAGCAAAAGTACTTTATGCAAATAAAAAGCTTGAATATTAATAGTTTTTACTACTGGATTGAATACCAAAAATTGTGAGCTATTGTTACATATTACTTGTAGATTGTGGATAGGATTTCTAATCAATCTAGATGAGATGAATGGCTTGATTACTTGGTATAAGAGTATACAATAAGAACAAACTGGCTCATGCCTTACATCCATGACCTAAGAAATTAAGTCCTATAAAAATTTTGAAAGAAATGGAGCATTATGATAGATTGGTAATTAAAGTAAAACAAAAACACATCGTGACTATATTATGTATAACTTGAAAATGCTCTCAAATTTTCAAGGTAAATTAACAGTTAAGGGGGATAATAGAGCTGCCCTATGTACAGAATGTTTTATTTTTGGGGCAACTTCACAAGACATGTACCGCCGATCATGTACAGCTTCGTGAAGTTTTTCAATATCTGTCAAATGTCTCTAGCCCACATGATAAATAGTCATGAATATACTAAGAACTATGCAAAGTTTCGATATGAAAATTCAGAAAAAGTGGAGATGGTACCAAACAGTATTAAGTGCATATTGTTTGGAATTTAGAGACCACATAGAAAAAGTAATGATTGCATTTTAAGCACGGAGCAAAAAAAAAAACAAGTCACAAAATTACCTCTAAAATATTACTGGATGTATACCAGTAATTCATTACTCTTAGCCACTAACTTCTTAACATTGCTTTTAAATCTTTACTAATTCACTACATCATATACCAACGTATAATATAGACATTTTTGTAGTAAATTGGTTTGTTTGAAGTTTTCTGTAACCTTTTCAATAAATGAAGCCCATGTGTATCAAAAACATGGTTCCATATTTTTGAAGATAATAATATTAGCAATAGTTGCAGTCAGTTTATTAAAATTACAATTCAATCAAATGGACATCCCAGCCTGATAGAATAAAGTATTTAGATATGTAGACTTAACCCAAGCCATGGGTTGATTAATGTTAGAAATCAATGTATTGAATTTTTATTAGGTAAAGCTTATCATGGACAACTGTACCCAATTCATTTTGCCTATTGAAAATATGTGAGATTTTCTGGTTTCTATTGTTGATATAAATAGCAGTTTAGCAGTTGGTATTACTATAAGTGGAGAATCAAATACAGAAAAGTGTGTTTCTTGATTTTCAAAGAAGAGAAGCTAGTTTGAATTTTGGCAGTGCAATGAAGAATTATATTTCACACAGTAAAAATAATGAAAAGCATAAAACTCATAGTTATCAGGATATTTTATGCCAATGTTGAATTTAGCCAAAATAAGCCACAAGAATAATGACATATACCCAGCATATTTCACCACATTTGGACACATCAGCAGAATCTAAATATATAAATATCATGTTTTAATCATATTGATCACACATCACATGATACTATTTACACGTGTCTATCTCATTTTGAGCCCTGTAATAGTAGCACAACAAACTATATAAACACAGACATTCTTTGGGACTTACAATAAGTGCACATTGTAGAGATGGTAACAGTGCAAGTGTGCTATTGTGGAATGGATGCCTCATGTGAAAAAATATTGGGTCAAAAGATAAAGGATATACCGGTACATTAGGTAGGTCACAGTTCTTTATGTAAGAATAAGCATATTACAATTTTCTGTTGTAAATAAATTTATTTTCAAATGGATGGGAACTTCATCAAAGAGAGGTATTCCTATGATATAGCAATTCCTAAAAACACTTTTTGCATTAGAATTGAGGCATTAATTGTTAATTTTTTTTTTATGGTGGATTATTAAGATAAAATTTAGAATAATTTGCTTGATTTGAAAACAAGGTGGGTACTTAGTCAAATAGAACAAAAAACATTAACATTATAGCTTTGTAATGGCTGGTGTGAAGAGAATAATCATTTTTGGAGCTACTGGCCAAACCGGATCAAGGACTCTGCAGAGAGCCATAAATGAAGGTATGCTATAAAATATACTGATTTTATTCGGAATACGTCTGTCAAATTATTTCTAAATTGAAATAAAAATGTGATTTGAAAATCCAATTTCCTCCTAATTTAAAATACAGAAAACTTGTTTTGAAAATGGGTATAAAACATGCTTTTCACCCGAAAAAAATCACTTATATAGAACAAATGGCATTATATATATTGTTATAGTAGGTCATAGTCATAGTATTAGTAATACCAATTGTGCCCAAATTTCTCATAATGCTAGATATCCATAGTGATAAAAAAATATTTGTTCAGGTCTACAAGTGTCAGCATATGTACGAACACCTTCGAAGATATCTGAAGATGTGAAGAAAAATCTCTACAAAGTTATACAAGGCGATGTTCTCGATAAAAGCTCAGTTGAAAAAGCAATTGAAGGAAATGATGCTGTTATTTCTGCACTTGGTGCAACTTCTCCTTTTGGTGAGTTTATAATCATGTCCCTAATATAGAGTGGTTTCTCATTTAAAAAACATCTTTGATATATCACACCAACAGAAGCAAAAAAAAATTGCACATGGTTTGAAATTCACAAGCATATTTGTAAACAATGCACTGGTATTTTCAGCAAAAACTACAGTCATGTCAGAAGGTTGCTCAAACATCATCTCAGGAATGAAGAAACATAATGTCAAGAAATTGATAGTTGTCAGTGGAGGTACGGAGATTAGTTATCAATTATTAACTACGGTACCTAAATTAAAACTGTACCCATGCAAAGCAAATACAAAATTAATCAATGCCCAGGAATTGATATGTGATATGAAAAATTGAAAGATTCTTCAAATTACAGTTTTACAGTATGAAATAGAGGTGAAATATAACCTAACAAAATATATACAGGGTGTTCAATGTTCATAAAGTCCTATTACAATTTCAAAATTTGTTATGAAGTCAGGTCAATTTATCTCAACAAGGTTTGTTTTAGTTTACTCAGTGTTTATTCAGGTATTTTTTTTAGGTTTTTTCATTTGATACACTCTCTTATGCCCACCATTAGATAGACGAAGCACATCGAAGTTCTTTTACCTACTTTAATTTAGGACTTATCAATGAATACCCTGTATATTCAGGATAATAAAAATCGTCAAAGCATTAATCATGATCAAAAAAACTGTCAAAAAAAACAAACAATCAATTTATGACCATTTTATTAGCAATATACTTGGCAAGTGAAGCTGGAATATTCGCGACACTGATGAAGACACTCGTCAAATCAACAGAAGACCATGTAAAGCAACTAAGTATATTGGAAAATGCATCCAGCAATATAGATTGGATAGCAGTCATGCCACCTTGGATCAAAGATGACAAAGAAGTCAATCCAAATTACCTGGTAAGCACCAGTACTACACCTCACCTATTCATAGTTAAATTCTGATAAATTGAAACTATGTTTATTGTTTTGTTCACATTTGAGAATTTGCTCAAAGCACGAATACTTGATAGGAAAAGATTATGTTATTAGGAACAATTTTAATTCATCAAATTCAAATCCAAAGCAATTTTCATTGCTCAAAGTAGAGCATTTTTTATAATAGGCCTACAATTTCCAATAGTAATATATCGTTATATAAACAGCAGTTTTGGTGTATTATTTCAAGCTGGAATTATTTTTTCTGTCCTATTAAAAGTGAAACGATGCAGTAATACAAACAATAATATTTTCATTACCTTTTACAGTACAAAAAAGATTATCTGCCAGGCGTATCCCAAGTTACTACGGCAGAGATAGCAGATTTTATGATCAAAACATTAATGGATGACGATAAAGTTGAATCACTGAAGCATTCTCAAATTGCAATATCGTCAAAACCAAAACAACCGTCAAACTGCCCTGGAACTATAGGAATGGCATTACTTGTTTTGGCAGTCGGTTCAGCCATATATTTCAAATATTGAACTGCATAAGATTTTGAATGATTATTAAAATAAATGCACAATATTTTTCGAACACATTATTGTTTTTAGATTTATAAAATTAAAATCACATGACTAATCAAAATCTACTGTCATATTACATCTTACAAAATCAAAATAAGACACAAACAGACAAAACTCATTTCAAGCTCTGCCTGCCCTCTTAATTTGCCTGAGGAAACGCACTGCACGAATATTAACACAGTGAAGTGTTTACATCTGTCATGAATTTAGTTCAATAGAGCAGTTACTATTCAATTATTTCTTGTATGACTTGTATTGTTTTTGATAGATGGTTTAGAACTTAAGAATATTATAGTTTGGTAACTAGATGTAGCAATGTTATATGAGCTTGATTTTATTTGTAAGAATATGTGCCAAAAAAATAATGTTCTAGTGTGCTTTCTCAATGTGAATTTTGTATTCATTGCAGTAATTGTGTATTAACTGAGCAAAAAATCTGCTATTATCAGGTTCTTGATTTCTGGACCTAACATATCATAATACATTTGAACATTAAACCAACATGTTATAATTCTGCCAGGTGGGTTGTATTGCCCACTCAAATAATTAAATTTGGCATCAGTACACTGCAGTTAAATATATAAAAATAAAAAAAAAGTTAAAGCAATTGATCCACAGATATTGTTGATCTCAAGATATTTTTGGACTGTTTTCTTAATAGCAAAATATTTGGTAGGGTACATCCCTGTATGATTGTTTGCTATTACCGTACACTATGCAAGAACTTATGCTTTACCATCAGTAACATTTTTAGTTTTAAAATTCAGTTGCTATTTCTGCCAGGTTTTACCATTTCAATGAATATGTTATTAATATGTCATGAATCTGTCATACTCTGTATATACTCTTTTTACTAATTATAATCAAAAGATATGAAAATACCGCAAAAATTTGTATCTATCTTTTATACCACTATTGCCATGTTTTACTTTTATAATCGATAAGACCGTAAGTGATTTTTGAATATTTAAAAGTTGACTAAATAAAATATGTGTTAGCGCAATATTTTCGAGTTTTCGATTCGAGTAAATAAATATGTAACATGCGCAGGATCAACCCAAGCGGGAATCTCATCAATACTAATTTAAATTGAGTTAATTATGTACAATCTTTTCTCTAAAAAGGGAGCAATGGAAAGCATGGAGCGTTTTAGAACGTTTACATGAACTACTAAAATGCAAGCATTGTATTGACAACGAGTGGCATCTCTCTACCATTTGCGCAGGTGACATTTACAGTAGATTTATGGCTAGAAATATCTGGAATTATGGGAAATCATTGTGGTCAAAGCTTTTTATTTTTCATATTGACATTTTTTATTGACAGAATTTCTAAAATAGCCATCCAGAATCGACTCAAGGTGGTGGGCTGGAAATCCAGTTCACAGCTGAGGCGCACATTGACCTACGTTTACGTTTGTGTTATGGCCGCCGAAAAGAGGAAAATATATTTTTAAATTGATTCAACAGCTATTTGCGGAACCATTAGGCAAAAAATATAAGCTATGACGTATGTTTGTGAGTGCGCGATGCTGTAGTATGGTCAAAAACATGTTTTTCTACTTTTACATTGTGATGTCACGGACTCGGAGGACTCGATTCGATTCGTCGAATCTCTGTAATGCCGGACTCGTCCCATCCCTATTAAATACAAAACATCATAGTTATCATTATTTCTAGCTTGGTTCATTATTATTACTTTATAATGTCTAATGTCGAACGAATCATTGTCTTTGGGGCAACTGGTCAAACAGGATTAAAGATTCTGAAGATAGCATTAGAGGAAGGTAATTAATTATTGAAATATATAAAATAACACTTATACCCAAAAATGTCTTACAACTGCAAACTTGTGTAAAAAAATTAAGAAGAACTGATGTAGTGGATTTAGAAGTTTGTTCCGAAACTGTTCAATCGACTGAATCAAATTGCACCATATCAGTGGTTCTTGAACTTTCAAAATCCACGCCCCCTTTGCAGGAACTCTTTGACAACTTGCTTTTGTACAAAAATATCCAGTTTTGCTTTTAACGTGTTTCCTTCAGTTATTTATTCGACACGTTTTTATAATGAGAAGCCAAAATACGAAATTAAAAGAATAAATGCATTACAGAGTACACTACAGACAGTCAAAACTCTGATCAATAGATAGTCAAATTACTTTGATTAATGTTGTCATCATGAATTAAATATCTAGTCTTCATAGAACCGCTCTGTGCACCTATGGGGGCCAAGGATCAAGTTTGGAAATCGCTGTGCTGGACAAAACATACTAAGGTGATATCACTAAATTTTCAAATTTACAGGTCTTGGAGTCACAGCTTATGTTCGCACTCCTTCCAAGATATCATAAAATATCAGAAACAGACTTTATAAAGTAGTGAAAGGAGAAGTGAAGGATAAAGAAATTATTGAGGATGCAATTCAAGGGCATGATGCTGTATTATCTGCGCTTGGCGGTAAAAAATTTATGTAACATTATGTGAAGCAAAAAGGTTAGGAAATTGGCTTGCATGGAAGGCATGGACAACTAGGTGGGAGTGAATAAGAATACCCCCATATTTAAATAGTACAGTATTCTATACTCCTGCTTCACTATTAAATTTCTATTAAATTTAAATTATTTAATAGTATTTGGCAAAATCACTTCAAAAAAACTTGGTTTGAACCATAAATAAATGAAATACAATTGAAATTTATAATATTACATAATATAGAATTGATATATAATGTCAGAAATATATTTTCTGTACTTCCATAACTCGAGCATTAGTAAATTTCAAATTGATCGTCAATCAAGTCAAAAATAGACCAGATTAACTTATATATATTCAAAGCAATAACTTTTCCATTTTAACCTTTTTTCACTTAGCAGTTAGCATTACCTTTTTTAAACCAGTGGACTATAAAAAATAGATTGGATATCAGATATTGACAATATAAAGAAAGACACTCTTCAGATGAATGTTTATTTCTGCTATTAAATGTATTGTAGGAACCAGCGGCAAGATAATTTCAACTGGGATTGCAAATATAATTGGTGGAATGAAGAAACACAATGTGCGAAATTTGATTGTTGTCAGTGGAGGTTTGTGATATTCTTGCATTTTGAAATTAATTACTTAAGTAAACCAGTATTTCATAGCAGATACAAATGAAATTTCAATTGGAAAATATACTAATAGACACTGTTGTATTAACTTTTAATTAATATAATAAGTAAAATTTGTCATATTATCGTCATTTTGATATAAAAGTGATTACTTTATATTACTCAAATGGAAATTTATTTCAAGTCATAGTAGTAGAAAAACAAACTTTACAGATCTCTTTCAATTGACACTATTAAATATTTAAACCAGCAATTCTACTTCCAAGTGAAGCCGGTATCCTATCAACATTGGTGAAAACATTTGTCAAGGCTACAGATGATCATATCAAACAAATTGAGATTTTGGAAAATTCTTCTGTAGATATAGATTGGGTTGCAATAATGCCCCCTTGGATTAAGGATAATGATGACGTAAACCCAAATTATCAGGTGAGATGTTGATGATGAATTAATTTTCTATTATTCTACAATATATTTATGTGCTCTTTGCTCTGAATAAGCTCCTGCACAAGCAGTCGCGACCAGATGTGAGTTCGGAAAATCTTTCTGGTTTGGCCTTGCCTCCCCAATTAAATAAACCCTGGGTGAGGTGGTTGGTTTGCATGGGAATTGAACGCAAGATTTTAACCTGCAATGACATGCTTTAACCACTTTTCAACTCTCTTTTAACCTTAAACCAGAACTTTAACGTTGTATTTTATTTCACAGTATGCAAAGGATAAAGTACCTGGGATATCACGAGTAACAACAGCTGAAATTGCAGACTTCATGATTCATTTGGTAATGAACAAAGCAAAAGCTGAATCCTTTAAACATTGCAAAGTTGGAATATCCTCAAAACCAAAATGATTTCAAGAAGAACTTTTTCAATACATCATCAGTCTAGCACGCCGGTTCCCAGCTACTGGGCCACAAACCTAATAAAACTGCTACATTTATTGATATATTTAAATAATTGATGGTAGTAACAATGAATGACGATGCTGTCTTTTGCTACAGGGTGGCATTCTAATTACCGTAATAAAGTGAAAGTGTCCTTTTTTGCGGAAAGAATTTTTCAATTTCTTGTAGTTTTTCCTCGGATGGAAAAGTTAATAGGCCACATAATTTTTGTGCCACGAAAATGGGCACAGAAAAAAAATGAGAGAGGTTGAGAACCAATGGTCTAGTACAAAAACTTTTTTATTTTCTAATTTGAATGAATATCATTTTTATTTTATTTATACTAGTAATACATTGAACACACATATTATCGAAGTTGAAACCTCATAAGATATGAAAATATCGCAAAAATTTGTATCTATCTTTTATACCACTATTGCCATGTTTTACTTTTATACACACATATTATCAAAGTTGAAACCTCATAAGATATGAAAATACCACAAAAATTTGTATCTATCTTTTACACCACTATTGCCATATTTTACTTTTATAATCGATTAGACCATAAGTGATTATTGAATATTTAATAGTTGAAACTATCCTTTGTTTTATTTACTGTTTGCAGAACTAAATAGCCTATTTCCTCAAACCAGATAAATATAGAATATCGTAGTTATCATTGTTTCTAGCTTGGTTCATAATTATTACTTTATAATGTCTGATGTCAAACGAATCATTGTCTTTGGGGCAACTGGTCAAACAGGATTAAAGATTCTGAAGATAGCATTAGAGGAAGGTAACTAATTATTGAAATATATAAAATAACACTCATATCACAAAATGTGTAAAACTGATGTAGCGGATTTAGAAGTTTGTTCCCAAATTGGTGGTTCTCGAACTTTCGAAATCCACATGCGGCCCACTAGATACTTCTGTGCGGCCCGTGGGTGATTTGGAAACACGCCACTTCTCGGGTCTAACAATCAAAGCCGGCATTGTTATGCAAGCGCGCCGCTAATCCCATCATATTGGAAATCGTGAGATTTATGTTTTGTATTAGTTTCAATAAATATTGAACTTTGTGTGAAATTGGTGTGCCCTTCGCGACCCTTAAAATTTGTCGCTCGAACTCTCGCCCCCCAGTTTGGGAAACCCTGATTTAGATATCTCAGTATTCAAACTGAATCACGATTAAAACAATATCAGTATACAATCTCACACCCATCAGAGCATATTAGCAACCTATTAATAACCCCATTATTTTTTACTAGCAGTTTATGAAACTGAAGTTTCTTTTTTGATTCAAATTTAGAACTCAAAAAATAATTACTTCATTTATGAATGATGCAGAAACTCTCGCACAAAAAATATTGCTATTTACTGAAAGTGTTTCGTTAAATTTAACTGTTTCCCAATATTATTTTGGTTTTTATTTCATCTTGTGAAATATATATGAGGCAAAGTTTGCGGCCCGCCGAGCCTTCAGATTTATGATTGTGGCCCTCGTGGTAATTTGAGTTGTGCAGGCCTGTACTATGGTGATACCACTAAATTTTCAAATTTACAGGTCTTGAAGTCACAGCTTTTGTTCGCACTCCTTCCAAGATACCAGAAAATATCAGAAACAGACTTTATAAAGTGGTGAAAGGAGAAGTGAAGGATAAAGAAATTATTGAGGATGCAATTCAAGGGCATGATGCTGTATTATCTGCGCTTGGCGGAAAACTAAAAATAGGTAGGTAAAAACTTTATGTAACATTATGTGAAGCACAAAGATTAAGAAATTGGCTTACATGGGAGGCTGGGACTAGGTGGGAGTGAATAAGAATACACCTATATTTAAATAGTACAGTATTCTAAACTCCAGCTTCACTATTAAATTTAAATTATCTAATAGTATTTGGCAAAATCACTTTAAAAAAACTTGGTTTGAACCATAAATGAAATACAATTGAAATTTACAATATTACATAATATAGAATTAATATATAATGTCCGAAATATATTTTCTGTACTTCCATAACTTGAGCATTAGTAAATTTCAAATTGATTGTCATTTTAAGTTTTTAAATTACCGTAGTCAAAAATAGACCAGATTAACTTATATATTTCAAAGCAATGACTTTTCAATTTTAACCTCGTCAAATTTATACTCAGCAGTTAGCAATACTTTTTTTAAACCAGTGGACAATAAAAAATAGATTGGATATCAGATATTGACAATATAAAGAAATACACTCTTCAGATGAATGTTTATTTTTGCTATTAAATGTATTGTAGGAGCCAGCGACAAGATAATGTCAACGGGGGTTGCAAATATAATTGGTGGAATGAAGAAACACAACGTGCGAAATTTGATTGTCGTCAGTGGAGGTTTGTGATACTCTTGCATATTGAAATTAATTACTGCAGTAAACCAGTTTTTCATAGCAGATGCAAATGAAATTTCAATTGGAAAATATACTAATAGACACTGTTATATTACCTTTTAATTAATAAAATTTGTCATATATCCTCATTTTGATATAAAAGTGATATACTAATAGACACTGTTGTATTAATTTTTAATTAGTGGGCGGTTTGAGTTTATTTGCACATTAAGATTGTCATTAATTGAACCAGTTGGGTAAATTGACTAAACAAATTAAATTATCGAAATTTCATTTTGTCCATATAATGTAATATTACAAATATCTCTTTGTAATAATAAGTGTCTTTCATAAATGTGTCTTTCATATATCTTCTAAGGTTTAGCAATTAAGAAGGTATATTCACAGTAATAGTTTTTTTCTTCTGCAACGATTCACAGCAACAATGTCCAAAGCGAATCGGTTATGCAAATACACATACTTTAGCTTGTGAATATTTAAAAATAAACAATAAATCAAAACAATGTTTTTTCTCAACTATTCTGCATTAGCAATGATTTGTTGAACATGACAATTTAGATTAATTTAGGGCAGTTCCTGGTTCTCAGAGACAAAGCTACATACTTGTAGTAAATTAAATTTTCAGAATATTTTTGTGTTTAATATTTTTTTTATTCATTGATTGTTAATCCAGGATTGCAGTTACCATCCCACGCTATACCCAAATTTTTTTTGAGTTTCTTTGTCGGTGAACTAGCTGATCACTCTGCAGTGATTAAGCTATTAGAAAACGCATCAGATGACATTGACTGGATAGCAGTGGCTCCTCCTTTTATTAAAGATAGCGATGAAATTGAACCTGATTACATGGTAAAATATTGTTCACTAACATAACATGTTGCATCGTTGGAAACATTTTATTTAATTGCTAAATGAAAGAATTTTTTTTTGTATTATTAATTACCCTTTGCATTTACTTTTATCTTGTTAATTTTCAGAAGACGTGTGTTTATATTAGTTCTAAATAATTGTAAACCATTAATCTGAATTGAAGCATCCAATGACAATGTAATTAAATATTACGTAAAAATATTAAATAAATGTTCTGAAAGAAGTCTTGTTTCACAGGTTGCAATAAATGCGATGCCTGGGGTTTCCAATGTAACTTCTGCTGAGATTGCTGACTTCATGATCAAAATCATAACAGACAAAAATAAGCAGGAAACATACAAGCATGCGAAAGTTGGAATTTCATCTCGAGCTTCAACTAGTTTTAAAGCACCGATTGCTATATTGCTCCTTGCTTTGGCTGCTGGTTCCATCATGTATTACACACAATGAAGGTTTTAGATGATTCAGTAGTGTTTCTAAAGATTCAATTTGGTACAATAAACTCTTTATTACACGACTGACATTACATACATGATACATGTCAATCATTTTGTGTTTCAATCTTCAATCATTAAGGTGTAAAAGCATTCAATATTTTATTCTAACATTTCTAATCTTTGAATTACTAATTGAAAAGCTTCTTATTTCATTAGAGTACAATCTTGTACAAAACTTCTTTCTCTCTATACAGAATGTTTAACAATTAAATGAAGCAATATTTTTTGAATTATTATTTTGACAATAACAAAGAAACCGTTTATGATACTAAATCTTTACAATAATTACCGTAGTAATTTCCATTCCCTAATCTGGTTTTAAAGAAAAGTTTAATATTGAAAAATCCACTATTGTCTAAATATGAAAATAAATAAATAAAACTCAATTTTGTGATCGTTAATGTACTTTTTTATGCCTTTTAATATTCGTAAACATGTAGGCATGGAAAGATAAAATGAATTTATTGATTCATACCACAGCATTTATAATAAATACAGCATGTTTTGGTTATGTTTAACACAATTCTGTTAATTTTCGCGGCGTAAGTTACTTGTTATAAATGAATATTTTTTCTTTCATAATTTCATAATCATGATCCATTTATTAAGCAATTATAAAAAGTAATTGTACTACATATATATGGTTTTTTCCACTTTTCACAGTAAAATAAAACTTGTTTATACCTTTATTTCCAACATACTGCTTTCAGTAATAATAATAACAAACCTACAAGAAATAATTAAAGCAGAGACAACCCCCAACATCAGTTAATAATCGATCTCGAGCTCATATGAAGGCAGTTTAATAGGCGAAGAGTAGAACTCGAGTAAACCTAAGAAGCGGGAACCAATAGGTTATATTTATAAATAGCAGACAAAATCAGTGAAGCGTAAACTTTACCACAAAAAGAGAAGTAATATACAAAGAGTAGAGCTGTGTTAGTGGGCAAGAAAGATGTCTGAAATTAATAGTATCATTGTTTTTGGTCCAACTGGAACTACTGGATTACATATATTAAAAAGGGCAATACTTGAAGGTTAGTATTTCATACACAAATTCTTTGCAAAATATTTAATTAAGCCACCTTTGGCTTTGTATGAATATAACTTGTTACATTCATTTAAGAAGCACTGTACATACGGCTCATAATTTACAATCATTAAGCAAATAACATATTTACATTTTTAATATAATATTTGCTAATGGCATAGTGGTATAGCCTTATGGAAATATGTGGGATTCGTAGTGTGTGTGCATGTGTCAGAGCTGTGCTCTGAATGCTGGAATGGCAAACAAGTTTACCCAGAGTGCAAGCGTTGTGTCTATTTCATCTTTTATTATTTCTACAGGATTGGAAGTGACAGTATATGTACGTAATCCAAAAAAAATACCAGAAAGCATATGTGCAAAACTATACAGAATTATACAAGGAGATGTGTTGGATAAAACGAGGGTTGAGAATGCAATCGAAGGACATGATGCCGTACTGTCTGCACTCGGCCAAGGAGGGAATAACCGTGCGTTAAAAAGCAGTGTTAAAATAAAGAACAAAAATACCTTGTATTAGAGAAAATAAATTAAATACTGAAGTTGTGCAACTCAATGTACAGTATGTAGATACATATTAAAAAATATGCACAGATTGTTCATGAAGTCCCGTTATAATTTCAATATGAAATCAGTTCTCAATATATCTTAACCAGATTTGTTCATTTCAATGAGTGATTATTTAGTTTTTCTAATACATTTAATATACCTGTAGGGGCCCAGCAAACTATGGTATCAATAATTCCCCTTTTTTGGGAATAAAAAAAAAAATTTATGAGTTTACAAACATCCATGTATTTAAATTGTTTATTTATTTGAGTTGCAAGGCACCGAATATACTGTTATAATTGTGACTAAAAAGGCTATTTTTTGACAATGATAATTATGGTTGCCAAATATTGTTTAAAGTGCACCATGAAATAAAACACAATGGTATGTACACCATTCTATCAAAATAAACATCAAACTATGCCCCAAAATAGTAGATTATAGCCATTGTACAATAGAATTTAGGTAATGCAGGATAAATAGGAATCTTAATTGTTAATTACAATACCAATTAATTCCAGGTGACAATAGACTACTGTCGGAAGGTTGTCAAAATATTGTGTCGGGAATGAAAAAGCACAATGTAACGAAACTGGTCATTGTTAGCATGGGTAAGCTTTTGTGTATGGTAATAATAAGTTGACAAGTAGCTTCAAAGGTACATAGCATCACTTGTTCAAAAGCACTAATAGGTATTGATAATCAAAAATGCTCACACCTATTAATAATTAATTTGCAATTTTTGATAAGAAATGGACAACCTTCTCCTCATCTTCAAAATACAGTTTATTCGAAAATATTACAATAGTTACAAAATATTATCCATTACCTCTATTTGAGAATTCCAGTACAATGTATGCTGTACTAATATTGTAACCTATCAGAATAATTACACAAATACAACCAGTAGCAGGGCTTGGAAGCCAGAGCCACCAGAATTTTAGATCCTGATCATCTAATTGCTTTTACCCATTTACAATTTCATTAAATTAAAAGTTTTAAGCTAAATTTGTATATTTAAAAGTTTAATTTGATATTTTTAAATCGTGTGTCATACTTATAATCTTGTCCCAATTCCGTAAAACTACATTTGGGCTGATATGGCTGTGGTCATATCAAAAATCAATGGCTATGGAGCCAGTGGCCAGAACCGATGCAAAAAATGTTGAAACCATTGTGATTTCAAACCAGTTCCTCAGTCTTGGCCAGTACAATACAATAAACATTGTATAAAAACTGATGATGTCTTTATTAAAGGGACATTTCTTACGAGAGAAAGACCCAGATTCAACAGGTTTTGGAAGAGGATCGGATTTTATGATGATCATCAAAGACAAATCAAAATACTGGAAGAAGAAAGAGAATCGATTGATTGGATCATGATGATGCCTTCGAATATAAGAAACAGTACAAATATCAACCCCGACTATAAGGTGATTGGGTTTTACTTAAAAGCAGGTAACTGTCTTTTACTGGGCAAGATTAGTACCCACACCGGCAACTCCACTAGGAAAGATAAGGCTGTTCAACGAAAAAAATTCATATATTCTCTGTAGTTTCTCTCGCATTCACACTTGCCAAAATTCTAGCATCTACAGCTCACTTGTCATGTCATATGCAGCAAAATACTGTATAATGTAGGATAGATGTTGGATTTTCAATATTCAAAAATGTTGATTCATGAATAAATACCAGTTAACTAGGACATCATCCGCACGATGGTTTCAACATAATGTGATAAAATTTTAATGGTGCAAATGATGGGAAATACTGCTTAAGACACGATTTTCTTGATAATAGCACTTATTCCGTTATAGTGGAGCCTTCATCAAGCTAGGATGAGAAAGCTTAAATGAAGTTTAGAAAGATCTATTTTGTTGAGAGTTGCCCTTTTTGCAAGCATTTTAATTTTTGCAGGGGGATAAGATTTTAATTCAAAATTATACACATAATTTTGCTCCCTTTCCCCATTTCTTACAAAGTTTTACCTTTTAGGTGGAAAAAAATAATATTCCTGGTGAATATTCCGTTACGGCTGGAGAACTTGCAGATTTCATGGTAAAGGTATTCATGGATAGAACATCAACGGAATGCTTCAAGCATACCAAGTTAGGGATATCTTCTTATCCAAAGAGGAAATTTTCATGCAAAATCAGTATGTCAGTAGCAATGGGTCTATTTGCTTTTGCTATTGGAGCAATGCTGTATTATAGAATGCTACCTGATGTATTGCAAGAATTTGTTGACAATGTCACCAACCATGGCACAGATGCTATTAAAGATCAGTAACTAGTTGAGTCGAATGAAAACTGTGTGTATATAGAATTCTTCAAAAAGCCCAAAGTTAAAGCTAATGAGATGAATATGTTGACAATATGTTAAAATAATTTTCTCTCAGCTCTTATCTTAACCCAAACCATGTTTTTTTTCCTTTTTTACATGACATGGCGATAAGTTTTTTTTCCTCGTTATTGCAAAATTATCTTATTGAGTTCAGGATGCATTTTTTCGTCTGAGGTGTATGCATTGTTTTGCCCTTTCTTGCAGTTACAAAGATCCTAAAATTTGAATCACAGGCTTTTTAAAATATGTATAAAACCCTATAATGTTTAAATATGGAAAAAAGCATGTGAAAGCATTCATTTTCTTATATTTCCATATATGTCTTAATTTTTTATGCCACTTTCATACACAGTTTCTCACCACAATTTTGAACTTGAATATATTTTGTAAACACACTTCAGCAAACTGTCAATATTGCAAATTGCAATTGAAAAACCAGCCAATTAATTCAAGTTTATGTCCCTCATTTCACACATTGATTTACTCGTTTTATCTTCCAGGTTTTAGCCATAAAATTTACTGAACATGTTCAATTTCCACTATTTTCCTCTGTATATTTTTAAAGGTGTTTGTTGTGTTGTACTTGTAAATATGATTCATGCACCATCACAGTAATAAATGTGCTTGAAATCATCCTATTAGGGAAGAAGACATGAGAAGTGTCATGAAACCCAGAGACAGTATAATAAATTTATAAGTGAGAAACAGGAAGTTTACAAGAATATTAAACCACAGTAAGTAGAAGAGTAAGACAGTGGGCAGTCAGCTTTCAGTAAATATTAATCACAGACGGTTTCTAAAATGTGAATATGTGCCTTTCTGAAAGACAGTCGCCAAATTCAGAAAGTTGGATGTTCTAGAATTCTGTCCCATGATGTATTTTGTGTCTATAAATTTTATTAGATCAATTATATAAATGGCTCATAAATATAATAGTAATTGAGTTTCCATGAAACAAACTACTTATCCCCATTCTATGATTTGTTGCTGGTGGATTAGTATGCATAAAATAACTTTCGACTTTCATTTTTCGTTTGTGTGCCGAAGTCAAGACTTTTGGCCAGATGTAAATACATTTGTGCTAGAGTGCAGAAAGTCGGAAAGACTCAGAGAACCCATGTATGCCAAACTATATTAAGTGGGAATTAAAAGAAGCTTTGATTTCACTGTGAAAACTTGATATGAATCTTTGAAAAATATATCCTTTTCAAAAATTTTAAATGTAAATAAAACCGAATATGCTACAAATCCCTAGTCGTTTCAGACCTATCTCTGTTTTACTTACAGCGTGACAGTCAACAAAGATTTTATTGTGCGACAAATTAATGATCAACTTGCAACAAAGCATTTATCTTCAACTGGAATAGCACAAATACTGTATCACACAGTTTAATAATGAAGAAACTTTTAAGAAGTCAGAAATGTCAAGATATCAATGTGATATGGATAAAGTCTGAACAGAGCAAATGAAGTGATTATTTCAATTCAGATATAGAAAATTACAGTAATTGCATCAATTTTCATGCCACATCAAACATTTGTATCATTGAAGATGGACAAGGAATCCCTGCTATAAAGTCACAGGGTCAAAATTCAATATGATTGCCGATCAAGCCAAGAATGCAGACGAAGGGTAACTCTAAACCAAAAAATATTTATAATACAAACGCGTGCCCAGCCAGGTGTAACCGTTACGCATAATGGTATAGTACTATTTTTATGGAAGGCAACTCAGCTGCTTTTGAGATACCACAACAAAACATTATTGGAAGCTCACAAATGTGATAAGAAATTGTACATGAGTATAGATTTAAACAAATACAATGTCTGATCAACACAGTGTTATAATATTTGGTGGTACAGGGCATTCAGGAAAATATATACTGAAGCGAGCTGTGGCTGAAGGTAGGAGCATAGTAAAATTTTCATGAAGAAAATCATGTACGGTAGATTATTAAACTTATCTCTCAATAGATATCCTATTATTAAGAGGATGATTCGAAAAAGAAACCTATACAGTATGTTCCAAATGGCCTGCGTTCCGTTTTTTGGGTTGCCCTATATTTTATCTAGAGTGGAAAATAATATTCAAGTGTAAATGGAATAGTGGCAATATATATATATGTGTGATACTTTTTGCTTTTCGTTCAGGACACCAAGTAACCGCTTTTGTCAGAACACCCTCAAAAGTGCCAGAGAAGATTAAAAAGAATATTCAGATTGTACAAGGAGATGTTTTGAACTCTGAACAAGTGGGAAACGCAATTAAAGATCATGATGTAGTTTTGTCAGCACTGGGAAAAGGACTAAGTCTCGGTAAGTAACATCAGTCAAAATAACTATCTCAATAATGCCAAGATATAATAATTCTATACGGTACCTCAATCTCACACGTCACACTTATGATAATCAGGTCATAGACTGTTTTCAATATAGGATTAATTAAGCTGTCTTGTCTCTTTTTTATACCTACCGTAGTTAAATTTAAAAAGCCTAGATTATCCACTGTATAATCTATATTCATATTATTAAAGGTCCAACAACGTTAATGTCAGAAGGAGCCAAAAACATAGTGTCTGGTATGAAAAAACATGAAGTGAAAAATCTCGTCATGATTTGTGGAGGTAACTATGCTATATTTATATAACCGCTTATGATCTATGGCATAAATTCTGAAAAACGTCCACAATCTTAATCCAAAATATTATGTCATTTATTGCAGCGGGGAGTCTACCAAATCAAACATCACCCTGGCTATTTAGACATATTGGCGAAGACCATAAGAGAGTGGTTGAAATTCTTAAACAAGAAAATGAATCGTTAAGATGGGTAACTCTCCACCCTCCTTTAATCAGGGGCTCAGGAATCATTAGTCCAAATTACCAGGTGTGCTGTTGTGTTATAACATCTCATAAAGATAGGTTTTCCTTATACTTATGTCCTAATGAGATTCCATATTGATGCTCAATATACCGGTATTACGAAGATAACATATGATGAAGTTCATACTTAAAATACAAAAACCGCGATGTGTGCTCATACATATATGTATACTCCAATATAACACAACAGTAAATAACTCAACTTAACTGGTAATATCGTTGTGATTAACTTATTAATAAGTTAAAATGGGCATGGCCTACACCAGGTTTCAATACGTTTCCTTATACATGCTGTTTATAAAGTCCCGTACAATACTAGGTGAAAAAAATTCCATGTCCTTTGTGCATCAAATAGTGTAAGTATATTGAAGTAAAAAAGGGGGGCTAGTTCACTAAACACTGTCAAGCACTTTTAGTTAGGGTGGATTACCCATTTTCACATGTCATTATTAACCCCCACCTGATTACGTCATCCAAAAATTATGATTTGAATAATTTGCGATTCGATTATGAATACTTGGTTCGCTTGGCCAGCCCTAGAACTAGCATTTCATTAAATATGATTGTTTTGTCATTTAGTCGATGTAAAACAATCTCTATATATCTCAATTTACATAAACCAGTTGAGAAAAAAAAGTTACAAACATTTTTTTAGATCGAGAAAGATAACACAGGAAAACTTTATGTTAATGCTGGTGAGATTGCAGACTTCATGATGAAATATATCAGTGATGAGGAAACTGTCAAAAAATATCAGAACTGCTTACTAGGAATATCAGCAGGCCCTTCTTCTGTCTGCTCAATCATATAGCTTAAATTATTGAACTATGCCAGTGTTTCAGTGTTCAAGATGCAAGTTTAGCATTATTTTGCTACAGAAGTCATAACATATTGCATTTTATAGTTATATTTATTTATTTGACTACATCAGATTTAAAAAAAAATATTACCTCATTGCTTATCTATCTATTTTCTGCAACATATGAATATTAGAGTGTGAGCTTACAGTGAAAATCACTTTCAATTTACATTATTTAATACAGTATAAGTGATTTTATAAGATTTTTTATGAGTCATACTTTTTTCAACAAATTTTACACTATACAAAGTACTCTAAATCCTGTCTTTGCATCTAAAATTATATTATGTTATAATCTCTATCTTCCACTTTTTCTACTTGCCACTCATGTCACAGTTTTTTAGTTTACTATTAACAGTACTAGACTGAAAGAACAGTTTTCTATACTACTTTATTTCAATATTTGTTGATTATTTCAGTACAAATGGCAAAAATCTTTCTGCACAAAATGGATTACCACGGTAATTCTGATAATAAACATTAGATGAGTAGTAAACAGAATGTGTAATAAATTTTCATTATTTTCATCCATACTCCACTACTTATTTCAAGACAATACGTCATGAACAAAATTCTAGTACAGTGATACCTCTGTATTCGAACATAATTGGATTACCGTCAACAATAGACAAAATATTAATATATATATAATCATATATTATATATATATACTGTACTATTGATTATATTTGATTACTGATAGATCCAAGAATTTCATCCATGTCATCCCCATATTTCCGTTTTCTTGTATGAATTAACAAAATGATATTTTACATATTGTAATATTTTGTGTTTATATGATACAGGACAAAAAATATTACTATTATACAGACAATTTTACATAGAAACTAATATGCCTAAGCCTAAGATCATAGTTTTTGGAGCAACTGGAAATACTGGATTTTCCATTCTTGAAAGAGGAATTGAAGAAGGTATGAATGCAATATTTACAAAACATTAGAAATATATTTAGAACAAACAAATAATGAGAGGGCCTCTATTGGGCATCTAAGGATGCCAATATCCAAATACTTTGGGCATTGTAAAACAATTTTCTGGACTGTCGAATTATTTAAGTACAGGGTGTTACAATGAAGTCCGTTCTCAATATTTTCTGACCAGGTTTGTTTTATATTAATCAGTGTTCATGTAGGGGAGAACAAAATTATATATGGAATCAATAAATTGAATAAAAAAACACTTTAAAAAATTGTTACGATTTTTGAACATTTTGTAACGAAATCATGATATATTTATTTGTCTTTAATAAGGATGTGAGATCACAGCATATGTGAGAACACCATCTAAGTTGTCAGACCGGTTGCGCAATAATGTCAGAATAATTCAAGGGGACGTTTTGAAAAGAGAACAAGTCGAAGATGCCATTGAAGGGCATGATGTGGTATTGTCTGCACTTGGTTCGGGATGGGCACTAGGTATGTAGGATACAAAATATTAAATAAACTTTTTTATTTATATGACTCTTATCATGTCTTAATAATAAAATCATGAGCTTTCAGCCAGCTTTACTGTTGACCCATTGCACTACCATAATGAAAATGAAAAGCTTTATCAAAAGTTGTAGCACCAGTGAAAAAAATACAATCAGAATTCTTACATAAATTTTAATCACTCAGCTAGGAAAATTTCATTAATGCATAGTAACGAGTTTAAATTTCAAAAATCTTAGGCACATATCTGAAAGTGTATGTAAGGTAATCATTGATGTAATATGTTCACTTGACAATAATTTTTTATTTTAAGTTTTTGAATCTAGAACTGGCTGTTTTTTTAAATGATTCGATAGCTATGATCACAAATACATATTCAATATTTTTCATTATATAAATAATTATCATGAATAAGAATGATATTTTGGTGATTGTAATAATTCATATATCCGTATATATATATTCAGGTCCTACTAAAATAATGTCGGAAGGATGTAGAAACATTGTCTCAGGAATGAAAAAACATGGCGTTAAGAAGATCGCAGTAGTGGGAGTAGGTGAGACGAAGAACTTTATCCCAGTACATTAATAATTATTTCCATTAGGATTCCCAAATCATATAATGATTGATCCATGACCTCTAAACCAGTTAATGTCCCGGTCTAAATCGGTGTAGTTGGCGACTTGATAACAGAGACGTGGAGTAGTTGAACAAGTTTAATATGGTAGTAAGACTCCAATAATTTCATTATTGTATCCTCTCTACACACATTCTTTACAATATAGTATAAGTTACATAGATTTATGTAAATATGCTAATACCAATTTTAAATACCAAAATGCATGGCTGTCCTAAACCCATGAGTTGTGTTATTAATTAAGTGTCTTTAGTGTTACCAAAAGAAACGAGAATTTTCAAACCAAGCTTTTCTGAAAATCTTCTTCCTGAAATTGTCATAAAATCAAATAAGAATGTAGAAAAAAACATTACCGGTAGTTATAAAATTTATTCTATGACAATTGCAACAACAATAAACTGTTTTTTTAGATAACATAACCATACCCAGTCTTCTTTCTCGTAGATTCTCATTTGATTTTATGACAATATCCTTTATTTACACAACATAACCATAACATAATCTGAAATAGAGATGAAGTGCCCCATTTCATCATGCCACATAAAGAAGATATTCCTACCCTAATGGAAAACACATTCTAAATGTTGGTGATTTTTATTCAGCAAGTCTAATACCAGGAGAATGGAGCCCTATGGTACTGAAATATTTGATTGAAGATCATCAGAAGCAGATTGATATTCTTAATGAAGAAAAGGACACAATTGACTGGGTTGCCATAATGCCTCCTTCACTTTGGAGAAGCAATTATATCAGTCCATCATACACGGTCAGTATAGTTCATTAAGAACTCGTTGACGATAAACTTGAACCATTTGAAAAATTAAAAGTATAACCACTTGAAACTAAATTTGAGAACTAATCAAGATAATCTCAATATTTCTTCCTCAAATCGAACCTACTTTTACCCCACAACTCCCACAAGAAAATCATGTCACTTTTTTATGATTTTAGGTGTCAATGTCAACACAAACATTGCTTTTGTAGCTTTTCTAACTGATGAAAAAAGATCTACTTTATTTTTGTGATAGACATTTAGACCAGGGGTGGGCAAATTAGGGCCCGCATGCCAGATCCAGTCGGATCGCACCTCGGGTGAAGTGGTGGGCATAAGGTTATTCAATACTTCAACCTGTGACACATATTGAAAAATATTTACTAATAAAATGATGTTTTAACTTTAATAAACAAATGTCTGAAAGCTTCGACTAGAGTTAACATCAAGAATATCCATTCACATTCCCAGTTACATAGACTCATTTGTCTCTAGATCATAATAAGTTATTTTACATTCAAACAGGTTGAAAAAGATACATTCACTGGTCGCTACTACGTATCAACAGGAGAGGTTGCGGACTTTATGTTCAAATGTATAAAAGATGACAACATTTGCCAAGAATACAAGCATCGTCTAGTGGGAATCTCATCTGGGCCAGCAATTATTTCAACTAAGAACCTGGTTCTGCTGACAATTCTTTCAGCAGCAGCCATCGGATCTTATTTCATGGGATATACACCTTGGTAATGAACTATTAACCTGAACTGAAAGATTCTCCGATTGACTGCTTTAGATTTTGTGCAATTTAGAATAGTTTATAATATTTGAATATTACTTGGACAATTCTTTTATTGTTAAATTTAGCCTGCAATGCACATACAATTCTGTCAGCAATACTTGCTGAAGAAACTAACACTTAGTGAAGTGAATAAAATATGCAACTGAACAGTGACTACATAATATATATGAACATTGTACATGGTGTTCATAAAGCTACATGGTGTTCATAAAGCTACATGGTGTTCATAAAGCCCTTTTAAGTTGCCAGGGGAATTTATGGATAGTTTACTGGCCTTACAGGTTCATATAAACACTAATTTAATTAAATGAAACAAACATGGTTAAGATTAAAAACTGACTTCATAACAATTAAAATTGTAACAGGACTTTATTACGAGCACCCTGTACAATAAACACTTCCTGAATTTAGGAAGGTATTTCAAATTTTGATTATGGTATGTAATTGGCTTAAATCAGTCCTAAAAATATTAGAGCAATCTTATTATACCAATCCAGCATTATAAAAAATCATTAGATACCGGTATGTGTTTTTGTCTGCTGCATGAGACTAATTTTTATTTAGTTATTCAAAAACATTTACTTCAGAACATATTTAATTATCCTGTATTGGTTATCCCTAGATGAATCTGACTAATGATAAAATAGCTACTTAAGATAATGGTGCATAAGTTGTGTTATAGTGATGTAATTACTATAATGCTGCTGTAAGAGACTAGTTATATAAATTAAAGGATGAAATGATCTATTGCGATCAAGTTGAATAAGATGTGATTGTCCATAAAAAAGGGATTTTATTAGAAAGACAGCATTGAACAGCAAATTAAGATCAGTCACTTCGACTTAAAACCATCTTCCATTGAACGCACCGCTTTTCTTTCCACTAAAACTAGGATTTAGTTTGACTGTTAGCACAACATCTTATGCGTAAAAAAGATTCTTTCTATCGTGACCAAGTTGCGTCATAAAATTAAGTCAACTTTCTTGCCCCCTCGAAAAAATTGATAAATATTTTACCATCATGTCGTAACAACATTTTACCTTGGCGTCAACACGACAAATTTCGAGTTATTCATACAACAAACTAATAAATGTTCAATATTTTTAATACAACATTAATCTTAATCTTAGTGGTAAATCATAATTCATAGGGATTTTTCAATTCCAATGACTCACTCAAATTTATCTTAAGTCTCTCTGGAGATGAGTCGAGTGCGGGTTGAGTCATTTCATTCAGACGACTCAGAGCATCGGGTATGGTACGCATATCTGGCAATCCGATCATATATGTTCAACTACCACTTGATTCAACAGGGGTGTGATAGCAAGATTCATCCAGTTGGGCATAAGCAGAGACAGCTTTAAATATTACACTTACGGTAAATACCGCATGAGATAAAACAGTCCCACTTTAAATTAGTATATCCATGTCAACCTATGTATATTTGTGGTAATAAATTGACTCACCAGTACAACAGTCATCTGTTTCAAGGTGTCCATGTTCAAAGGAATATCAAGAAGCTTTGCAAGAAATGTTCCACCACCTAGTTCCCATATGTGGCCGATCATGTTGCCATGCTAAAAAAAATTGAAATGGGTAAGCAAAAAAACAAGTGAACCTAAGTAGGCACCATGAAGATGTAAGTTACGGTAAGAATTCCATATTTATTCTGGGAAAAGTCAATACAATGGATTATTCATATGGCAAAGCACAGTCCCTCGTTCGGATACCAGTCCATGTTGGAATGTAAAAGGGTAACCAGAATATTTTTGAGATGCATGAGCTGATTTCAGAAAGTAATAAGACTTCTTTTTGGTGATAAAGGGAAATTGATGAATAAAGAGGATAAAACTAGAGTCTGCACATATAAGTGCCAAACGTTTGTTTCCAGTTGAATAAATTTTTACAATTACATTAATCAGAACCAAACTAGGATTAAATTTCTCTGTTCAAAAAGACTGCATTCAGGAGGGCAGGATATAAAAGAAAAACAAACCATCTGAGTCTTCCGTGCATAGGTGTATTCGAGAGCAACTGAAGGCTTCGTAGGTTCTTCACGATTTAAAAATCTGAGCAGCGCTGTAGTCTTCCCCTAAAATATAATATTGCAGTCAAATTTTGTATTTACATTAACCTGTTATATATACAATTATATTCGATAAATTTCATACATAAAATTTACAAATCTGTTATATATTATTCCGGTTGAAAAGAAACATATTAAAATCTTTCTGTGAAATTTAGAATTCCAATATCACACAGATTTCAGTGAAAATACAAAACAAAAAGTCATGTTGAATGTATTATAAGCATTTTGATGAACATTCAGATATGAACTGTCACAAAAGAGACTCAGCTTTTGTTTTTTGGAAAACAGTTTTCACATAGTTAACATATAAATGGCTGTTCTAGTTGATAGTATCAGTACTTCCGAAATTTTTTCTGGATGAAGTTCCAGATTAAACACTTAATGGCTAGAATACAACAACATATTTCAGTCATGGCCTGGGTATTTAAGAGTTTGAAAATGAATTGAAGTTATTTTAATATCCTTTACAGATGGATTCCAGATATTTGGGTAACCCAAACTACATTTCAGCCTATGATAAAAGCTATTAGAAAACAAAATGAAACTACTTTTTGATCACTGGAAATTTTGAAACTTACTGATGATTTTCCACCAATAACAAGAACATATTTGTCAGTTACAATTCCTTTATAAGCTTCGTTTTCTTTTTTGATATTGATTTCATCCACAGCAGCATCCCAGATTGTTCCACTAAAGATTAAATAACAAATACCTCAAGTTTGAATCTGACATCTTTAATTTCAATATACTGGGTTAATTCAGTTTTAAAACTAGAAATTTTGATCTCAAATGAAAGTTGAGGTACAGACTCATTTGGTTGGAAAATATATTCGATTATTGATTATACAAGTCCTCAACATTCATACACATCCTCAAATTATCTCATTGTACAAATGTTGCCAATGAAAATCATTCATTAGCTTTTGACATGCAATAGATGAATTCAATTAAAGCATCTTAAATATGTGTGAGTCGTGTGACATCTGATTTGCGTCAAATAACTAATTCCCAACCTATAAAGCCTCGTAAAACTTCACCCCATGTACCAAAAAAATGTAAAATTAAGATAACAGGATTTCTTGTTACTCTTCTAAAATTATAGGCCTATTACAGTATATGTTTCCCATTCCTACCCTATGATACAAAGCATAGTAATATCTGCTGCCACCAAACAACCCTTCCAAACATTGAGAATTAACAAGAGAGTTTATTACCTCATGTTGTTCCCTTTCAATTTGCAATGTTTCTTGATCTGCAGCCAATAATATATAAAGATAATTAAATCTAAAATACATAGAAAAAATTGAAAAAACTAAACTAAATTGGGTAACATTATAAAATTAAAATAACAATACAAGAGCGATGGTCTAGCTGTCACCGGCATCTCTGAATAAATAAATATCTCTAGGGCAGCGGTTCCCAAACATTTTGTGTGTGCGGCGCCACACGAAAAAAATATGATGCTCTTCAGTAAATTACAATATCGTGATCGTTGTTTTGTACTTTATTCCATTTAACGTTAGTAAACATGTATGCTCAGGGAATAAAGGCAAACCCTCCTTTCTCATCTTTGCCTGTTCGCTAAACTCGGTTCAGCAGATGAATAAATTGCGGCAAATGGTGTCTGTATCTATTGTTACGTACCATAGAGGCAGACAGACACTATGTAACAAAAAGTAAACGGCAAGGAATTCATTGATTCATACACACGTGTATTTGAAGTAGGAAACAATACAACTTTTAAACTAAATACAATGTGTAAAATATCAGATCATAGTTTAATTAATTATACACAATTCTGCTAATTTTGGCGGCGCACGTGACAACACGCTACGACGCACCTTTTGGGAACCGCTGCTCTAGGGCATAAATTCCATAGCTTGCCCAGCATCTCAGCCAGGATGTAATAAATTACCAGACTGAAGAGATCCCAGTCCTTCTAAAGATCCTGTTACACAGCAGTGGCTTCTTATATAGAGCTTTGTTCAGAGCAAAAGTATTGAGAATTGAAATACAATGGACGATCATGTCACCATGTGTACAGTCTGTAATGGATTGAACAAGTTTGTTTAGACAACTTATAAAATAATTTAGGAATAAGATTCATTGCATAGGAGTTGCCAAACCCACAAAATAAAGCAATTTACGAAGGCAAATTATAGTAAAGAAATAGATTGAACTTTAAAACATATTTTGCTAACACCACATAAATATAAGTACGATATACAATAGATAATTTCCTATTTCGAGAGGTTTGGTTGCAATAAGGTAAATTGTTTTAGTTTCAGAGCACTAGTCTTTCTCTGTAGCAATTGTATACGTGGAAAGTATCACAGCTTAAAATCTTGGCATCGACTATTTTTCTTAAATAAACTCACGCCACAACTTCAAAAACTTGCTGATGGCAAATGAGCACATCTTTCTCACTAATGCAACTTTGAATTCATTTCTGCTGAAGTAAATATTATGTAAATATGACCGTTTTATATCAGTCATTCAATTTTGCGGCCCTAAAAGCACTAAATGCAGCTTAGGACATCCTAGGGTCACAAAATTTTACAAACTTTATTTTTTTTTAAATTAGGGTCGCTTGAAAAACAGTTGGGAACCACTGAGCTAGACTACATTTTAAGATCAGCATATTACTACTATACACTGATGAAAATTTCCAAAATCATATATCAGGATAAATGTAAATTTTTGGGAATAAATATCTTGAAATTCTTTAAACATTTCAAAAACAACATAAACAATCAGAAAAACAAAATAATACAGTATTTTCAACGAATTATAGGTATTAAAATATGGAATAAGCTAAGATGAAATAAGGCAAGAGGCAGAAAACATGACCAATCAATGTACTAATTGTATAGCATTTTACAGGTTTTAAACCTTGTTTTCCCGGAGGAAATTTGCCTGTAGCAAAAAAGTCCTTGAGAAGTTTATCTTTTTCAATAAACCTATCGTAAATCCACGCTTCAGAAACAGAGTAACCTCCTCCTTCTCCAACCTTTGTCATCATATCAGAGGAACGAAAAACACGGTAATGCAGATAAACTTTTTTCGGCCCTCCGCTACCCATCACCCATGACGTTATTCCTAGAGGCTCATTCTTTGCATATCCAATTGTGACATCGATAATCCATTTGATATGTTTTTTTCCCAGTGAATCTTTGTTGAGTCCATTCTTAACCCCCTCAACACCCAGGACATCCACTATTGCTTGAAAAGCCCCCACTCTAGGTATAGTAACATTGTTTAATAAAGGTAAATTATTACGCTTGGAAAAACGCCAACTTCCCTCTCTTCGCTTATGAAGAAATCCACCTTCGGGAAAAAGAATCATCCATTTTCTATCACGTTTGCAATAAACATCAACAAGGTGTTTTTTGAATCGCTTCATTCCATCAATTTTGATTTGTGCTTCAGAACCGCTAAACAAAAATGGAAACTTTCGAATATCCGAACCTTGGAGAAGGAAGAAGTCACCATGGCCTTTTGCTATCCATCCAAAACTTAAAAATTGTAATACCCAGTCCATAATCCACATGACCCCTCTAAGCGAAGGTCTTGTACCCCGCAGAGCATGCATCAACACAGGAATATCCCCCGAAGATTGGTGATTTGTCATGAGAATGCTTTCATCATTGATAATGGAAGATATATCATCGCCGCTGGTAAATATTTCATGTCCGGATAACTGAGCCCAAAATGCTACCATAGATAGTAGTTTTTCATATAGCCATCCTTCAATAGCCCAGAACGTTAGTGGAGAGAATATCCTTAATGGTTGTAATAACAAGTACAAACAAAGGTATACCGGAATTGCATATAAGTTGTTTACAATGCAAAGTATCGCCCGAAGAAGTGATGTGAATGTTGTAATGAAACTCATCTTGAAAGTTAGACTCTGGTACAAATACTTTTATGTATTTCACTATTGCTTTAGTATTATACAAAACATGTTTGAAATGGAAGTAGGTACAAAGCATAAAAAATACAATATTTCAAGTTGACAAATGATAACAATCTTCATAACTAAAACTGACAGGTAAACTCATATTGATTTTCTTGTCTATCAATCTTTCTTACATATGCAGATGCAGTGGTGTGGTAGAGTCAAAGCCATCTATATTTCAACATTATTAGTTCACAACAGGGCTGCACTGCGCACTTGACAAAAAAAAATTTCAGCCATTCTTAATTCTGTAATTAACAACCCAACAACAGAACAGGGGAGACAGTACAACAAAATTGAGATATTTCTTACTTAGATATGTCTGCATGTAAGTACGATATGTTTATTCATGTCATTAACTGTTTAACTAAAAGGTATGATATACAGATATAGGGCACACACACAACTGCACAACCAGTCTTATGCCGCAATACATTACTGCAATACCTTTATAATATTTTTTAACAAAATGAAAGTTGTAAATAAAATAAAATTCTAGTTATCAAGTACCGTAACTCTCCAGTCCCAGAGTTGATTAGATGGCTGATCCTGATATCGCACCGACAGTGAATGAAATGTACAAAGCTCATTGAACAAAAAACTCAATATCGAAAAAATGAAAAAACGTTTGTTTATGAAATAATATTGCCCTTCTGCCCTTGAGCTCTAAATCCTGAAATGATAGATAACCAAATACTAAGTACCGTACAGAAGTATAGGATTTATATATTTATCCAGGGGGAGAGGAAAGCCGACAGACTGCTGTACTGTCTTTATTTCTAAGATTCAGTTATTTTGAAGGTCTTACTTTGTCTTAGAAAATATTTTGTAGGATCAGAGGATAGAAGCTATCGGAAGTGAGGAAAGCTGACAAGCTGGGGTAAGATAACCAATAACTTGTTTCTGATGAATGAACTTGATCTTGAAGGAAGCGCAACCAACCAGAGGACAGCGGTTATCGTACTGCCGTTCGTGAACCAATGAGACGGCGATGGATTCCAGCAATTCATTTTCACATACAGACATAATTTACCCCGCAGCACATAGGATTTGAACCTGCGAACCAATGCAGGACGCAGTGTAATCCAGTAATCAGAGGTGCAGTGGCAGCCTAACACTTACCGTAGCGTCACATTGCCGAGCGACTGCTTGACTAGCTAGCATTCAAATTTCACATAGGCTACTTCAGTACTTGCATCGCAAAGAATTAGAGCAGAATCAAGAGAGTGATGCTCAAATAGCCTAAAGGACCAGAGTTATCCAAGCCCACACTCACCCTGCGGTCAACGGGTTAACCAACTATTTTATTCACTTTATAAACGATGTTTAAAAAAAAAATTGGTTGTTTTAATAATATATAAGTTAGACCATAGATTGATTATACATCCCACGCAAATTTGCAAATGCAATACCAAGCACAGCCCAGTTACCCCAAGTAGGCCTATCACCTAACAAAAACGAGTAGACTGGCGTCACACCAGTGTGGCCAAGCTCGGCCTAGTCTAGTGCCTAACAAAAACGAGCGCGGCTATCACCAAAACAAAGTGATAAAATCAAAGTTACCAAGCAGGCGCCATCGCAATTTTGTTTGAATAACTGTTCCGGATGTCATACCAGCGTGTGCACTCAAATCCTGATAAAGACCAGACTTTTATATACTCTTATTTTCACTATATTTATAGTGGATTGAATGAATGGAGTCTAACACTAACTTGATAACTAAAAATTGATCTTAGTGGTTTTCGACGGTTTCTATGTTTTTCCGCGTGTTTTTTTGTGGCTTTTGTTGACGATTTTTCCTTAACGGTATACCTTTTTTTAGGGTTGTTTTAGCGTGTTTATTAGAGGTTTTTTCTTGCACGTTCCTGCATGTTTTTTGGGTGGTTTTAAACGAGTTTTACGCGTTTTGTTGTGTAAGCGTGTTCTTGCAATTTTCACACGTTTGGTTTTTGCACGTTTGTGTATATTTTTCACTGGTTTTCGACGGATTTAATTTTTGCTGGTTTATGACGGTTTTCGATGTTCTCCCCGTTTGCCGCCCCTATTACTTTTTTTTAAATGTTTGAGGTTTTCATCTGGAAGCAATGTTGATTATGAGAAGATGGCCATCGGCGTGAATCATCGATGCCAGTATCATTTAACTATAAACCTGACGCACTTACACCTGCACGTCCGCTGTTTTTGTTGGTCTTACAAACGAAGCCAGGAGATCGCAAAAATCGTGGGTTGCGTACTGGTAAACTGGCCGAATCCAATTTCCCGTTGGGTGTCTTCTTCATTTTTCTTCGCTCTCTTTATCAGTCTTAAATGACTTCCGCCTTGACCTTCTAAAAATCCTAACCTCATCGTTGTCGGTCTGTCTTTCCTTTCCTGATTGTGGGGGAGATCTTTTTGAGAGGCGACCTCTAACCAACCTTTTACCTACTAATGGATACATGTTTTGCCTCCTAGCTTGACTGTTGTAGAAGCATATTGCATCTTTTAAACCTGACATTTTCCTCTCTACCTCAGACCTATTCGGCCAGTTTAGACCGACACGAATCTAAATCCAGATCCGACCAGGTGTGGCTTCGTTAGGATTTGTTTAACAAGTATTATCAGAAATCCGTACATGGGTCGTTTTAGTTTTCGTGGCACCTGGCAAGCTTACTCTTCTTACAACGTCACACGCTTCTTATCTTATAACGGTCACCTGGGACCCCGTCTGACTACACACACACACACACATAAAATGAAAAAAAAAAAAACAGTACAAACAACAAACAAACAAAAAAAAATAGAATTTTGTTCCGGCAAGACCGATTATTATAATCGAAATGGGCTTTCGTCCATCACTACAATAAATGCAATGTTGTGTTTCTCTTCACGTTTACTGAGTTTTCTTAATTTCATCTTCTTGGCAAATTTCTCAAATCTGTAAAATGTAACAAAATTGGATGCAAATTACATTGAGATATTCTCTTACTTTTTGTTTAAATAATAAATAGTCATGTACACTTATTTTAGTAACCATAACTTTTACCAAGTCACAACGATGGTTTTGAAATATGGATATGGAAAACTTTTCTTTGGTTTATGCAAGTTAATCAAAATATTCGTTTTATAAAAAAAATAGATAAATATAAATAGCCTACATACGTATATATGATCGGTCTATAGTTCACATAAAATATGCAAAAGTGTTTCTATCAGATAATGTCGAATTTCAACAAAGTTTCTCACTGTAATCAAAATGTAATTTCGGAAATGGGTTTTTGCACAAACGTAAACAGTTAATATCATTTTCAAAAAGCTTCCCCATTTCAAGATTCATTTCGGCGGGTCAAAGTTTGTTTGTCGAATCATGTTATTGTATTGTATTGTTATTATTAATAAGTAAGTGTCAGAATTGGATTATTAGGAAAAATGTTAATCCTGGCTTCACTTAAACTTAAATTATCTGCATGGGTAAGCTATTACTTCCATTATTTGGATACTTCATGATAGTGCATTTTCGTTTTTACAAGAAGCATTCCTCAGTTCCCAAGATAAAACAATTGAATTGGGCGGTGTTCAACCTTTTTCCTATTTTAAACGAATACACGAATTCGCGCTAAGGTTCGCATGCGGCTCTCAACAACCTTTCCTGCGGCTCTAGTTAATGCTTTAAAAATCAATTACTTTAAAAAAAATATTTTCATTGAAAACTAATCATCGACTTGAAATTAAAATGCGGAATTCTATTAGTTAGTCGAATGAATTCACCCGTGTTTATTTGCGTAGCGTTGACTAATCTACAAAATGCAACAGTAAGCGTTTTTGCAGTCACTTGGGCACTGAGATTTTAGACATGGCTGTAATCACTGGCTCGCTTTCGTGGATTTTTCAGTTTTTGTCACATTTACGAATATTATGTTTAAATCAAATAACTCAATGATTATTTTAATTTGTGGAGCATTTTAATTTTGTTCCGGTAATCGAAAATAGTTCCGAAATATCTGCGATCAACTGGCGGTCATCTCAACCAGCTACTGCACCTTGCATCCGCCACGATTACGACCCGCTTTGACGAACCTATTAGAAATCAAAGCCAAATTAAATGACTGTTAGTCCAGGGTGGGCAAAATCGAATATTTTTTCGAATCGAATAATTTGAATATTTTTAACGAATATCGAATAATGAATATTTTTTATACATAACAGGGATTCGATACTTTCTTTGGAAATTAATAGAAACATTGAAAAGTCGGCCATAAAGCGTTTTTTTACTGGTTAATGATTAATTTCATCATAATCGCTGATTGTCTTTGTCACCGCGATCGTTTCGGCGGCGATATCCTAAAGTTGGTAATCTATATTCCCGCCCTTTCTCGTTTTTTGCAAGGGTCGCCGGATATCGAAGTTTCAGGACATTAAGGGCTGATTTTAAAACCAAATTAATTTTATTCTAAATTTTATCCTCTGCCTTCGATTTGATCTTACTTATCACCGCTTGTATATTAACCGTGCCTGTTTAAAGTGAACGGTGACATATTCATTAAAGTGATAATTGCGTTTCTCATGCTTTTCCATGGTGTTCGTGTTATTTTAGTATTAGATAGATGAATGTTGATTTTAGAAAGCGATTAAATAAATTGGCAATAAAGGCATTTCTCGGCCTTTTGTGCCTAATAGAGGGTCAGACGCTAATTATAACTAATTTTTTCATGTTGCAACGTTTTTTTTTCAACAAAACAACACCCCGACGATTATTAAGGCTAAAATACGTACTGAGTAATGCTCAATTATATTTACGGAATTTGCAAATTCAGCATTTCACTTAATAATTTTGATTATGTCATGCCTCAATTATTACTGCCCAAACGCTTCAAAATTTAATGCTTGTAATTTTCGATGATAATAGACGCAACTATTTGTGAACGAGTCAGTGTGCATTGTTACAACGAAATTCATGATTGATTTTACATTCTACTCTTGGCTCAACAGCCACGCATGGTCGAGTAAAAATGTTTACATATTCGAAACATTACTTGGCCAAGGATGGAAGGGGTCACTATAGAGCTAATACAAATTCTTTAAAGGGAGTAGGACATGACATTTCTTATCTGGTTACAACTTATTGAGTGTTTTTCATACAAGTAACTCATACCAACTTTTGGAAAAACTGTGACTGGTCATTTTTAAATCCATGCTCTTTATATAACTCAATTGCCTTTTTCACAATGAAACGCCTGAAAAGTCATTTTAACATTTAATTATAATTAATTTTATGTTCGGGTCATGCAAGAAATGGCTAATGACATGTCACCAAGCATGCGGAGTTTAAAATCTGGGAAATTTATTTTAAATACCTAATCTGGTTTGACGTTTCTAAATTTACGGAACGGTCGGTAGTTTTTATTGCAAAAAATTAAATTGAAACGATACATTAAGTGTAAAGATAAGCATATAACACCATAAGGCAAAGACAACGATTTTTCTGATAGCGAGCGTCGTGGGGACTCGCACAATTCACGATTGAGTTGGAGACGCGCGATTTCGGTGTCCAAGCAGAGCGGCGCAGGTCACGTGATACCGGATATTCGAATAGTAAAATGCCATTCGAATATTTTATTATTCGATTCGCCCTGGTTGTTACGTGTGTTTTTGTTACGATGACTTGGTATTTTAAATACGTGCTTGAGATTTGTTGATATTTTAACTTGAGTTGTTTGTGTGCGGCTCTTCACAACTTTGAGGTTTGAAATTTGGCTCTGGGACTAAAAAAGTTTGAGAACCACTGGTTTAGATGTTAATTTTACTCGGGTAGGCAACAGGAGGTTCACATCAATGAACCATTCAAACAATCAATTTGTATTTAAGAAGGCATAATACGTTTCAACAGGTGGGACATATTATTAGAAGCAAATATTTGAACAGATTTTACTAATTGCCCAAAATACCAATATTTAACAAGAATATCTCATCCACCTGTAAAAACCTTGTAAAAATTTTTCTGTGTCTTTTTTTCTTTTTCTCTATGATTTTTTTCATATTGTTGGAAAAATACGAATCAGTTTCAAATCTGTAAAATGTAAGAAACTTGGTTATACTCTGGTGGTTTTAATTGTAAGTTGAAACAACACATCTGTCACGTGATCAACAATAATTTATACGATATATATCTAATCTTCCGTTCCATTTTCTAAAACCTCCATGAATACACACAAACCGTTAGAAATTACTTTTGATGATATGAAAAGGAAATATGCAAGCTAGACAATTTCTGTGCGTCATGGTATTTCGGCAAAAATAACGAAACAACAAAAACCGAAAACAATTACCTATATTAAGTTGATTTTTTCATGTTTATGCGAGAAGATTGTCATTTGAGGTAAAACTTCATTATAATAGTTGTTCTAATGGTTAGCAAGTATTGAATAACAATTTCTTCTTAAAAAATTGCTTATAACTTCAATGATACACTAATTCAATAAAATAATTCAACCACCGTTTAAAAATTACAGTAAAAGCAATTTACTTAAGTAGAGTCGAATAATTTCAAGTCATCAAAAACTGTGAGGTAAACAAACAGGATTAAAATCTTTCTTGTTCAATTTTAAGATTTGTCAAGTCGTCTGAAATGTCTTTTAATTAAATCGACGGAAATCGTAGGATATTGTAATCTAAAAACTTGTTATCTTGAACGTTTATGAAAGAAATGTAAAATCAAGCCTTTTTTTATGAGTATTTGTAATAATGACGGGAGAAACTTTTTCAAGATTCTAAACAACTAAAAACAAATTTCTAATAATGATTATATTAAAATCTTTTTATAAAAGTCTTCAAATGACGATATTCGTTTTATTATGTAATTTCTTGCAAAATAATATACTATACTGCGATGGAAAGTAATATTGATAAACCAGTAATTACAAGAATTAAACTTTGCGAAGCACTTCACATTGGTAGTAATCATATTAGATTTACGAAATCTCTCCAGATGGTTTTTTTTGTAAATCGCTTACCTTATTTATACGAATTATGGGCCACATTTTATAGCGAACAGAGATGAAAAAAAAATGCAAGTACACAGTGCTATCATTGTACTGACGTTTGCTTAATTGCTGAACCACGTTTCTACTTCGAAAATGCATATATATTTTCCTAAAACTCCTCTACCGTTTAACGCAGAATAATATAGCAATGTATAACATATCAAATATAGTCTCCCCACCTGACTGTTGTTTCAAATAAGCAACGATATCGTTGAGAAGTCCAGATGCCACGAATATAAACGATCTGTTCTCCATCAAACATTCCTTTGACTGAATGAGAGAAGCGAAACGCTACTCTAAATTCCCGCTCAAATTTTAATTAAAGATAACAAATAATTTACTGTAATCAAATCGATGGACAATCAGGTTAATTAGGGCTAGTTATTTCAGATACCACGCGATTGAGCAATCTTGAAATAGAGCATTACTTTTGCTCACTTCAGTTTGATGAAAATTTTAGTCAGAACAAGTATTGTTGCATCAACTCAACTGGTATATCACAACCGGTATGTTAGTCGTTGATCACAACCAGTATTAATTGCGGGTATTTATTTGGTTTTGTATAAATTACTTCTTTCTTGGGGCATGTTTCAACTTCTCAAACTTACATAATTATGTAAATATACCATTTACCTACCGGTGGCGAGTAGGGATGGTATAGAATCGACTCCGGAATCCATTCCAGATTCGATTCTCAGTGGAATCAGCTAGAATCAATTTCGATGCGTTGGAATCGATTCTTAGGACTTAAAGTTGGTTGCAAACACGGGATAACGTTTTGTGTCAAGTCCTTCACATATATAAATGTATAATCTGCTATGTGGAGTTGCTACGACGCCTCAAACATCACTATATTTTTACACCCTCCTCCCACTCACTCGTTTGCGAGGGTGAAGGGCACGTGCCAACGGCAATGAAACAAAAAACTTATCAAATATCGCAGTTGTCGCCCAAAAGTACCTCTGTGTCCCAGCAACATCCGCTGCATCAGAAAGGGCATTAATCTTAGCGGGGCTTACCGTCTCCAAATTGCGATCCAGACTCACAGGAAGACATGTGAAAAAATTTAACTTTTCAAATTGCAATAGATTTTCGCTATAATAATTTTTTGCTACAGTATGTTTTTGAACTTAAAGTGAACATATAGATCATTTTGTTAATATTATGTTGTTGTTAGAATTCATTTTGTTGTTCTTGTTATGGAAAAATATATTTTCACATCACCTACTGGACCATTTGCTTTGAAATTTTCAGTGGTTACAACTTGTATTTTTAATGGATCCTTTTTTGTGTCGGATCGGATAAAAATCAAATCCTTGTAAGTAATCATACTTAGTTTCCTTAGCGGCGAGGAGTCCAGCAATCTCATCGCATATAATCATCCCAACGGGATTCAAACTTGCGAACCAACGCAGGGTAATCGAGGGTGTGGCGGCGAGAGTATTCCTAACATAGTCATAACGCTTAGCACGATTCGCCACACCATATTATATTGTGTCCATATATTATGCATTGCTCTCGTATTTCGGTGGGTACAACTATTACGGCAGGAACATAAACATATGAAACACAGTCCTTTTTATTACCACCCTTTAAAAAGGGGTTAAAGTTTACAAAACAGCGTGAAACACGCAAAAAATATTGCCAAATCACATGACGATCTGCAAACACCGGAATACTATTCTTCTTTCCAGCTGTTTGCGTTGTTTTGTATCACAATATTAATGAAGGACCTGTATGCGGTACGGTAAAGGATGGCAAGCGATTGTGTTGAAGAAGTGTGAATGAAGAAATATGGAACTTCGACTTCGACCAGAAAACAAGGATACAATGGATAATTTGGACCACAGCACAGTAATGAAAACTGCCAGTAGTCCGACTTCAGGGAGTGATTGTAATCTTGATTTTGGGCAGAGGTAAGTTAAGGCTATTTGTGCCATTGGGTCCGGTCAACTAAAACAATTTTATCACAATCAAACCTCATAAACAAAAAAGCTCAGAAATAACACCATGTACCATATTAGCATATCCGTAATTCTGGGATTTCAGGTTTTACTTCTGTAGTTGACTACGGTACGGTACGGTACATTCTGAAATCACTCAGTTTACAGGTTTAGCAGATCAGTTTTTTTAATCATCCATTCTGCCATTTCTGCATGGGTTTTGGTAGTGCATAAGTGAGAGAGTCAGAAAGGTGCTAGAATTGACCAAAGCTATGTTGCCATGTGTTGGACCAATTTATCACTTATTTGTCATTCGATTCCAGAATTTGTTATCCTTAAATAAAACTACTATACTAAAGTGCATTCATTTGATATGCATCTAGAGTAACTATTGTCTAGTATGATTAATATAATATATTTCATGGCTGTTTATTGGTGATAAATCCCATTTTCTTCTTTTTTCCCAGTGCCAAATTCAGTAGGGCTCAGTTTTCCGATTCCAAGATGTTCGACATTGGTTCCATTCTTTTCTCTATAATCATTTAAATCAATGGCAACGTTCATCGGCCATCACATGACCGAAATGTGCTTTTTGCAAAAAACTCGTGAATGCTGCCGTAAAATTTTTTTTTTTTTTGAGGAATCCAATGATGCAGATTGCATTTCCTCTTAGTTTATTGCGCAGTTGATTTGTGGCAATAGGGAAGCCCAAAGGAGAGGTTTGCACTCACTGTTATAGTTGATGTTTGTAATGTGTTTTTTTTCTCAGAATCGGAGAATTGTGCCATAGTGTAATTGTCAAGTACCTATTTTCAGTTCATCCCCAATACAAATAATGTTGTTTTTGCATGATTAGTTATATTGCCTTATAGAATTTTATAAGGAAAAATGTCTGCAAAATTTCTTTTCAGTCATCTATCCATAAGCAACCAGAAAGATGAAAGTGATGACAATGGTCTTCAAAATTCATCTTCCAGTAAGAAACATAGCCCCAGTTCCGCATATGATACTGAGCCATATGGGGGAGATGCAGGTACAGTTAATTCTCACTTATTTATTACCTGAATCGATTTATTAAGAATTATATTATGAACTGTTACTAGTCAATAGTCATATATTTATACTGTTCTTAAAAGATATAGAGTTTAATTGTTTTAAGAAAAGCGATTACATTTGAAATCTGTGTCGACACAGTAGATCCAAATTCGCTTGTCAAATTTTAAGGTATTGCAAAAATCATATTTTTAACAGTCAAAAACTAAAAATGGACATAAGATACTACCTGAAGATTTCAAATAGTTCCTTTTGTGCAAATTGTGACACATGGTACTTTGGTAGTACTGCAGTGACGTGATGTTAGGAAGAATTTGAATAATTCTTTTTTGAAATTTATTATTATTGGCATTTGACATTTAATGATCAGACAAAAAATATGTTCAGACAAGTTCAACTTTTGATACAATGTTTATCTCCATCGTGCTGTATTATCAATCATATATTTATCTCAGTGCAAATTTAATTTTTAGTCTGGTTAATATATTTAAATACCAGTTGTGGAAGTTAGTTTTTCTACATATTATCACAGCATTTTTATCTCAGAATTTCATCAAATTTTATTAAAAGTTATAGTACTATTTGGAGAATCTTTATTTGAATGTAATATGTCTCGATTTTTGTAATTCTGAATTTAATAATTTGAAGCATTAAAACTTTTTCAGGTGTAATAACGAAAAGTTCACCCCTTCGTCATAAAAGGACAAATTTCAACAATTGTAACAGCAGAGCAATCGCTGGTGTTGCTGTTGCATCTTCGAGAAATGGATGGTTGTCAAATCGATTCTGGGGATGTTTGGAGCCACTATGGAAAATTTTGAGCAAACCAGCATTAGATGCATCAAAAGGTAGTGCCAATTTTATTATTCCACTTTCCGCCTTTTGTAAAGTGGAATAAATGCATTTAGATAAGTTGAATTGAGTTACTTAAGAATGATTTCTCTATATAATTATTAATTAATGGATTTAGAATAGTAGAAGATGTTATATCGCAAAATTTGGTTAATGGTTTCAAGACAGAAGGGTGAATGTTCAAATTTTGAAAATATTTTATTTGAAAAAATCGCAAAAAATCGATACTTTTTAAGTTGGTTTATTAACCAAAGTTTGAAGCGATATTCACGAAAGTATTCACTAAAAAGTTGGAGGAAATAAAAAATCGAAATTATGCTTTCTTCATTTTCTCAAAACTAATCTTTAAGTTTTTCTACCATTTGGGACGAAACCCTCAAAATTGGCTTAACTCAGTGACATTTTTTTCCTTGTGTTGTAAAATTAGGATTTAAGTCCTGCAAATCTAAGTTGGTCAATGCATCATGTTCGCTAAGCAATACTATTAATATATAGAAATTTCCCTTAATTCTGATTTCTAACTTTTTTTCAGATACTTGGGAAATTCCATTTGAAAGTATTGAGGATTTAGAGTGGGTTGGAAGTGGGGCACAAGGGGCTGTTTTTCATGGGAAATATAACAACAAAAGTGTCGCAGTTAAGAAAGTCAAACATTTGGAAGAAACTTCAAAAATTGCAGAATTTCGCAAATTCAAACACGAAAATGTTGTTTCGTTCATGTGAGTTTTTTTTATCTGTGATGTTTATTAATAAAGGGTCATATTTTGTCTGCGTGAAATTTTTTGCCCTAATTATCATTTATATTTGACGTGTTCAAACAAATTTCACTGTTATAAAAAAGCGTGAAAATTGCCTTTGGACACACTTCAAACAATCGCAATTTACAAATTAATCCTTTTATCACTTCCAAGTGAAATTTATAATGATTCTGTCATTGTAAGGTTGTAAGACAATTTTTGCAGTTATTTGCTTAATAATTAGGATCTGTCATATCACCTTACCTACAGAAATATCTGAGATCACAACCCGCACATTGACAATGCTTTTGGAATTCAACTGCTGTAGTAGTGTTATGAACGTCTCATTGTTGAACCGAATTGTTTCAAACTTGCTTATTTTTTTACAGTGGAATCTGTAGCCAGCCGCCATGCTATTGTATCATAATGGAATATTGTACGCAAGGACAACTTTACGAGGTATTGAGAAGTCAACGTCAAATTCCACCGACTCTCATGCTGGATTGGTCAACTCATATTGCATGTGGCATGTCATATCTTCATCTTCATAAAGTCATTCACAGAGATTTGAAATCACCAAAGTACATTATGATATTGTTTTTCGTCTTTATTGAATTTCACCCAGCATGTTACAGTATAATGCATGCTTGATGTCTGCCATTTGGTGCCATTTGGTTTGAGATGAGAGATAGGACAAAAATGTCCAAAAGAGATCTGAATCGAATCATGATTCCAAATATTTCAATATGGTCAAATTATTATTTTAATCCTGGTTTATAAATTTATAATACTTTTATTTAAAATTTAGAATTTGAATCCACAAAATGGCATTGAATAATCCACAGGTGTGCACCCTTTATTACATAAGGGCCAGATCCAAATACCTCGGTATAGACTTCCTAGGGATTGCATGCATAAATATTTTGGTTATTGATCTTATGACATGCATTATTCGCCTCACACAAGCTACCAGATTCAAGTAAACTGAAAACTTTTTTTCGCGGGCCTCACACCAATCAAAATTGGCACTTCTCAGTGGGCCGCAGGCTGCACACTTCTGGAATAAGCCGATACGCTTGAGTTAGAAATCATGATAATATGAATCATTATTAATGCTAATCATGATAACTAGTTAATGACAAATTCAGATATTGGAATTACCTATTTTCTTAGCAATTTATCCATTTTTGCAGGAAACTGTTTGTTGTAAACTGTTATTAATATGTGTATTCTATTTTATTATTTTTTCAATGCTATAAAATATTTCAGTATTCTGATCACGGACAAAGATGTTTTGAAAATATCTGATTTTGGAACTTCAAAAAAATGGGAAGACCAAAGTACAAAAATGTCATTTGCTGGTAAGGTAGCTTATTATTTTATTAATTCCTTGCGTTATTACAATAACTAGTACTATGTTTTCTCTCTCTTGCCCTCATGGAGGCTTATCAATATATCACTGTCCGAGTGTCAAAGACATGGCTTTGGATAAACAGATAAATATTCTCTTAATGAATAGAATTGAAACTATAACATATCAGTTCTATGGTAAATGATGTTATACAAAGAGTTCTGGTTTGTCTGAGGAATTCGTTTTGACGGACAATCTTTGCTGCAATAGTAAAAAAGCCCTTTGTTTTATCAATTATGCTAAATGAACCAAGATTATACAGTTTCAAACCCTTATAGTATTCTATCAAAATTTATTATATTTTGATATAAAATGATCTGCTGTTTTATTACCGAAAGTTAGGACGTAAAGTGATATTTCCGAATCCTGTATCCTGATAAATAACTATGGATCAAAAATAAAAACACTCGACATATTTCTCATGACCATTGTTCAGCTCAGGAATATATTTTGACCAATGTTCTTGAAATGTTCTATATTTTACTTCTATTTTTAACTTTATCATCAGTAATGTAGAGAGAGTGGAACATGGCTAGCTTTCATTAAGGTAATATGCGTGCAGAAAATTTTTTATATCCCGATTATCAAAGTGCCCAATTTCTAACCTTTTTTGGGTTCTTTTCATTTACTACCACACCCTATTGCTGTTCTGTTCATCAAAGGGTATGTTTTTACCAAATTTAGCGAAATAGTTATGTTATTCACTAATCATTTCAGGCACTGTGGCTTGGATGGCTCCAGAAGTTATAAGGAATGAACCAGTTTCTGAGAAAGTTGACTTATGGTAAGTTGCAATAATCAATTACCATAATTAATTCAAGGGCTTTATCTTATACCAAGTTATATGAAATATATTTGCCCTTTAATGGCGATTAGGACCATATAGCCCAGTGGTTCCCAACCGCCGGTCCGCGGACCGGTGCCGGTCTGCGAAGCTTTTTTGGCGGTCCGCGAGAAATTTCGTTGTTTTGTTGTTTTTATGCCGTCTCAATCGCTTTACCGTAGACAAAGTTGCATTGACTTATTACGCAATTCTCTTCCTCCGTCATATTGCGACGTCTTCCGTGACATGTTAGCGCCGATCATTCACACTTTTCGCTTTTTCGGCTCTGATTCATCGCGAATGCGCTCCATCAAATCTCGCAAAATTAGGAAGCCTAAAAACGGCACGCGTGATTTTCCTGATTAATAAGACCATCCATATAAAACGTAATGCATATCTCCTTGTTTAAACCAGAAAACAGACAAGAACAGTATAATATTTCAGAAGATATGAACTTGTTGCGACCGCACAGGTGGCCAAGACGCGCAAAAAAGCATGGGCCACAGAGATCTTTTTCAGACACAGTAGGATTTTGAGCCTGTTGCCAAGTTATCGACCACTTTGGCATTGTAATGCAAATTCATTTCGTTTGAGGCGTCGATCAACTGCAGAGGGATTAATATGATAGACCCAATGAAAAAGAAAAGGCTTGATTAAAATGGCGATTCTAATTTACAGTCCAGATTAATAAAGAATTACTTATCACAATTTTAGATGATAACAAATACCCATCGCCAAGTAATCGAGCAATCAAACTGTTGTCCGTCTTTTCAGCCAGTTACTGCGTTATGCGAAAAAACATTTTCATCACTAGATTCAATTAAAACGAAACAAAGAAATCGGCTGCACGCGGCTGCAGAGCTACGTGTTGCAAAAAAACTTCTTTGAGGCCTCGTTTGCAATATTATATTGGAAACAAAACAACAGCAAAATTCTCACCGGAGTTCATTGTGCATGTTTTTAATGAGTGCCCAGCACTGCATTTCATTACGCAAATTATTTTATGCTTCACCCATTTTTAATTTTTGGTCGGCACATTACTTGATAGTTTTTCTCCGTGAGAAATGTTTTTAGGTGTGCTTTTTTCGTCTAGAAGCAAATATATGTTATTCTTTTCTGTTCTAGCCATTTCAATTTTTTGCCGGTCCGCGAGTACATTTAATCTAATCTTACCGGTCCGCCAGGGTAGAAAGGTTGGGAACCGCTGATATAGCCATACACATTCCTAACTAGTTCTAAAGTTGATTTCTTTTCTATTGAATAGCTGTTTTTCTGATCGTATTAATATGCACGAAAGATGTACCAATATCACTTTTTTCGCCAATACTGATCCGATCCCAACAAAAAACGCTTGAGTGTCAACTTGAAATACAGATACCGGTATCTTAGACTTGAGAAATCGATGTTTGTTATTTGGAGTGCATGTGACCTTGCTTTGAGCAAATTTCCTTAAAAATGGAAATATTTTTGTTCCTTCGCATTGAATGTTCTATATTTCACAACATGCAAATTAAAACAAAATATTTCAGGTCATACGGGGTCATTTTATGGGAATTACTGACTGGTGAAATACCATATCTGGATGTTGATTCTTCAGCAATCATATGGGGAGTAGGCAGTGATTCAATGAGTCTACCAGTTCCTACCACGTGCCCAGAAGGTTTCAAACTTCTTCTACGACAATGCTGGTAAGTGGGAGGTTACTATTGTCATTGAAATTTTTGTCCTATTTCACTAAGTACGGTAATATCTTTGCTAAAAACCAATTTCATTGTACGCTGCTAATAGAATTATTCTTCTGTTTTCTGAAATATTTGTGTTCGATTTGGTAGGCTATTCTGTTATTATGGATATCCAAGATTATGCCTGTGATAAATATTCACATGCCCAATATTATTTGGTAACCTGATGAGAGGCCGGGTTTGTCATTTGGCCATCTTGTCACCCTTCCTCTCCCACACGATGAATATGAAAATTCCGATCCTATTCGTTAGCTTTGCTTATTAGCTATTTTTCAGTTATCATATTTATAATTATATTTTTCAATTTCTAATTTTATATAAAGCATTTATTGATAAATATACTCCAGGAGTTCCAAATCTCAGAACAGACCATCTTTCAACCAAGTTCTAAGACATCTTGAAATCGCTGCTGCTGATCTACTTGCTTCTCCTCAACAATCGTTTTTTGCGTCTCAGGTACGATTCATGCCAGTCTTTTTACATCTATTTAGTCAGGGATGGTCAAAATTGGATAATAATCTATTTGTTTCGAATGCATTTTATAATAATATTTTTGAGAATGAAATATATAATTCAGTGTTTCCAATCCTATGGGTCGTGACCCAAAACTGGGTCGCTTGAAAATCTTGTCAGGTCACCTGTTTTTCCGACAAAAATATTTTCTAGTAAACAGTAAATTTTATTGTATTGTTTATTTTATATTTGGTATTGTAGTGTTGCTCAATCGTAATATTATATATGGGAAATGCCACAACGTAAATTCTTGACAGCATTTATTTTGGCTTAAATAAATAAACCCATGTCATAAATTTCAAAAACTTGCTGATGGCTAATAAGCGCAGCTTTCTCACTAGTGCACCTTTGAATTAATTACCGTTGAAATCAATATTTGATAGTATTTGTGGTTGCAAGATTTCACAAAATTTGTTTTATAAAAAAATTGGTTCGCTTGACAAACGATTGGGAACCACTGATATAATTTATTCTAAATTGGGGCATGTTGGAAAGGCTCGAATAGAGGTCAATGTATATAAAATGAGTTGGAATGCAGAAATGTTAAGATAATCTTTCAGATTTTGAAGGGAGGCGTTTTTGTTTATACTTCTCAAAATGATCATTTTTCAAATGAAACTTTTCTAATTCCTACTTCATATCAGATTTTTGAAATATCGCAGATGGGTTAATTTTAAATCGATTCAAGTATTTGATTTGTTTCGGATGTGAACTACTAGTAATATTTTCTATTTTTATGTAACACAGGTATCATGGAGAGAAGAAATTGCTTTGTATTTCAAAAAAATTCAGTGCGAGGGAACTCAGATCCATAAACTGAACGATGAGCTTATTAAACGGAGACAGGAAGAGTTACAGTACGTTGTAAATCGTAATATATTTTCTTAGGTTTTAATTGCAAAGAACAGTTTTTATCAATAAACTCACTCTAGAAATTCTGAAATTTCTAATTGTCAAGTTAGATCGTAACAACTAGTAGGTCCAGCATGAGGCCGAAAAACGATGGTTCTCAAGATCCTTGAGGTTCTAAAAAGCGTTTCAACTTTCAAGCTATGTAAAATTTGCATATGCACTGCACTCACTCAGAAACAGAGGACACTCATCGTGGAGAGAAGTTGCGTGGCAGCTACTGAACTACCAAGATATGTAGAGACTATAAAGAATCCTTGTGTATTAGTGAATATCATTGACTAGAGACTTAAATCATATAAATACGATCAGGAAAAAATCTTTGAGGTGGTTTATTCAAAATTATAGCATTGTGTGTGGAATCGGGATGAAAAGATATTCTCGAGTAAAATAGCGAATTTTATTAAAACATTTCAATTTCATGAATTGGTAAATTTAAGTTACTGTTGATTTCAGATTTAATATTTTCTAATAAAATTTTTTTTGTTTCAGACATGCTCAAGATATCCGGGAGCATTACGAACAGAAATTGGAACATGCCAATAATTTATATCTTGAATTGAGTTCTTGCTTGCTGCAATTGGAACAAAGAGAAAAACAATTGTCTAGGTGAGAAGTAGCAATAACCTTATTATTGGACACAAAGTGGATAATCTATGCTAAATCTCGTTGTTGTAAAAAATTTCTATTCATTGCAAATAATGGACCACTTTATTTTTAATTTTTATTACTAAATGATGTTTGAAGCCGCAAGAAGGCATATTACTTTTTTCTTTTTTTTTTCAAATTTTTTTTTTGAGTCCTATGGAACCAAAAATGCTGCCCTTTCATTGAAGGGAACATTAATTGAAGGGAACACTTTTTATGAAATATGGGAACACTTTATTTTATCACACTTGTAATTGCATCCACTTATCTTTCCAAAAAACTTGGTATTCATTCAAAAACTTACTATACTGGACTACTGGTACCAAATTGCGACATTCATGTCTATATAACTATGTCTTCCTCTTTTAATTAGTTAGATATATATAGATATTGAAATTAATTTTTATCGGCCAGAAATTGCAATATTACCAGAAATGTATCTTCTACATAGTATTATTAATTTATTCTTTGTCGTTTTGCTATTTCATAAAGTATTTGTGTTTATTTACTATAGTTGCCATGTTTTGACGTCATTTGCAAGTCTTTCTCACATCGCTCCATTTACTATCTGCATCAAGTTGATTAATTATTTACAACTTTTAAAATTTCTTATGAGACAAAGACACTAAAATATATCATATTATTAAGCATGGCACACTGGAAAATACCTTCAAAATATATAGATTATATTTGACACATGCTTGTTTTTTCTTCATGTTGAGTACTATTAGAAATATGAGAATTGTGCCCTTGGGACTTTTCGGTCATGTTTTCATATGCGTAATATCACCTATTGTTTGGAAATACCATTTTCATGATTCACAAAACTACAATAAACTCGGAATTGAAAAGGTACATGCAAAACAATATTTTGCTGCTGCAATTTCTTTTAATTCACTTTGTTATGGATAATTTGGATAGTAATTACTGAGTAGAATGGAATTTTTTTTATAATTGAATGAATAGTGGTCCTATGAGTCATTTTGGAAAATGTTTTGGGTTTAAAATTGCCCTTTTATCTACTATTAGACAAAAAATTGGAAATTATTAGTAATCAATAAATAGAAGTTTCTCCTAGAGGGCAAATACTTTTAATTTCTTATGGGCAAATTGTGGATATTAGGGCGCTTGAATATTCTTAATTTTTGAAAATCTCCATACTTGCATGTAGAAGATATGTGTCTGATATCATTACAAATTCTTCTATTGTTCATAGCATTTTCTGTTCAAGAGTTTCACTATGTTAAAATAGTATGAACAGATTTTTTTTATATTTCTTCCAGGCATGAAGACATGCTTTATCACAATGTAGATGGTAGATCATCACTACCCAGTGTACATAGTGGAAATCTAGGAAAACTTCTCAATGAACACTTGGGAAAATTGCAACCTGTCGCTCGAGAGTAAGATACAGTTGAATAACTTACATCTTATTATATTTCTATTTGGAGTCGAAGAATTTTCTAATATTTTTTTATTTGATATAGAGTTCAAACAGTTTGGCATGTTTTATTACGCATTTGACATGACATCCCAAATACAGACTTGCACTAACAGTAATCATCCATCTCTGTTGTTATGTCAAATATTTATTAAATGTTACCATGAATCAGGGGTGGGCAACAGGCAGCCGTGGGCCTCAACCCGGCCCGCCAAGTCATTTAGCATGGCCCTTGCCAACTCTCAAATTTTTGTTTCATGGGGTAAAAATACATACCCAATGTTTTTTGCTCTTATCGCTGCTTTAAATCTTTCACCGTTTTGCCCGTGGCCTTTATTACTGCATGGCTAAACTGACAAACAGACGAAAAATATTGCATCCCCCTTTCCCAAATCATTCAATCCTACCTAATTCACTAACCTACATGCTACATTAATTCAATTTTCTGACTATTCACAATTCACAATTTTCTCCTAATGTAAATTTCAGAGAAAAAACTGTCAAACATTTTGACATGGACATGAAAAATTCACCGTCAACTTCACAGGTGGTATCGAATGGTCGACGTTCACATAAAAGGCAAGGGAGCCGTGGTAGCACTACAAGAATACTTGCTGGTATGCCATTGCTTTATTCGTTGGAAATTTGATAAATTTATCCAAAATCTGGAAATTTCAGGATGCGAAAAAATTCAAAATGACTATATCAGATGAACAGCATTACAGTTTTTTGTGAAATTTGCCTCTTTTATAAAATAACATACTTTCTAATGTTGCTCCTAGTTAGGGTTCTCTAGACCAGGGATTCTTAACCATTATTCTTTCCCTGTACAAGTTTTCACAGTGATATTTGCTCCCAAAGCTTCATCTCCCAAAGTATCTATAGCTAAATCATGGGGCATGGGAAAATGAATTTTGGAATATAAATGTCTAAATTTGATTTTGTTTGGTTCTCATATCTCTAGTCTAGTTGAAGTACTTGTTAAAGCTAAAACTGAATTTCTTGCTTGCAAAATATATCCCAGTGGCAGGTTGAATTTCACAGCTTCCAGGGTCTATATATCTGCTCTATGTCGGTTGGCTATATAACCAACTTCAGACATCTAGATGAGACATACAAAAATGTGGAATAGGGCTTTTATATATCTTTTTATAATTCTTTTAGAATTGAGAAGGGCAGATAGGATGAAAGGCATCAGTAACAACAACAATAAAAAAGAAACTGTTATTTTATCAAGTTATGATCTTGCTCATCCATCTATAGTAAGTTATGAATGTTAACACTCAATTTTACACCATCCTCTAATATACATAATTGTATGAAGTTATACTGAATATTTGAAAGCATATTTTTACATCCGATGTTGTTATGCTAAGCCAAGAAAGCCTGAGTGCAATGGAGGTATGGATCCTTTTGTAAAATTGAAGTTGTGACAAAAATCACCTCTCTGAAATTAATTGATGGATCAATCAATTTCAAATTTAGTATTTAAAGATGGACCCTTTTACTAGAAGGCCATTGTACTCTGATTCCATTTCTGCTGTTTGTAGTACTCTCAAGTTCTGCTTTTAATAAATTGGTATGGGCTGTTTCAAATGGATTGATTTTATATTAAAACTCCTAATTCACCACAAAATTGACGAAGAAATTCGATAAAAATGAAATTTTTTAAATTTTTTTATTTTATTTTCAAATCAAATTAGTTTTTACTATCGACATCTTGTTTGTAAATGAAAAATTTAATTCTTCAGGTTTCTATACAACGAGACAATACTTCCCCATCAGCTTTATGTATTGGCTGTGACGGCAGAAACTCATTGACATCAGAATGTATTGAAAGATCGGTAAAATCATCCCCTCGTTCGAGTATGGGTAAATCGTCAAAAATATGTAACAGCAGCACATTTCCCACTCAACAAACTCATCGGAAATACTCAAGTGATACTTCAGACTCCTCCGATCCTCAAAGTTTTCGAAGAAGTCGAAGTTGTCGTTTTCCGAGAAATCGAAGATGCAATTCGATCTCGTATCAAGGTTCACCACGATCTCGCTCCGTACAATTTGAAGTTCGATGTCAGACGTCCCAATCGTTGTGTAGTTTGTCTCAGGCAAGACGTTCCTCAGATAATTTCAGATGTCTGTCAAAACTGTCGGAAAAACATTCGAACAGTCTAAACGAAGTGTGTGATCATAGTGAAAATAGTGGTATGAACAATGGTCACGAGCATAATATTCTACAAAGAAATGTTGGAAGTTGTAGCGTTCCTTCTAAATTATCACTACAATCAGGTTAGCACAATCAGAAAATTTTGTTATTAGACGGGGGTGGAACTTTGTTCTAAAATAGGATAGGACTTTTCAATTAATTAATATACCAATCATTCTCAAGTCTCAACTTCCTAGTACTCATAGATATTCGAATTCACTGGAAGTTTATTACATAGGAATCCAATATTTCACCAAAATTTTTCTGTTTCATTTTAATCAAAGAGTGACACTTTATACCCCACGCTTGTCTGCTAAACTCATACACAAAGTCCGTATCAGTACCAATGCTCAACCTTGATGTCTGTATTTTTGAGCATTTTCTCTTGCTTCGTTATGGTATGTTTTAGTTATGAATTTTTTAAATAGGGGGAGGTAAAAAAAACAGATATCAAATATGTCGATCGGACCATTTAATATAGACATTTCTGGGTGTCACATGGTTTTTGTATGTTTTGATTTTTTATTTTCAGTGCCACCATCTATGACTTTAACCAAACTGAAAGCCATTGTTCCACTTCAAGACGAAAGGTATGTAGTCAGGGATGTTCTAAGTTAGTGTTTTTATTAACCTGGATTCCATCGAACCCATGGGGTTGTACAGTGATTTTTCATACCCTCCTTCGCCCTGGGAACGCCACTGGTTAAAATACATGTCCTATACAAATTCATATTTAATCGATTGAAGACAGTTGCATTTTATATATAACCTTGCAGAAAATACGCTCGCTTTATATAAAGTTCAAGTTTTGTCTGTTCAAGGCGATGGGGCTCAACGAAAGCCTGTAGAACAGTGGTCAGCAACCTACGGCCTGCGGAGTAATATAATCCGGCCCGCGACGCTTCACTGAATTATAGTAACAAAACAGCTGTTATGACGATTATATTCTTTACGTAACAGAATTTATTGCGAGACGCATGTGGACTCAAATTATATTATAATCTAACGAGTATAAAATTCACAATTACTCGTTTAGTTAGCCAATAATTCAATTATAATTAGACAAATGGCAACAAAACGCAGAAAAGTTGATGCTAAGTGCAAAGGGTTCAATGGTGCCGAAAATATTCAAATGGAATTTTTGAGATTCAATGCATTGTATCACTGCTTGATTTTTATTATAAAAAGTATCATCCGTTCGGTTTTCAACTTTCTAAAAATATGTGCGACCGCCAATGACTTGCAACCCTTGTTTTGGCCCGCGGGCGACAAAAGGTTGCCGACCCCTGCTGTAGAATGACTTTAAGAACTACTGTCCTAAGTTAAAAAAAAGTTTTCAAACACATTTAAAATTTGTTTTATTCAATAAATTCTATATTTTTGGGATATTTTCATTGAAAAAAGTGATTCTCAATTTTTTGTTATATCCTTCATTTTGATATATTAATTTTTACAAAATATCTTTTTATCAGCGGAAGAGATTATTCTGATGCTTATTCATCAAATGAAAATAATACAAGTGACAGATCAGATTCCCCGGAAACAAAGAGAATACAAATGTAGCGTAACAAGGTATAGTGTTATCAGTTTGCCTTTGATCTTGGAATTCACATTTGAAACCTGGATTCACAGAAGACATAACTTGGTAACATATTATTTTTCTGAAGACAAAATTATCATTGAGCATTGATGTGGTATTTACCTGAAAATCATGTACCCATTAATTTAACTTTGGTTTTACTATATAGCAGGGGTGTGCACTGTGCAGTCTTTAATACAAAAGTGCCCTGTGTGAAACCGCGGGCCACACTTTTATTCACCATATGATTTCTAGTAGTGGCCGATATAAAAATTTTGATTATCGATCTTATGATGTGCGTTGTCCCCCTCGTACAAGCTAGCTGTTAGGAAATTGTAACATCTAAGACAAAGGGATTGGAATTACTCGCACATACCAGATTAAACTGAATTGAAAACTTGTTTTGCTGGCCGCACACCATTTAAAATTGGCACCTCCTCGCAGGCTGCACGATTTGTTCTTGTGGCCGCATTTGGCCTGCGGGCCGCAGGTTGCACACCCCTGTTTTATAGTATTCTCACACTAACTATGTTTTTATATTTTATATCTGTTTTATCATTGAATGCCATAAAAAATAACATCTTTTAAGCACACTTCTTCAAAGCAATTGGTTATGTCAGTTGTTCTCAAACTTTCATGGTCTGTGGCCCACTTTCAAAGACTCAACACATGTGGCCCCTTACAATAAAAACCTAGTTTTGATTTTAACACATTTCCATCAGTTATTTTATGTACCATATTTAATAATAAAAATCAATTTACCACATCGTGTCTTTGTTTGTTGCCCCAAGTGTACCATCCTGGGGCCCCCAGGGGTTCCAAGGGCCCAGTTTAAGCAACCCGAATTTATGTGATAGTTTTTGCTCGGAATGGCTACTCCTTCATCTATAGGCTCATTTGTTCTCTCACATTGTGATTTTTATAGTGTTTTTCAATAATTATTTTTGAAATATTATAAAGAGATAATAATGAGGTGTGTAGTTTTTATCGATGTTATCATTTTATCAATGATTTTGTTCAATATTATTTTTGATTCCACTGCCTATCATTTATTAGTTTGTGAAATAATTTTTATTATAACTATTTGTGAATAGTTCTAATTTTCATTGTAACTTTTTGGTATTTTTTGAAGTATTTTATGATACATGATCGTTATTAATTATTATAATTACCTTTGAAATTTAATATCGTATTGACATGCTTTGAATCTCACATCAATTGGTATTTGCTAATGTGCAATTCTGCACTAAAATGATATGTAGACTCAGGGGCTCATGGCATTAAATCAGGGGTGTGCGCTGTGCAACATTTTTTATCGGTTGGCCTTATAACCAACTTCAGACATCTAGCCGGGCCACATAAAAAATTTAGTTTTTCCCTGCCAGGAAGGCAAGAGAAACGAATGCGAATATTGATTAGTCTTGCAGTGATTAATGCATCGAGCAAAACAGCGAAGGATTTATCTCAGCGACACGAGAAAAAAAACATTGCATATTTTTTACCCATGTGGGCGACTTTTTAAACATAAAGTGTCAGATTATAATTTTGTGCTTGATGAAGAAAAATCGGAGTGTTGACATGGGCCACAGTAAATGGTGTGGCCCGCAGGCCGCCTGTTGCACACCCCCACACTTGGGTGTGATATCAATCTCATATATTTCCGGAGTGTGTGCATGTGATATTGCTTTGAGAAAATTTCTAAAAAAATACGCCAATTCTACAAAGTCGGAATACTAATTCTCAAGGATTTTGCTGAATAGTGGTATAATATACATAAATTGTTTACTTTCAAATTTCACTTCATTGTGTATTTATAAATGATATTACTGTTGTTGCACTAAGCGATATGTTTGTTTTTTTGAATGCTTCAAGATTTTCCAGATATAGTGTTTGAATCGGTACGCAATTGGTTATAAAAAGCATTTGATATACATATAATCTATACTTTTAAACATAAGCTTTCTCAGATAAAAGTTTCCTAAAAGTTGCGTTAGGTTCAAATACCAATATTCAAAAAGCCATTGTATGACAATTAACGAGAGACTCCAATAACTTATAATTGAACTGACATGAAAAGATGTCATGAATTTAAAAAAAATATTAGTACAGCATATTTGTTGACAGATCGAGTTAGGAATAACTGGTTAAGAAACTCAGGCAATCAGTTTATGCTGTATTATCTGTAATAGAAGTAAAGCCATATTTCCTAAAGAAAATCTTTTCATCCATACCTGGCAGGGTTTCAGAGAATCTTTATTTGTATTATAATGCTCTATTTCAGGTAATACTTATCCATGTAAAATTTTCAGGATTGTCATGTATTGATTTCTGTACCTTGCTATTCTGTTCTATAGTTCTTTGCATATTTTGCTTAATCGTACTTGATTTTTGTGTTCGTAATTAAGAAATCATCTTGCGATCTGCCTCATTCTTATTCGAGTATTATTCTTCGCTGACATTGATTGAAGTTTATCAATTTTCAGCAATACTTCAATCCGGGTTATTTTTAAATTGTACTGATGTATTTTTAGATGAATTTATCCCTCCTGTCAGCACTCAGTTTCATTGTGAATTTGAAGTTATTCATTGTGATTAGTATTATCACTGTCTTCTTAAATTCTTACTGTTTATTTCAACAGTATTTTTCTGCTTTTTTATCCTTATATTTTAGGTGTTGGAAATTGTAATCTCTGTGATTGGTGAATTCATAAATTTTGAAATAATGTTTAGATCAGCACTCTTACCCAGTTGCTAAGTATACCGTAGTTGCTTGCTGGCGATAGTTATTGAGAAATAAAGAATAAGAGACATTGACAGTAAATGGTCAACTACTGGGACTAGTTATTACAGAAAAAATCCTTTGATCTTCAACAGATAAAATTCCCTGGGTAAATTTAACTCTCATGCTGTACTTCATCTGTTATGGTGCACATTTAGTAAATGGAAAGCATATGTATTAAAAGTGCCATGGATTTGTAGACAATATATTCTGATTGGGAATTGACAAAATTTACAGTGTTACAAAAGCAAAAATCGAAAACAATAAGCCATGTGCCAAAACTAAATTTAATCGTAATCTCAACAAATTCCTCGAGATATTTTTTAGCTAAAACATCAAACTTTGGTTTTAGTTTGGTTGTGGCAGCATCAGGCGGCTGGATTGATTAACCCAATGGGCCTGATTTGGCTCGGGGGCTGTACTTTGCCCATGTCAGCTCTAAGTATGTTCAAATGACCTTGGTACTGTTGTGGGGTCGTCCTTTATTTACCCATACTTGTACTACATTTGGATTAGAACTGGGTAGCTACCCTTATCAACAGTAATTAGTAACAGGGCAGAGAGCCATAGTAGGATGTCCCAATACCTGTACACTTTTGATTAATCATGATATGCTTGATCTGTGCTTTTAGTACCCTGCTGCTTATATGTGCATATTCGAGGTAAATATTTTACAGATGGGGCAGATTCTAATTTAATAATATTTTCATATGAAAAGAAATTTGCTTTTTTGATTATAAATCTTTTTGTTTTCTTTTATTATTATTATTTTTGTCATTGTGAACTATCATTGTTTAATTGATCTTGAAAGTTTAATAAAAAAACATGTGAATCACACACTTCGTAAAAACATCAGGTACAGGTAAATTTTAGTAAGCTATGCGGAATAGAAAAAATATATGTTGGCATATGTACAATTATTTTCGATGCAATAATAGGACAATGCTTAATGATTCATTGACCGGTGCCATATCACAATATGTAGGCATTTTTTTTTCTTTTTGATTATATTGATTTATGTTGTCTTTTTTAAAATGTGCATATCCATTCAAAACAGCATATTATCTGTCTTTTTTCTATACAAAGTATTCATATGTTTCACTCTGAACAAGAATCTGCACAAACAGTATTGCTAGATAAGGAGCTACTAAAGTTTGGAGGAATTCTGAATCTTTCCGGTTCTGCATTGCCAACAAAAATCCCACCCCCCTCTCCCGGGTGAGGTGGTGGGGATAAGATTTAAAACCGAATTTTTACCCTTCGAAGTGTAATGCTTTAATCACTAGGCTACAGAGGCGGCTTCTGAACTCAAGATTGGTGTCATTTGCTGTCTTTCTCATCATTAATAGTAGAAAGAATCATCAATTTTTTCTTCTGTTTTATTGCACAATGTTTCTCACACGATAGTAGTAAATATCTTAATCTCATTGGGCATCGGTCGGCGTACTTTATGTACATTTGGGCCAAATATACACATTTCTGGTAGCGTGCGAGACTGCGAGGGCATTAATGGCCTGGCACAATGTGTATGTGGTCGTTTCTTATTTATTGTCATACACAATACACTGTTTTTATCCGCTTCATCATCAACATGATAGATGATGTTGTTTTTGTGTGATGGACAAAAGTTAAAATTAACTGGAAACTTCGTTGATGATATATGCAGTACTTCGTTGAAATAACGATCTTAAAAGCCAGTACAAAGTTTAATATTAGCGTAATTCATTTTGGATGAAGCTGCTCACAACAATATGAGTTTCGAACGTACACATAAAAATGAGAAAAGTTGGAATTGATGAGTTGAGCTTCCCGAAGACATAACTTCATGACATAACATAAATTCATGAAGGCAGTAATATTTTCATATATCCAAATATTTAATAAATTTCCCCTCCTTGCAGTTATAAGTTAAGCTTGTTCATATGAGCGCCACCTACAATATATCATCCAACTTTATTAACGTTCTTTTTATGATATAAATTTGACAACCTGAATAGATAATTTATATCTGATGTCTTCGGCCCAGATTTGGTATTGCTATAGTACTTTAATTTCTGTGGTATACTTGGCCATGCTTGTTTAAAAAGAGATTGATCTCAACCATAAGCTATTTTTTCTCTTCACCATTATAATTGTAAATCTGCCTCCAGGCTATATTGTGGTATCAGTCCTTTCCGAATTTATGATAATAAGACTCAGTTACCAGTAAATGTATCCATTCTAATTTGAAATAATTTTATAGTTTACAGTCAGTCATTTAGAACTTAATATATCATACAGATTAACTTGGGTTTCATTATATAGTTCATAGGATTTAATATTGTTTAGTTCCAACAGTCTGGTAAAAGTCATTAGTTGGTCTGGTCATGTCTGAAGATGAAATGAGAAATATTGACATATAGCATTCAATAATACTGTCAATGTAATTATTAAATTATCAAAATTATTCAGATAATGAATAGCATCATGTGTTTTATATTGGGCAGCTAGCTTTAGTTACAATATATATTGTATTTTAACTTTGATGAAGCTTACTGGTATTTGTCTCGCTAGGATGGGAACAACTCTCAGTAGACTAGGTCTGACTTTTTAACAGTGTTTTAGATTTGTATATTCATGTTTTGAGTCGCTGAAACCATGTTTCAGGAGAAGTTTTTATTGGAGTATTGTTACCATGATGATAAAAATGACAATCAATGCACACACAAGTAGGAAATTGAGGAATTGCTCTAAAAACTTTAAATGAGGTTTAAAAACGTGAGACATAAAAAGGCAATCTCATATTGCGACATAGTTGCTCTAAAATCTTTGATTGAGTTTAAAAAAGTGAGACATAAAAAAGGCAATCCCATATTGTGACATAGGTTATAAATTCAAAAATAAAACAGATTATTCTATAAGTATCGTATTTATACTGGTAACTTTGTTACAGAGACTTCTGAGAAAATGCTAAAGCTCTCTATTGCTGTTTTGTGTTGAAAATTTATATTAATTTCACTATTTTGTCTTTGTGTTAGCTGCTACGTTTACCAGTACAATATGAAAAAGCGTAAATTCGTCACAAGGAGATGTACGATCAAAATACAAATTTTATTTGCAACAATTTTTATATTTTCTATTATTCATTTCCAGTATGTAAGTATCATTGTTATATTTGAGTAACAAGTATTTAACACTAGCTCATTTCATGACTGCCGCGGTTTTAGAATTTGTTGTGTTATAGGATACATGACAGAAAGCCAATTAAAAATATAGTGATACGTTTCTTAGATATATCTTTATTTTTTATTACCACAAAGTCGAAGTAGAAATTTCAAATTCTTCGGATTTAGGATTAAAGACTTCTAATAATGATAATCAAAGTCTAAATTTCTGATGGAAATTGAAAAGTTTTAATTACCGGTACCCATAATACAATTGAAGAAGTCTTGCAATGCCAGGTTTGTTTTTTCGATGTGATATTTTTAGCAACTTGGAGACTAACTTTATTGTCTCCTGCTTTCAAATTTTATTATAATAATCACTTTTTATTATTTTTTGCACCATGAATGAAGATGAGCACAATTGATCATGAAAATCTAGAAAAATTGTATACAATTCCTGACAATTTGATGATGAAACATTCTTCAAAAGGAGATAAAAGAAATAAAATGATTCAAACAAATAATAGAAAATTTGATAGCGGAACTACTCTGCAAAATCCTGAAGGTACAATTACAAATAATATTTTGTGTGTAGACTCAATTACGAAAAAGGCAAGAGGCATACATTATGGCTACTTGGGAAATAATTGGCTACAGCTTCGAACCCAACCATTTTGACCACAAGAATAAAATAATTTGATTTTTTATGTGGATTCCTACCATTATACCTGACTTTTACCAAGAGAAAAGAACAGACAAGTGTTTAGTGTTTTCTTCGTTACGGTTAATTAGAATTTTAATGAAATTGATTTTTTAACCCAGGGGTCAAATTATCTGTTATTTTTTTCTCTAAAATATGTCTTATCTTGTTCTTGATACATAAATCAACATTAACATGATGTGTTAGAGTCAGACGCGACCCGCGTCGCTGGTTAAAATCTTGTGTTCACATCCCACGTCTGCCACCTCACCCAGGGTTTAGTAAATTAGGTAGGCAATGCTGAGATTGTGGTCCTTCCGAACTCTGGTAACTTTCTAGCTAAGATGTCACATACTAGGTTAGCTAATCGACGAATCTTATTTAAATTAAAAAATATATGATGAATTTATAAATATGTTTGTGGCTTATGGCACCTCTTTAGTTGATGTGGGCCTTTAGCAGTTTCATCGTTCAAAGTATTTCATACTTTTATCTTAAGCAGATCTGAATGAAATCTATGATAGAGACGTGGGGTTGTGGAAAACCCATTCAATGCTTATTCATTCAAGGATTATTTCCACTGTGTTGAACAAATAATCTTATTGAATTCGAAATTACTAAAGCTTTTTTCCATATCTTTATTTTAGGAATAGATTGCCAACCTAGACGAGGTGTTGTTTTTTTGAAGACTCATAAAACAGGTATGAGATGAATTTTCTAATTGACAACAGCATTGTGTAAATTTTGAGTCTCCTAATTTACTTTGATATACAGTGACACCTCGGTAGTCCAATGACCTGATACTTGAATAATTTGGTAGTCTAAAAAAAGTCTAGTCAAAAATGCTCCGGTACTCGAACGAAAATTCGATGCTCGAACACACGAGCATGTCGCCAAGTAAGATAATATCACCCGAATCGTGCAAATCGGCTGCCTTTTGACCATTGAACAAAAGAGCGAAGCTCAAATATTTGGACACAAAGGCCAAAACAAAGTAATACCAATATGCAATCTGTCAAAGTAGACTAACGCGAAAGCCAAACTGCCACAAGGTCTGCAATTTAGGAATGCATAGGAATGGATTAAACTAATTACCGTTGTTTGTTATGGAAAAAAGTTTTTGTACTCAAACAAATCAGTCGTCGAACACCAATCATGAACGAATTATGTTCGACTACCGAGGTATCACTTTAGACCAAATTTTTTTAAACATCATAAATTCAATCTTTTCATCTTGCCAGAATGATGAGATTTAAGATACGCCAGAGATTGTTTATGAAGTATTAACCTTCACTGCTATCCAATCTTTTAACTTCTTTACTGCTATTTATAACCACTGTTCAATATTACTCTTCGTTTACCCATCTCTTTTTTGAAAAAATCTTCATTACCAAATATCGATGCAGTGAGGTTATTACTTCTAATATTGCAATCGGTGATTATTACTGAAAAGATCTGACTGGCATTTAAATTCATCACATTTTCTGTTGTGAAATGAACTTGAATTGCATAATTTGAACAATTTGGTTATGTTACTGTATAAAACAAATAAAAAATAGCTTACTCACCAATATTCATATACAAATCTATGGCCAATACAATTGTTTAAAATTTCATGGAATTTGGTTAGAAATAGTTTTTTTTTATAAAGTTGTCATCTTTTCTATGAAAGAACGGTATTTGAAGCAGTATGCTTGATTTTAAGATTCATATGGCGAATATTTGTGCAGTTGTTCAATGCTCTGATGATTTATAGACTTATATTGACCACCTCTGGTGGCCGATATATATCCGTTGACCTAGTGGTTAAAGTTGACTTAGTGACATCTCAGGTAATGGCTTCTTGCACAGAGCCTTGTTTGGAACCAAAGGTGTGAAAATACGTCATATCAAAAATATGCGTGTAGACCTGAATTATTCGCCTAATTGTTTTCAGGAAGCACAACTATGACAAACATATTTCTTCGATTTGCTGAAAAACATAAACTTGCGGTTGGTTTGCCTCCATTAAAAAAATGGGAGCTTGGTGGTTATCCTGGATTTTTCAATAAAAAATTAGTTGATCCACAATTAAAGCAATATGAAATGCTTTGCCATCATTTCAGGTGAGTTTTTTCCTGATATTTATTGGTATATTTTAAGTTTTTCACATGGTATTTCGTAACAGTGTTCCAAGCAAGGCTTTGCAAAAGCAGGCACTGATATGTACAGAATTTTAATGTTTTGAGAAGGTCATTACACATAATAAACCAAAAAATACACATGTATGTATGTGATATAGCTACTTCACAAATATATTCACTTTTATTACATTTAGAATGGACACTGAAGTGGTGTCACAAATAGTACCTGCTGATACCTTGTATATTACCATTCTAAGAGATCCAGCAAATGCGTTTGAATCCGGATTTTCTTTTTTCCGAGATGGTCCTTTTTCAACATGGATGCCAAATTATGAAAATGAAGATGCTTTGGAACAATTTATTGAATCTCCAAAGCATTTTTACAATAAATCAACACCTTGGTATTTTCGAGCGAAAAATTACCAAAGTTTTGATTTAGGTATGATATATGTATTTTTTATGTAGCGTCATATAATTCAACAATCAATTCTTGAAAATAATGGCGCGATGGCTCAGCAGTTGAGGTGTTAAACATGACTGTTCTGACATTGCAGATTACTGAATTTGCTCTGAATTTGAACATAAAATTTGAGATATTTATTGATGCTAACACAGTGAGGTACAACTATTTAAGATCCTCTGCATTTTTGACGATTTACAATCAGGAGGTATAGATGCCTTCAATAAACAATGATCAACATTCATTCATGGTACTTGATACGTTCAACATACGTTTGTTATGTAATAAAATCTAAATTTTGCTCACAAAAGTACGCACACCTTAGTTACTTATTTGTTTAGAATTCACAGTCAACTTAATTAATATTTCTTAGTTGACGTCATAAATTTTAACTTCGCTTATCACCATTAGAAGTTGTATATTCTCCATGTACTCCGAAAAATTTGAAATTTCTTTTTCCGATTATGGCTTAAATAACAATTGAATTTTCTTCACTTCTCACTTCAAATATTTCCATTTTTAGGTTTTGATAATGACAGAGAAGATGAAGATTATATCAAATATGTTCGTTATAAAATGGATGATTTGTTCAATCTCGTTTTAATAACTGAAAAATTTGAAGAATCACTTATTTTACTCAAAGGTGAGTGGAAACAGATTTGAAGAGGAGCAGATGAGTGTGATCAGAGCATTGGCTCTTTGGTTGGCAGTTTCATAGCTTATACTCTGCACTATTTCAAAAATATAAATTATAGTTTTATGTCCTCGTTACCCTCAACTTCATATTCATATTTTGACGCTCCAGAAGTGTATGTACCAATATATGGAGATAACTAATTTTGTTCGCCTACTTTACATCAAGTTGTGTAAAGGAACTGAAACCTATGGGCAAGGGTATATTCGCCTGGCTAACACAGACAGTCCCCGAACTCGTAATAGAACTAAAATAAGAAAAATTGGAATAAAATTATGGCCTACTCGTACTTCAATATTATTACATAGTCCATTAATAACATATGATATAATTTTCAACAGATTCGCTCTGCATGGAAAGTTTGGAAGATATTCTGCATATAAGACTCAAAGTTCGACAAAATAGTATGCGAAGAAAATCTAATGATAAATTGAAAAGACAAATGAGAGAATGGAACAAAATAGATACAATGATTTACGATTATTTCTTGAATCGTTTGAATGAAAAGGTATTTTGTCAGTCTTGTTCAACAAAATGGAATTAATCTGTATTTAGTATTATCAGGTGATCGTTGGTAATTCAGTTTTTAGTTAATACATTTGCTTGATCAACGTGTATTCGACTACTTCAAGTCTCTTTCATTTACCACCAGTCCTGCATGAGATGGATAGACATGTTGCCCCTCTAAAACACACTATGCCTACTTATTTCGTGCGAAGCAGACACAGTTGGGGCGGGAAGATGACACATAAAAAAAATAGTGTAACCGTGAATGAGTTATTATTCCATGTAAAAATATGTCTCTAGTATTTTGCCGCTTTGGCTAAATATATAATATTTTTACTATTTCATATTGAAATTACATGGTAGAAACATCATGTTTGAGTCTGGGGTATTCCCATTGAATAGGATATACATATTTATCCCGAGGGAGAGGAAAGGAGGAAAAAAACAGGCTAACACAAATATTTTAACAGATTCAAGGTTATGGTATACAAAGAATGACCAACGAAGTTGAGCAGTTGAAGAAAATGTTACAAGAAATTGAAGAGAAGTAACTTTAAGCAATTTTGTATATTTTTGTATGATTATAACATAAATTCAATCCAAATATGTCTTAGGTGTTTATATCTTCAACCCGTATTTGCTAAAAAAGAAAATATTTTTTTGGTCGAGGACTAATCAGTTTCGTGACTTGACTAAAATACCCAAGGCATGGAAGCAATTCGGAAGAATAAAATACGGTTTCTCGAAAATGTCATGTTCCACTCGTCTCACTTGTCTGTGTCCCACTTGCTTCACGTGTACTACTTGTTCCAAGGTTGTGGAAATAGGTGAACTACACCTGATTGAATTAAAGTATTGTAATTACCATTTGGAAAAGATCTTTGTTAAATTAAAAATTTGAATGGCGATACATGCATTTAGATATAACGATACCGCTTTTATCGCTTATACCGCTGGCACCAATCTGATAATGAAACGCCAATTTTTTAAAATGCAGATATTGCCGGTATTCCAATACTGAGATTCCGGTAATATTTAATTATCATCTGAATTTTAAGGGATTGACAGGATGAAAAAGTTGTGCAAGTGGGACACGTTAGACAAATGGGACAACAAGGACGAGTGGGGCATATGGGACACAACATTGTCAATTCCGTAACCTCAGTCAACTTTTTATCATTCACAGATGCGTATTGGAATATGATCATGATGATTTAAGAAGTTGGATCAGTAGAATCAGAATAAAAAAGGATTCCGGTGAATTCTGTGACAAATTATCATGGGGAGAGGTAAGATGTGTTCGAGATAGGGGGACCTGTCCTCATTGTAAGGCACAGGGTGACACAAAAACAGAGCCCATGTAATTTGGAAAATATTTCAGAAAGAACATATCTTTTGTGCAAAGCGTCCTAGATAAATTTTGGGTACAATCATACACAAACAGAAGTTCAGGTCTTAAATAATTTTTTTCATTTTCCGAGGGAAAGTGTTACGGTATGTTGTTGACACCCTTGGTTTTTGTCAAAGAACTATAAGAATAAAATTCTAAATTATTGCTCCCACAAAGATATTCCTCAGGAATTCAGGTGGTTTTATTTGTTTCTCTCAAGTTTTTTCCAGCTTTACAATGAATTATGATTTATGTCAAATTTTGCGAAGTAAACTTTTGAAGAATTTCGATGCAATTATTATCTTTTCTCATCGTTTTCACATAGAAATGACGTCTTTATTGGGGATAAAAATTTGATAGTAATCCTTTTTATTTCAAAATTAGGTGAGATTTGGTGATTTCATTCGTACAAATCAACGAAAATATTTGAATATTGTTGTGGAGGAACAAATACCAGCAGACAATATGAGAAGAATGTTAGAAGAAGAACAAAATAAAATTTTAAATGTTTAATTTTTTCACTGTTGCCAGAATTTTTGCAAAAGAACACCAAGGAGATGCGGAAAGTATTCACTCCTCGCTTGCCAATTATCTTCTGTGAATTTTTGTGTTATTCACTGTGTTTTACAATTGCAAATATATTATTTATGTCAATATTTCTTGGAATATCACGCCATCTTAGGTAAACGAAAAGGCAGCCTCACTGTGTCATACGATTAAGCCGTCTTACCATCGCTTTAGCAGTTTCAACGACCGTTTTAGTGATTTAACATATTGTTAAGGAGGTTGAAGTGATTTTTTCAGGCTCTCCCTGGGCTTTGTTAATTATGGACATTACATATTCGTGATGATAGGGGTGCAAGATGTGATAGTATGACCATACCCACATGGTGCGCAGCCAGGATTTTCAAAAAGGGGGGAGGGAGTCTACATCGGACATACTAAACGACCTTTGATCTGAAAACATACTGATTAGAAACCACGTAATGAAAGATGGCATCACTGCACGTTTTGAAATTAGTTGCAAATGTAAAAAAGTGTCTTTTCCGTCTTTCAGCTTGACGTACGAAGCATTGGTTGCGGAGTTAGGAATCGCGCTCAGATTTCGGACAAAAAAAAAATATAATAATATATGACACCGGATTTCAAAATAGACTCAGTATTAACAAGGAAAATTGGCGATTCCGACGAATACAAAATTTCTGGCTCAGGAAAATTGGATTCCAACTAAAAATATATATATAATATGCCAATCACCGACTTCGCAACACGAGACACAGCCGTCATTCCCTTGATTTGATCACATGAGATAATAGTGGTGCCTCAGTGGGTAACAGTGGCGCAGCCAGGGGAAGGGGATTCGGGGTCGCCGTGGATCTATGGACATAAAAATATGAGATGAACTGACGGTTTATATTTAGTTATTATCTTAAGATATGATATAAAATCCCATATAGTACAATTTAATTTATACCAATAAAAATACATATACTAGTAAATCAAAAATACATATTCATCGCCTCGATATCCCCGCGGGACGGATTCTGAAACAGTCGCCGCGTCATTACTCTAAAATACCACGGCCATCCGTGCATATAATAATGTGTGGTGAACTACTCGATTATATATTGTTTTGATCCGTATTTTTGCCATTTTGCGAATTCGACAAATTTGAGCTGTACTTGCAACATTAACTCCGCTCCATCGCAATGCTGCCTTTCAGGTTATTTTAAAGATATACTCGTTTGAGAAATCTATAAGTCTGCTATAAAATCTCATTTTAGTACCATAAAATTGATACAGTATACTTCAGATTATTTATCTTATATAAGCTTGTATATTTTCAACACGATAAGTTCCGCGCACAATTGACTGTTTCGTTTTCAGTGACGGTAAGGTTTCCAACGCCAACCAAACATAATGTGTGAAATTTCGCGATTTACAATGCCTAGAGCAGGAGTCCGCAACTACTTTTTAGCGCGACCCAAAATTTTTTTTTTATTTTCTCGCGACCCAAGCATTTGGTAAACATGTAATTAGTTATCGATTCTAAGACTATTGTCGACACTAACATTTTTCTTACACAAAATTATATGAAACTTATCACATAAAATTGTGAATAATAGCGTTTATTATGACTAATGTAAATTATAAGCTTTGTGTATAATACACAACATATCAAATCGAGATTTAATTTGGGAGACGGCAACTCGAAGATATTTCACTACCTCTAGCCTTGATCTGTAATTGTATTTTATGAAAACGCTGATAGGCGGAAAAAAATGTATTGGTTTTTTAATGAATTTTGGATGCTTTGCTGTAAGATACACGTGAAACCAATCTTTATACATTATTCGCTGGCATTCCGCTTATATGTATGGTTTGAGTGATGTATTTCTATCCGATGAGGGTGAAAAGAGGAGTCTTTTGTCGGGCGTTGATCCCCACTGCTATAAGTGATCCGTACGGAGCCTCAGGGCTCCGCGAGCTATTCGTTCACTTAAAAAACTGACTTGGTTAATTTTGTATCTGTGAAGAAGCATTGTCAATGTTGCCTGTATTTCTGTGCAAGGCAAAACGATGAGGAAATAATCAAATAGTTGCACGCTTGGTCATTTTCAACGAATGTTCTGCCCCATTCTGTTGTATATACGAATTTCTTTTACGTGACTGAGAAGGCTGAAAAGTCAAAAATATAAGGCGAAAATATAAGTCGCTCAGTGAGTGTAATCTCTTCCAAACTATTTTTAAGCCATGAAATGTTTTGTCGTAGCTAGCGTTGCAACTGCCGTTTAGTTCAGCGTATAGTCCCAAAATTCAGCTTATCTTATCTGTGAAGTTGCAAAGGACGCAGTTAGCACGTAATCTTCGGCATCGCTTTTACTATAAAATGTTGGAGAAAAATACTTTATATGGACCATAGCATTATTGCTTATTTCGAATCAGCATCATATCGTCACGAGACTCACGACATGGCCAATTATTAAGGGCATAAAACGGCTTGTTGAAATTTAGAAAACTGTTATCTCCATCAAAAAACCCATCAGTAGCCCAATTAGTAAAACATTTTTAAACTACCAATTAAGGTTATTATTTACTATTTAATATTTCAGCCTACATATACGAATGCTGCCAATCATGTTTTGTCGACGTACGATTGAATCATCTCATTGGCATACACGACCAGTATAACCCATGGCAGTTGGCACAAGATAGTAGAGCTCAGTGTGGCGATCGGGTCGAGAATAAAGCGCCGTTAGGTCAGGTACCGAATAGTATAGCACCGTAGGTCAAAGATAGGTAAGTTGTGCCAAATAGAGCAGTGGGTCCGAGGATAGGTAGCTTGAGGGGAATAGGGCAGTAGGTCGAGTTGAGGGAGATAAAGCGGTGGTTCGAGGATGCGAAAGTTGGGGAGATATAGCAGTGGGTCGAGGATAGGAAGGTTGAGGGGAATAGGGCAGTAGGTCGAGTTGAGGGAGATAAAGCGGTGGTTCGAGGATGCGAAAGTTGGGGAGATATAGCAGTGGGTCGAAGACAGGAAAGTTGAGGGAGATACTATAACCTAACCAGTAAATAATTCACAATCACTCGTTTAATGAGCCTATAATTGATTATAATTAGAGAAATGGCAACAGAACGTAGAAAAGTTGATGCTGAGCGCAAATGGTTTAATGACGCTGACAATATTCAAATGATCAGTCTTCGGGCACTGCTTGAAATTTCTGGGTGAAAAATGTGATTCATTGGCCATTCCTTTGGTTTTTAACTTTTTAAAATACGTGCTACTCGCCAATGATTTGCAACCTTTAATTTTGGCCCGCAAACGACAAAAAGTTTGAAGACCCCTGGTTTAGACTTTAGAGCCAGTTAAGTTTTACAGTCATTCCAACTCAAATCCTCGACCCACTGCCCTATCTCCCCTCTACTTTCCTATTTTCGATCCTCTGCCCTGGCTCGCTCGCCTCTGCCCCACCTTCCTATCCTTGACCCATCGCCCTATCTCTCTCGCTCAACCTTCCTATCCTCGAACCAATGTCCTTCTTCCCCCAACCTTCCTATCCCCTTCAATCTCTTTCTCCTCGAGTCATTGCACTATCTCCATCAACTTTTCTTTCCTCTATCCACTGCACTATCTGCCTCAAATTTCCCACCTTCGATCCACTGTCCGACCTCTCTCAACTTACTTAGCTTCGACCCACGACTTTACATCACTCAGCACCTAACCTAACGGCGTTACAATCACGACACGATCGTCAAAATGAACTCTACCATCTTGCAACCAACTTCAATGTGTTATACTGGTCGAGTATGCCAATGAGATGATACAATCGTACGTCGACAAAACATGATTGACGGCATTCGTAAATGTAGGCTGGAATCTCAATTAGTAATCGATAACCATAATTAGTGGCTTAAAAATGTGCTACTAAGTAAGCTACTCGTGGCATCGGGTTTGAGGTGACTGTTTTTAAAATTTTGAAAGGCCATTCGATATCGACATACCTGAGTTCATTTTTAGAAACTCATTCAATGTCGCCTGTATTTCTTAGCAAGGCCAAACGATGAGGAAATAATCAAATAGTTGCACGCTTAGTCATTTTCAACGAATGTTCTGCCACATTCTGTTGTATATACGAATTTCTTTTACGTGACTGAGAAGGCTGAAAAGTCAAAAATATAAGTCGCTCAGTGAGTGAGTGAGAGCCCTTCCAAACTATTTTTAAGCCATGAAATGTTTTGTCGTAGCTAGCGTTGCAACTGCCGTTTAGTTCAGCGTATAGTCCCAAAATTGAGCTTATCTTATCTGCAACTTAATGAAGTTGAAAATGACGCAGTTAGCACGTAATCTTCGGCATCGCTTTTACTATAAAATGTTGAAGAAAAATACTTTACACGGACCAGAGCACTATTGCTTATTTCGGATCAGCATCATATTATCACAAGACTCACGACATGGCCAATTACTAAGGGCATAAAACGGCTTGTTGAAACTTAGAAAACTGCTATTCCCAACAAAAACCATCAGTAGCCCAATTAGTAAAACATTTTTAAACTACCAATTATGGTTATTGTTTACTATTTAATATTCCAGCCTACATATACGAATGCTGTCAGTCATGTTTTGTCGACGTACGATTGAATCATCTCATTGGCATACACGACCAGTATAACCCATGGCAGTTGGTCGCAAGATGGTAAAAATCAGTGTGGCGATCGGGTCGCGAATAAAGCGCCGTTAGGTCAGGTACCGAATAGTATAGCACCGTAGGTCAAAGATAGGTAAGTTGTGGCAGATAGGGCAGTGGGTTCGAGGATAGGTAGGTTGATTGTGGGGAATAGGGCGGTAGGTCGAGAAGAGAGAGGTTGAGGGAGATAGGGCAGTGGGTCGAGGATAAGGAGGTTGAAGGAGATAGGGCAGTGGGTCGAGGACAGGAAAGTTGGGGGAGCTCGAGCAGAGGGTCGAGGACAATTTTAAGTGTCATTAACGGAGAACCCAAAGTCTACGTAGTAGGATATCACAATGCGAACAACTAAGTAACGAATGTTTCCCCGATTTTTGATCTCTTGAATTCTTCCTCTTTACACTCTGAATATTGTCAGCGTCATTAAACTTTTGCAATCAGTCTTTGCGCACTGCTTAAAATTTCTGGGTGAA